GTTCGAAATTAGCGGTAGCCCGCTAGCCAAATGCTAGTCAAAACAGCCGCGGGCTAGTCAAACTATTCCTTAAGTAGCCCGGCTGGCGAGTCCAAAATTATTGGGATACGGCAAAGATGAAAGGACAGGAAGAAATAAATCATGAAATTCAGAAATCACACCTATCAATTTGTGTATAATTTTATCAACTGTTTTAACGGGTGAAGTTATAAGATCTGTTTATTAAAAAAAAATGACAAAATTGCCTCAGAATAGATGAGAAATCAGTTGGAAATGGGTAAAAAGGTCGGTTACCTACGACCTATTTTCGTACCTACAATCCCGGCCAAATGGTTGGGACGCTTGGAAATATAACCTTAGCCTTTCATGGTCACCCACTCCCCCGCTCCCCCGGTCAATGTTGTTCTCTCCAGCTGATGGAGCACACACCGCGCAATGAGAGACAACATTGACAGGGGGCCGGGGGGTTGGGGGCCTAGCGAGATTTGGCCAGGATTGTAGGTCTCCTTGTTCGATCACGTCTGTTTTCACATCGCGTACTTGCGTGAGAACGAAAATGATAACGACGCGAAGATTTTAATACCTACCTACATTTGATGGATTCTAGATTTCGTTTTGGATCACGTTTTAATACAGTTCTTATCAACGTTCATTTGAGATTTGTTAGTAAATAAAAATAAATCCTTCAAGCTTGTTCAACAAAAATTGTCTGCCACAAAATTATTCCACGAATATTCATGCTTAAACGAGTGATCGAGTTCCAAGAATCAACACGGAAGTTTTTGGAAGTGACAGGTCCATTTTTTGCAAGATATTTCTCTTTCTCATCATGCGATTTTTCAGTTTCCATAAAATTCCGCGGGTGATTTTTTTTTTTTTTTTAAACACCAATATACCAAACTAATTTTAAAAACTCTGACTTTTATACATTAGGCCTAATTATTCTTTTCGAGGGGCCCTGAAGCGCCACCAGCAGGCCCGGATTAAGTGTTTCGTAGGCCCTAGGCACCAGTGTTCCGAAGAATAGAGAATGTAGGGGAAAGGAAGAGGGAATAAGAACAAAGTGGAGAATGTAAATAATTAACACCGCTGCCCAACTTACTCCGCGAAGCTAAAATCCGGTTCTGAAACCCCATGTCAAAAGATTGCTGCCGCGCGAAGTCGCTTCATTTACGGAAGTTGACAGCTGCAGCTGTGCATATAAAAAAAAATGTAAAAATATAAAAAAATCAACTATAGGATTTAAATACCCCCCCTGCAGTCTGGGATCAGGGAACAGGCCTGAACAAGGTATGTGCAAAGGTGCTGAGCATGTGCATGCAGTTTGGCGACAATGAATTAAAAACATCATCTGGATTGAATTTTGTATTTTCGAGCAATTTTTAAAATTAATTTCGAACGATTACAGTCCAAGCTCTCAATATAACAAATTAATCATTCTTGCAATTGTCCTCCGATAGAAAAAAAGAAAGAAAATAAAACAAAAAGTTATGTGGCGATGGCCAAGTCTTCAGGAGTCGGACTTATGACCCTAACTCAATGAGCCCCTTACCGACTTCCATATAGAACTCTTCCGGGACTCGGTACACCACACCTCCTTCCCTGTCCATCCATGTAACTCGAAAGTCAGGCACCATAAAGGGAGGAAACGAGGTGGCACCCAAAGGCCTTGCTGCCGAGTCAGCAAAAGAACCCCGTACCTATACGCAGATGCCAACCTGGACTTCGCAGACAGTCCCAACTTGTGAGTCAGCTTACCGACCGACCGAGCTAACTGCTGTTGGTAAATGACGACGGGAAATTAACTTCTCTTAAATGACAGAACCGCGGGCATCGAAAACCAAAAAATGACACCTGAGCGGGTTCGAACCCCTAACCCTGGGTCCACTGTCAGACAGCTTAACAACTAGGCTGTTTCAGTAGATGCTTTTCTCTTTGCGTTTAAGACTTAATCCTTATTTCCCGCAGTGTGAGAGTTACTTTGTGTTTCATAGCTGCACGAAAGATGCATCAGCATCGTGGTATTTACATGAATGCTGTTACGTAACTCTTTTCTACAATCATTCTTATGTACGGAGCAGTTGACTATTTAGAGTCACTACGAGCAATTAACCTTACCAAGCTCGTCTCATCAATTATTGTTTCGCGTCACGCGTCTTTCGGCCGGCACTGGCATGTTGCTATGATTGAGAGACATTCTAGCAAGTTCCCCACCTCATCATATTTATATCAAACTACTGACCCGTTTACAAATTTTTACGAGGGAATTTCGTTTGTCTAATTCTAATTCAGCTCCCTTAGCTAGCTGGGGAAACTTCATCTTTTCTTGTACTTAACTTACGCTAAGTAGGAATGATGCCATTATAATACAATGTCACATTAACGTCAGCCTGTGGCATAATTAGAATCGTGACCACGCGAGTGCAATGACGGCCAGTGGCGTAAATATGTGCTGGCGAGTGGGGGGGATGGAGGATGACCAAAATCATAAAATTCGGGATTCGCAATGATGCAGTGCGCCACCAAGAGTTTGCAATGGAGAGTCAGTTTTTTAAATTACGTTCGACAAAACAAGGCCCATTTGAATGAGTGTCATTTAACAAATTTAAACACACTTTTGTCGGGGGTGGGGGGGGGGGGGGCTGTACAAATCAAGCCAGGCCAAACTGGTATAGGTCCTAGCTCTAACAGCCTGTTGGCACCAATTCTCAAGGGCGTCATTCGCTTCTCAAAGTGGGGGTGGTGCACGTGTATCTTGATCAGTACTATAATTGTGCGAGTGCGAAGCCTAAACGGCGCGGGGTTCGGGGCCCGCTTTAGGGCCCCTGAAAAAATTGGATTCTAGGCGCCCTGTGGTGCGATCTGAGGCAATTTTTACGACTGCCAAAGTTTTAGCACAAGATCATCATTTACTGTTTTTCGAGTTTGGAGTAATTAAATCAGCTGTTCTGAGCTATAAAATCAAATGTAGGAGACGTATTTTTTATTCAGGGACGAAAAACGTTGAAGAACGACATCAGCCCCCCCCCCCCCGTTCCCTACCGATCGACGCCCATGGTTGGCATCGTGCTTCAGAACAAAAGAAACACTCTATCATCTCTGGTAATTATTTTGTTTTACAAAAAGCGATTTTGTTTTCTCAGAAAAAAAAAGTTGTTTGACTGCTTCATTTGGTTTTGAGACTCCCTGTATATTTTAGTTTCTCGAAGTTGCTCTTCCGTGCTTTATGCAGGAGTTTCTCCCCGGATTTTCTAAACTGCTTCCAAAGCAAGACAAAAGTTCTTCACTTTTGAATAAGACGTCGAAGGAAAGAAATCCGCCCACTGGAATAATCACTGTACATAAGCAGACGTGTGGTTGCAAAGGGCGATTTCTAAATGTTACGTAACACTTTATTTTGAATGAAAGTACATGCACACAGACATGTTCACACAGGCAGGCGAAATCTTTGAAAATTTATTTCTCCCGTTTGAAAGACCGTATCTCCGTGCAACTTTCAGGGTCTATGTCCCTTATAATGATCCAAGTATGTGCTAAAATCGTGGTGATATGATCATTACTTTTCGCGTTGAAATTGGAAAAATAGGCATGTCTACGTGTAACACATGGCGTTTGCAATATCTGTCAATCTATTCAAGCCTCACGAATATTGATTAGGTTCCTATCCATTATGGTGTGCACTAAAAATGTGGAGAAAAGCCTCCTTCACGAGTTATTAATTGATAAAAAAATCACCCTTTTTGCCGGCTTCCACTGGTCGATACCGAGACCCGCGCCAAGTCACGCCGAGTGACGCTAATGCATAAACACAAATAATTCTTTCGTTAAAAAAAATCATAACATTTGAACATCCGTCGGAGAGAAAAAATAATAATCGAAGTTGCTGAACAGCGAGTAAAGGCAACTTTAACAAACAGTTTTGTCAGGGCACTTACCAATAATGTTTTCCACGAAATCCTCTTGAAATCTGCTTTGACGTTGAATGACATCGACCGGCTGCTTGACGTGAACCACACAAAAATCATTCTCTTGTTATGCATGCATGGTGTGTCACAACAATTAAAGCGTAGCCAAGTTGCTTGCAATAACCTCTAATGACAGTGTAGCTTATTTTTTTCAAACAAGTGATAAAAGGATGTTTACCATGAGTGTTCCATGTTTTTCTTGGCATAACATTTTTGAACAAAAATATTTTCTTCACAGTGAGAGCCCGTTATTTTCTTGCATGTCCAACATATATTTTTGTGGCTATCCTATTTCTTTCTGCAAAATCTCTCGTTGTAGATGCCCTCCAGTTATATTAAGTGAGTAATTTTTGTAGGAACAAACACAATGGCAAAATAAAGTCGCGGACGCACAATGATAAAAAAACCCAATGAAATAGTAAGCAAACTGTAGGACTTTTAGCTGATTATAATCGACGCAAGCTATCATAATTTTGTTTTTGTAATCAAGTTCACTTCCGTCGAATAAGAGATTATTTTCGTACTGTCATTGCACCGGCTACAAGCTCGAGTGTGAGGCTTGCTACGCGCCCATATTTCAGTCATCGGAGTATTTATTTGTTAATCTTGAAAGTTTATTTATGAAGATAAATGAGCCGTGGTCTACGTGTGGTACCCACATGCGCGCAAGTTCCTGTAACTTGACTTGATTCCCTGAAAAGAAAAACCGCTCTGACCTGCCGAGTTTTCTTTTATTTACGATTTTTCACGCGAAGTGTGTAATATAGAACGCATCAATCACGCAAGACGTACCCTCTGCGACCCGCCGAAGTGTGTTCATTAAGTAACTAACCGAGGAGAGGCGTGGCGCACACCGCACCGTGTCCAATACCAGCACGATTGTGATTTGCGGATGGCGTCACGTGGCAACCTTTCAGCCAATCAGGGGCGAAAACGCCGTGCAGTGATTTTCAACTGTGTCAGTGCAGTGCATGCTTGTGTGTCTTATAAGTCACTGGCCCAAACGGAATTAGGAAGAATTGTTTGGAAGAAAAAAATTGGTAGGCCTATACTCGGAAATACTGCACACTGTGCAGTTGTATGCATACGTGTTATTAGGCGAGTTTACATTGCTGTGTATTAATGCCAAATTGCTTGTCTGCATCACAATGTCTCACTGGAAAATCGAAGTTCTCTTCTCGACCACAGTTTGTCTTCTTCTCGTAGTGCGGTTTGCAGAGGCAGCGCCCAACACGAAGGATTTGGGCGAGAACAGACCCAAGACCAAAGGAAGATTTTCATATGTCTTACATTCCAAAATGCAAGAATTTATCGAGACCTTTCCATCATTCAGTTTGGATGACAGCGGTAATGGCTCGCTGAAGAAACGGGTGCCGACACATGCCGATAGATATTTACGCACTGGTGACGTTTCATCATTGGAACGTAGATTAGACAATACTCGGAGAACAGTGCGAAGCGCAGACAAGCTGAACAAAGACGCACGGAGTCGGAGAAGAAAACGCGAGAAGAGGAAACAGAAGCGATCCAGTGCAGGTGGCGAGTCCCGCCGAGGTTCTGACGGGTTGCATCCGAGGCGTGGAGGGGTTGAGTCACAGTCTGAGGCCGTACAACTCGTTTCTGCTATCGCACACAACATGCAGCGGGCTCTTAGCAACATCCTGGCTGCATCAACGACTCAAGCGCGCAGAGAGACGCGACAGTTGGCCCCGCAAGTGCTTGGGGAGTTACAGGTTCAGTTGCCGACGAGGACAACGCGAAGGACCGTAAGATTCTCTGCTGATGATACACAGATCGCGCCAGCTGAAGTGCGAACTCCTACTGACAAACCGCAACACGAAATTCAAACGACAACTGGTGACATCACTTCGGACTTCAACAGGGATGGAAATAATAAGAGGGGCGATGACGGTCAGCCAGTGAACAGTTCCAGTGTTCAACTTTCAGAGCAAACTGACCAACTGCGTGTTATCAACCACATAACCCGTCGCAAAGCCCCTTATAAAAACGTGGTTCGGTTGTCATTGGGCTGCACAGGTACCCTGATCAGTCCAGTACACGTGCTAACAGCGGCTCACTGCCTACACAACGGGGTGACTTTCCGGCGCCACGCCCACAGATCGTATGTGGAAGTCCCTGCCTGGTACGGATTTATCTCACATCGGATCAGCATGATCCACGTTCCGTTAGGCTGGATCAAGTCGGATAGAACGCGCCGTGTCAACGGCGATGCCTTGCGAGCCGTGCACGATTACGCAATCGTCACGTTGCTCACCCAAACGGCGGGAAACCGACACTTCCCGCGCTTTGGCGTCCCCGGCAACAGCGTCATCTCCAACCCCAAATTCGCCGGTTTCCCGTCCGACAAGCAGAACCAGATGTGGGAGACCAGCTGCCCATTGGACAGAAGTTCTGACGTGGTGCTGGGAGGTAATCTCCTATTGGCTGACTGTCGCGCTTCCCCTGGAAGTTCAGGCTCGGCAGTTTTTGTGACGACTGTAGATAACGAGAACCTCAACGATCGTCGTATTGCAGGACTAGTCTCCAGCTCTGTGCTGGTAAACAGGCAAGGCCAACCCACGACCAAAACTCGTGTCACGGTCATTAACATTATAACCAAGCGAAAGGGTAAAACAATATGTGCAATGATGAGCCGAGAGGACCCGATTGGGGAGACGAGGTACACGACAATGGAGTCTTGTACCAACATGAACGACGGTGTCAGAAATGAAAGGAACTCGTTTCAAACTATATTTGTCAATAGACTTTACAACCACTGAGTAATCTGTACATAAATCTATATCGTGCCAGCAATGCATCGAACTATTCACGCAATCGTCCCTAAACCGACCAATTGTTCCCCCAGTTCATTGGACCGTTAATAAGCTATTCCGGTCATTTGTAAACTTGCGCTTGTATTCATTCCATTTCATTGGAACCGTTTTAATGCAACCTCGAAGATGCACATTTGGGTCCCATTTAACCCTAATTTCAATTTTCATTTGCCATCATTAAGGGCATTTTGGTGCTTTTTTGGTTTATATGCTAATGCAAATGTCCACATATTCATGAGAAAAATTGTGATGTCATTTCAGGCAGAAACCTCAATGTTATAGCCATTTCAGCACCAAAAATTTCAAGTATTTATATGCTGTGGTACATTTTCTTTTCTTTGGTGATTCGTTGTTGTTTAGGTGCATGGCAGTAAGCCAATGAGCAAACTTTTCTCACAAATATTGTCAATGAGCAGGTTCACAACTTGAACAGAAAACCCCTAAAGAGAAAAATGTCTTCCTGAAAATGACATCACATCAATAGCGCCCTCATTTGTCAGAAAAAGCATGGACAATTTTAAATGTTTAAAAAAGTACACTTTTCGATAAATGTATATAAAAAAAGGGTGTCAAATAGATCGGATACATTAAGAGGAGCAGAAAGTTGCGCAAAATATGTTCCGAAGTGAGATTCATGTCATGGGCCCTGTTATTGTGTTAAGAGTGTGGCAGGCAGACGGTAATTCATGAAGAATTCTAAATTTCTCTTACGAAGCATATGTCTCATATTTTTCTTCTGTGGATCAGTACATATAAAAACAACAACATAGCACCAAACAGAATTAAATCGTTCGAAGATTTTTGGAGTGGAAGTCGAGATACAGTTGTGGAAATGTGGCGTGGGGGGGGGGGGGGAGGCTTTAACTTTCACTTTTGTCTAGCCCCCCCCCCCCTAAAAAATGGCAGTAGCAAATGCTAGAAAGTGACGTCACATGCGAACGGTCTCCCCCTACAAATAGTCGTGAGAAGGGGGTGTTATTTTGTACTCTAGGTAATATTGCACAAGATTGTAGGATGTTATCAGCGCTCCACATTCAAAATATGATACGAGCCCCCCCCCCCCCACCCCACCCCACCCCACCTATGGATTTTCGGAGGCCTAAGTGTCCGGTGAAAAAAAAACGGTCTACATTTCAGCACGCCTTCCTGCAAAAATGGCTAGATTCACCCCTGCTAGCCCCCCCCCGCCCTAAAATATGCTCTAGAACCGCGCCAGCATGCAGCAATGCTCATGGTGTTTTGTGTGAGTTCGCTTGCTTTTTATTTGCAAAAAAGGTGAGAAAATCTCACCAGGGGGGAAGTTCCCCCACCCTTTCTGGCACCAATCTCCCCCTCCCCCACGACGCTATAATTGCGACACGTACACAAGACCGAAATGAAATCTGTAGTATACGCCTTGGTTGGAAAAGAAATATTCGCGTTGATTTATGGAGGGAAATGTTTATTTAAACAACCTCACATGATGAAGATATCCGTCTACCACAGCGAATAAATCTCCAACTTTGCCATAATTTCCAGTTATTTATGCTCCGTAAACACGGGTTAACGAGGCCAGCAAACTCCCTGCGCTGCGGTCCAATTTGTCAAGATCGTTCACATCAATCTGAATGAGTAAGTAAATCATGCATGGATTTCTTCCTTTGTGGGTCAGTGAAGGGACAATGCATCCCGCTTGGACTTTATTACCAGAAAGATTTATCAGATATTTATCCCCATTTTCTTACATGCTTATAATCCGAGAACTCAGTAAAAAAACAACAACAAATAAAACAAATCCAACTAACACGATTACAGCCAGCAATGTCATATTCCACTGCTGCACACTAACTGCTGTATAATGAGTAATTTCCTGAGTGAAACTGGTTTCTGAATATTGGGAAAATAAAAAAGTGATGGTCTTTGATGATGGACAGTATTCCTCTATTTTACCTGTGTATACGGGTCTGCTTCTCTTCTTGTTTTCCTGAACCTTATTCTTCATTCTTAAATGCAAAATTTAATTTAATGGCTAACATAAAAGTCCCACCCAGTAAAATATATTTTTTTTTCGTATTTATACCCCGTGCTCTTAAAAAAAATGATTATTTTATCCTAACGAATTTCCAATTTGTATGTTTTGTTTAAAATCAAATTCGATTTTGGGCGTCTGCAACCGTATACTTTCAGGCTAAAATTATCCCACAGATGTAGTGCGAATTATATCTTTCACTTGTTTTTTTTTTTTTTATAAAAGTAAAATATTAATATTAAAGTGCATTTTTCTTATTTATTTCACCTTTTTACCTGTTTTCTGTAGGGAATTGTAACCAATATTGCCCGGCCCAGTCCCCGAACGCGACGCTGGTTGCTCTCATTGTGCTCTTTGCATGTAGGACAAGACACGTAGGCCTAACTGTTTCCGTAAAACGGTAATAATTAACAGATATATTAAATTATTTTTATCTTCCTGGTCGTCTCCCCCCCCCCCAAAAAAAATTGTCACACATGTACTTGCAGACACTGTTTAAACAGCACGTGTGGGGTGGGACACGATTATATTTCATTGATTGGGTTTATTGTGACATCAAACACCTGCTATGAAAATAAACCCGCCTTTGCCAAGGGTTGGACTCATCGATTATGCTATAGGGGTGTTCAAGAATTTTTGTGATCAACTTGTCTGGAAATAAACTTCGACGCTGTCAACTAGTCAGAATAATGACTACTTTTGGTAATATTTCGTTTGTAAATATAACTGATTTGCTTGTCTTTACCGCAATTTGTTTTTAATAATAGGATATTCAAATCGTATTAAAGGTATCTTGATGAACGAGGCTACAGTGTTGTCTAGACGACGTTGCTGTCACGTGATTAGAAACACCCTCATAGCAAAATTGCGTGTGCAGTCTCCGCGGTCGGCTAGCAAGTTCGTGTTGTCAAATATCGAGCTTCAGTTTGGACTTCTAAATTTCCGAATTTAATTTCAAAAGTTCCACAGACCTAAGCTAGGGAAGAGGGAGTTACAGACAGGACAAGCGGGTAAGTCATCTGGTTTGTTTGTCTTTGAAAACAGAATCCAAATTTGACTGAGTAATTACCAACTCGCCCCAGATAGCTTTGTATACAAAAAGCCAAATGCTGTGCACTTTCAGTGTCATTGTCTATTGACGTATTTTATGTCAATACACATCATACTCAAAGTAATACGCAGTGGCTATTGTTACGGCAGCCGTAACGCATTTCCCATTTTCTATCGTTACGGTAGTACTGCAACTTTTATAAAACATGAGAAGAAAATATAAATTAGAAGGAAAAAAGTGAATTTGAACGTTGTGAAATTCGGACTTTAGACTTTAGTTTATTTCCCTTTTAAAAAAAATCCTCCAAAGCCTCAGCTCATGTTAGAAAAGGAAAAAAATTCGAGTGCAAAACTGAGATGCGAACCCGCAACTTCGCGGTGCAAAATCCTACCCACTATCGACTGAGCTGTCGCACTGCTCACCAAAACATGGGAAAACAAATAATTATACCTGCGTGCGTATCAAAACAGTATCGTTGTCGTTGAGGGCGCTAAACAACGAATGCTGTAACGATAGCCACTTCGAAAGTAATAAGGCCCTAGTTTAGGGCCTTTAATGAATTTTGCTCATAATTAGAGATTAAAGTTCTGTCCACAAGATCTGAGGAAATCTGAGGTGGAATGAATTCCGTATTTAATTTATGATAGTGGATATTTTGCCGGAGGTAATGACGGCAAACTAACGATTACTAAAGGTTTGCCGGCGGCAATCCATATCAACAGAGGGCGCTGTACTCTTTAAAATAGGGCTGAATTATAAGATGTATTAAATTCCCACCAAAAGTTGTGTAGCACGTTTGGTGTAATGGTTAAGCAAAGGCTCTAGTAAGCGGAATGACTCGCGTTCGATTCCGACCGCACCACATTTTAAAGTTTTTTTTTCTCATCCCCAAATAAATCAGAATATTCTTCTTTTATTATTTTAACATGTCTCAAACATTTTTTGCAGAGTATTACATTTTCTTTTTCAGATTTGTGGCTCTGGAGGATTTTTTTTAAAAGGGAAATAAAGTCCGAAATTATAAAATGGTCTGAATCCCATCTTGTGAATACGAGGTAACAACGATAATTTTGGCATGGAGCCAGATTAAACTTGTCACCGGAAAATGTTTAAGTAAAAAAAAACAGTAACTGCGCATGTTCAGTGCATATCCGGCAAACTAACGTTTACTAAAGGTTTGCCGTCTCCGGCAAAATATACACTGCCTTAATTTATCTGCCGCCAAACATAGTCGGGCGACGGGCGACCATCTCCAAACCAAATGTTAAAAAAGGCAATTCGTAGATTCCTAGTCATGCTAGTTACTCGGACTACGCCAAACACATCAATCACTGATCACCTCACCTTGTGATTTCATTCAAAGATGAATCCAGGAGGCTCCGCAAACTGTATCATAGCCGTTGAAAAATGCATTTCACAGCAATACAGCTCCCATAGAGATAGCCACTATATAGATAAGGCCAAATATTTTGTAATACTAATAATAAGAACACTTTAGTAAAGAGGTAAAAATGGGAGGGAAGATTCAAGATTGATAGGCCCCTAATGTATGTTGATTCAGTTCAAAACAACATATTTCATTCAATTTAATTTCATTTATTATTTTACGATCCATGTAAACACACAAACTGACAAATAGCCAAATAGACATGTACAAATAGCCATGGGTTGTTTGTTTTTGTAGGCCCTGGTGCCCTTTAAGGAGTAGCCTACCAGCACAATGTCAGCCCCAGTGAGCACCCTGCCCACCCTGCCCAGGTTAACCACCCAGGAGACCGGGGTCAGTGTCATACCAACATCCTCAACAGCGCCCTCTATGGTCCGCCGCTCTAGCTCCAAGACCTTCATCAACGAGGGCGCCGGTCAGCCCAAGGGCTTGTCCAAGTCTTGGGACGAGAGGCTGACCCGGACGGCCAACGGCGGCAGGCCTCTGCCCCGACTCAACCCCCTGCAGCCCCAGCGGCTGGGAAGGACGGTCACTCTGGAGACGACGGACACACATTACCAGAATGACCTGAGGAGTCTAGTGATGAAGAGAGAACAATACCACAAATCTCATAACAGGTGGATGAAGCCGTTCTATGGATCTAAGGTGGAACAAGAAGACTATAGGTAAGACATGCGCTGGGTTTTAAAGAGGTTGTGGAATGCTCGAAGACATTTCTGTCATTTTTCGGGTATATGTAGCCCAAGGTGTGATGAAATAAAAACGACTATTGTTTCTGTCATAAAATGAGTACAAAAGGTACTTTTGAGAGCTGTTTTTCAAGTCCTGTTATGCCTGTTTCGACCCGAACGTGCAATTTGTGTAAAAGTCGTTATTGCAGTAAATCGTGACGTAATAAACAGGACTCCTGATGCAGAGTAGCATATACGAGTCCTGTTTATACGTCACGATTTACTGTGTTTTGTTTGCTGCCCGCAACGATGACTTTTACACAAATTGCATGTTCGGGTCGAAACAGGACCTGAAAAACAGCTCTCAAAAGTACCTTTTGTAGGCCTACTCATTTCATGACAGAAACAATAGTCGTTTTTATTTCATCACACCTTAGGCTACATATACCCAAAAAATGACGGAAATGTCTTCGAGCATTCCACAACCTCTTTAAGAATATTGGATAAACTGTGCAATAGGGTACATGTACGTGTACATGAAGCAAAACTTGTAAGTCTTTTTTGGCGTTGAAGAATGTTACCAGGGATTCTGTTGTCTCAGTTTGCAAAATGTTTACATTTTGTTCTGAAAATACTCCATACCTTTTCCAAAATTTAAAAATTCTGATTTGTTATTCAGAAAAAAATCCCCCCCCTACCAGTCTGGAATTGTTCCTGATTTAGAGGCCATGAGATTTCGATGCATTTTTCTATTTTCATTTTAAATTGAAGACAGGGGAGCATCTGTGATTGTCATAAATAGTTTTTTTACACAGTCCTGTTAAAGGTGCAAATTCATTTAGATTTTGCAAAAATTTCATTCTTAAGATTGGTAACTACCCTATTTAGAAGGTATAGCTGTGTCACAGGAAATCCACATTATAATGTCTTACATTTACGGAGAAAACATTGAGAAACCTGGTTAACATCCGAACCAGTAGCTGTTTTTTGGCCTTGTCTACATATTTCAAGCATCGAAGTTTGGTCCAAATTATCAGCAAAAGACTGGCACCTTACAAAATGGGTGCACAAAATGTATGTGACAATTCACTTCAGAATTATATGTATGGTGATCCTAGAGCACATCCATACATTTGAAGAACATTATAAAAGAAGCATGTTTAATACTGGATTGATGACTAAAACTCCAATGGTTTGATTTTGTTTAGGTCCAAAATTGTGTACCATGAAATTCCTTTGCGCTTTAATACTATAGGCGTGGGCGGGATTTATACGGCCGATCCGGTGAAAAAATCTACCATGTATTCATTTTGCACACCAGTTTTCATCAGTTGCTTTGTGCTACCATTTAGCACCTCAGACTCAAGAACCATTGAGTTTGAAGAAAATGCGTCGAGGAGCTAGATGTAAAAAATTCCTAGATGTCCATGACCGCCTATTACACGTTTGTGTTCCACTTTTAAAGATATAGTCCATCATTTGTAATTTGTGCATTTTGTTCGTTTGAAGCAACAACAGCGTTCAAAATCTAATGAAGGATACTGAACAACTAACCTGATGAAGTTTCAGCTCAGCTTCAGCTGTACATGTATATTCCGAGAAAAAAAAGCATTCTAGGATCTCAATTTCAAATCAAAAGTTGCTGAATCATGTTTTGAATTCGTTTTGAATTGTAGCTATACGCGATGTCACGCACTGATATGACGAATTATAGCAACCGCGCGTGCCTATGCGTTGTGCCAATGCTTGCGCGCGCTGCGCCGAATAACAAAACGAACTACTGATATAAATTTTCCTACGGTACGTCGCACCGTTGGTAAGGCTTTCTTTCGTTGATTACTTCAAAGTGACAGCTTGCCAGAAAGAATAATTTCACAGGGAGTTTAGTTCCCTTACTATCTTTCAAACAAGTATGTTTTTCAACAATAATTACGCCAGTTACTCTTCGGATAGCTGCAAATGATGGACTATAGCTTTAAACAAATGTTAGCATTTTGTGGTAGACACTTTTTTGAGCCCATGCACCGTTCTCTTGAAGGTCTCCATCAATTTTCCCCTGAAAAGTGTTGTCTACATGGAGGTGCATGTACTTATTATGTTAGCCATGAACAGAGGCCCAGCAACCCACAGAAAATAGAGCTGTCTGTTTGTCTTTCCCAATGGCTTAAAGTTAATCACACCAAATACCTTTGGTTATGAGATAATACTCATTGTTGTACAATCAAGTGATGGCATTCAGAGCAAGGTGTTTGCCCCAATTATCTCTTTCACACCCAGTTATTGATAAGTAACACAATCAGTTGAAAGGTAAACGCCAGAATAAACTGTAACAGTAATAGGATTGTGCATAACATAGACAAGGGTTTTTGAGAAGGGAAAAGCTTTAGAGGAACACGAAATACATTTTTACTAAAACATCAATGTGTGCAATTTTCCATTCTTCTGAAATGTAAGAAAACTACCTGGTATTAGACATCTTTTGTGTTTAATTTTTGTAAAGTGCACTTTCTTAAACTTTTTAAATGTTCCATGCTTTTCTGACAACTGACGGCAATCTTGCTGTGATGTCATTTAAGCACATGTATGCTCTTTAGTTTAGGGGTTTTCTGTTCAAATTTTGAACATAAGGCCAAAGAAAAGAATCGTTCTGCTTCCGATTACATGGCATTCGAAAATAGGGTAGGTAGGTAGGGGAATTTTTTTTTTTGCCAATTTTTGTGTGTGTGCAATCATATGGAGGCGTTTGCATGTAGTCAAGGGCAAAAGGTAGAAATTGATGGTTTTGGGTAATTTTTCCTCATTTTTTCAATGAAAAAAAATTAGGGTAGGGGCTGTCAGTATAGGGAAGGTAGGGAAACCGAAAGCAGAACTATTATTTTTTTTGGCCTAACCATTTGCTCATTGGGAACATTTAGTGCAAAATTTATTTCATGGGCCCTTTAATTGAGAAATTGCAGTACTTCATCATTTGATGATAAGTTGTTGCATGATTTTTTTCCTTTCTTGAAATCTTGCTTTTTAAAAAAAATTACAAGGGCTTGAAATATTCAGAGTCGTACTACATTGTGAATGCACCTGCATAGCCAAAAATATACGCTTGCAAAGTTTCGTAATACTGACAATATTTTAGTGGCTACTTAGCATATTTTTGTGATGTGTATTTATTTCCATGAATTGTGAAATATTTATTTCACACATAGAACATGTAGAAAGGAAATATAAGACGTGATGTTGTGTGTGCATGTTCACAGAATATAAACTCATCTATGATTCCTTCTCCACATTATTTGCAAACTCATTAAAAAAACATATCATTGCTTGCTTTTTCTCTGAATCAAGACTGGTTAATTTCTGACATACCCAAATAAACTCTGATATATGTCTGTGATAAGGCCAAAAAAAAGAATAGTTCTGCTTCCGGTTACCCGACCGACCCTATTTTTAGGCTGCGACCCTAAAAATTTTATCGGCAATTCCAAAAAAAAAAAAAAAAAAAAATTGAATAAATAAAAATAAAAACCTTATGTCTTGTCTGTCTTCACAAAATACCTCTCAACAACCCTTTTGCATCAAAAAATGCTTGTATTTATTGTTTTCTTACTTACATTCGCTATTTTTTCAAAAGAAACCTCCGTTATTTTCACAAATTCGCTGCGCGATTCAACTACTTCGCAATTCGATGTCCATAATCACGTGCGTAATAAGCACAATGCGGCGACGACTGGTTCCCGCCGCGCCACGCAGGAGCCAATTATGAAAATGCGGTAACTAGTCTGTGCACGGCTATGCGATGTTAGCGCTAGCATGGCTATGCAGGCGCAGGCACGTGCTCTGTCAACTGGTCGGAATCGACATCGTAAAAATGCTGAGAAAGACATCGTAAAAATGCCAAGAAAACACCGATGGAGAAAGAACATTTTTGCAAGTTAATTCACAGATTTGATCTAGCTTGTCTGTGTATATATTTTCCGTGTTCAAGAGTTCATTTTGAGATCGCACTACTCGTATTTGGAGTGATACAATGCAGCGTGTTTCCTGAAATGTTCGACCCGTTGGCCGCGGGCCACACATGTACACATGTACATCACACACTTCGGAGTTTTGGCCAGCTCCCGTTCTTGACTAGCGTTGTGCCTATGGTGCGAACGACCTGAATTTCCCACAATTTTTTTTTACGAATTATCGAACTTAAATATATTGACAATAATTAAGGTAGGTTTTATTCACTTTTTGTGGCCATTTTGTGTATAGCTTTCGTAGTGCAATAGAAATAGTTCAGGCTAAAACTTCGCATATAATTGAATACGCCATTCAATCTGCATAAAAAAAATTGGCAAAAAAAAAAAAATTCCGACCGACCGACCCTATTTTTGAAAGACATGTAATCGGAAGCAGAACTATTTTTTTTTTTGGCCTAAGAGACCTCATTTATCATCCGTGACCATTATGCTCATGCTGCCATACTTCCGTTGCCATCCTGTTCAAGCCTGTGTCATGGTGATGGCTGAGGGTCCTTCAAACAACAAAGTTGCAACATGAAGAGCACATTTGCAGACAAACATTAGTACATGTGTACCCTATTCCTCCATGTGTATACCGTATCTAGTTGATATTTGCATACGTACTATGACTAAAAAGTATCACAACAGTGTTGGAGAAATAGGTATTCACTACATAAAAAACACTACATTAGTTGAGCAAAGAAACACTAGTTTTTGTATTTTTGGGCATATGCAACCCTCTGAAAAAAAAGCTTTTACTGTATTTTAGTGTGCTTTTGGGCACAAACAGCTCTGCCTTGCTACTGCTAGTTGACTGTACAGTATATGGCCACCCTCAATATTGGGGGGGGGGGTTAACCTGTTTTTCCTTGTGTATACTGATTTATTGTCGGGCTGCAAATAATTAAACAGTTGACAAGAAATGTGATGCGATCAAGCTCAATGAGTCGTTTGTCGACCCAGTTCAAAAATGTTTTTATTACAGATTTGAAGAGAGCACAATCTCAGCATTACCGCTGTGAAAACCGCATGCTGATACCGTCTTTAGTTCAAAAATTATGGAAATCGGAACACCAAGAGATGTGATGAGGTGATGTGATGAGGTGGCCCGATTTTGGCCTGTATCTCCAAATGAAAATTCCCGACAAACAACTCATGTAGCTTCATCGCATCACAAATTGTTCCCTTATTAAATGGTCTTCGTTCGATGTCTCATTCAAAAGTGTGTCATTTTTGTGTTGCTCAAAAGTTAGCAGTTTAAAAAGTGATAATTTTTACAGGTGAAACTTGTAAATTCATTTCTCATAAAAAGATTGAGTCACTGAAGGCATTGTTGGAATTGTTTCTCTCGTATTCTCTGTGTAGGAAAAACACAAGGGAAATACTGAAGAGTCAAATGTCGGACAGAGAATCAACATACAGGCGGTACCTGCTAGAACGCATGGAGGAAAGCGATCGCGCTATCGGCTACGATAGGAAGTGCCTGGAGGAAGACCATGTAGCATTCCAGAAGAAGTCAGCTTTCCTCCAACAGTTCAGAGATGAGAACAAAAGGGTGAGTTTAAATTTCCATTGTACAAGTCTGGTTCCTGAACTTTAGATTTCGACTATGCTGACAAATTTTAGGCCAGGTACGTATTTCCAAGTCCGGCTGAACCTTAGCGTCAAGAGTGACTCAGGTCGACCCAAACTGCATGTACAGATTTTTGTTACAGACAGGCCAACTTTGCGTATGATATTCCATTCAGTATACTCTGGAGTGGTTCCGAAGCATGATGGAAAACTTTAACCGGATAACGGACAATGTGGCATGGGTGGCTTGTGCGTAAAGCGCTCGCCTCTCACCAAGGTGACCACAGTTCGAATCCTGGCTGTGGATCACATGTGAGTACAGTTGTGCGTTGGTTCTCTCCTGTGCCACGAGGGTTTTTCTCCGGTCCCTCTGGTTTTCCTCCCTCCGGAAAAATCAAACACTTTCGATCTCAGGCTGTGCTCCGTGGTCATATATGGGTCGATGTGGCCGGCAGCCATAGGCGCCTTTACGTGCCAGCGGCCCGACCACGTTGTAGCCGCGTCCTTCGCAATTCAGCATATCAGCTGAGAGTAAGGATGATTAGCCTCCCAAATTATTAGTATTATTATTATTAAAAATGATTACGCAATCTATGTACACAATATGGGTACGTACAACACGACGTGAGTGGAGTAGTCCATGTTACTTCAGCGATATTGTAACAAAATTGCAAAACAGTTCACATGTTGATTTTATAAGTAAATATTGGCACTGAAATTGTTCTAGTATTTTAAATGTAGTTTTTTTTTATCGATTGTATGATAAACAGCAATACAATGTACATGTATATATTGAAGGACTTGATTTTGAGCACCCTTTAATGTATGGTATGATCTGACTGAAAATTTGGAATTGTAGAAAGTTTTCATTGCGAATTTACTGCGTCATGAACGTGATTGAGCAAATGTCCGCAACTTTTTCACATGTTGACATTTCAAGGTACATGTAGTCGCTCCCAACTGCTTCAAACATCATACCCTAATTTGAATGTTGGCTAATTTGGTCCCTGCCATTTGTGCTTAGTCCAGTTCTATAAAAACAAAAGAAGCCTATAAAACAATTTTCTTGTTTTAACTTTAGACTGAAGCTGTGTCAATTTAACCAAAGAAGTACGTGTGCATTTCAAGCCCCAGACCCTGACAGTTTTGTTTTCTGCTTTCCCTTAACAGTTAATGGAATTAAAAGAACAACAAAAGAAGCTGAGTCGACTCCACACGAACCAGAGCGAGGGAGAGTTGCTGCGCTATAACCCCATCAACTGGAGCCAGACGTTACGCTAACACGTCATGGTGCCCACCACAAATTACCAAAGTTGTGAGCTAGTCAGTCACCAGTCAATCACAAGTGAATCGTAAGTCAATCGCAAGTCAATCACAAGTCAATCCATCACAAGTTAGTCGCAAGTTGATCACAAAGTCATCACAAGTCAATCACCAGTCAATTGCAAGTCGATCACAAGTCAATTGCAAAGTCAATAACAAGTCAATCACAAGTCAATCCATCACAAGTTAGTCGCAAGTGGATCACAAAGTCATCACAAGTCAATCGCCAGTCAATTGCAAGTCAGTCACAAATCAATCGCAAGTCAATCACAAGTCAGTCACAAGTCAATCACAAAGTCAACCAGTCACAAGTCAATCACAAGTCAACCACAAGTCAGTCACAAGTCAATCACAAGTCAATCACAAGTCAATCACAAGTCAACCACAAGTCAGTCACAAGTCAATCGCAAGTCAATCACAAGTCAATCACAAAGTCAATCACAAGTCAATCACAAGTCAATCACAAAGTCAATCACAAGTCAATCACAAGTCAATCACAAGTCAATCACAAGTCAACCACAAGTCAGTCACAAGTCAATCGCAAGTCAATCACAAGTCAATCACAAAGTCAATCACAAGTCAATCACAAGTCAGTCACAAAGTAAATCATAAGTCAGTCACAACTAAATCACAAAGTCAATCACAAGTCAATCACAAGTTAAACACAAAGTCAATCACAAAGTCAATCGCAAAGTCAATCGCAAAGTCAGTCACAAGTCAATCACAAGTCAATCACAAGTCAGTCACAAGTCAATCACAAGTCAGTCACAACTGAATCATAATTCAGTCACAAAGTAAATCATAAGTCATCACAACTAAATCACAGCTAAATCACGAGTCAGTTCATGAGGAACAGGGGACGAACAATGATAAGGATTAATGCTTAGTTTTCAAAGCGCATCATTGACTTTCGAATGACATGTGATTGACTTGTGGTGACGTGGTAAAAAATCATGCAAATAACCAAGTAAATTGAAGTAAATTAATTTTCCAAGAATTCCTATTGTTCTTCCAAATACTTGATGGTGCAATTGATTCATGAACAGTGAAGACTAGGCAAGTAAACAAAAATTACTGAAATGAAAAATATTTTTCGGACAAAACGAATTAATAGGCTCTGAACAAAATGTTGAACAATCATGCAGAAAACGAAAATTTAAAGTATCTTTAAATTTAACTGTGATTCAAATGCTTCAAAAAATCAGTAAAATTTGTACATGTATCTGTTTGGACAAATTTCCCACAGATTCTGAATCAGTGTTTTGTGATCAGCGTAAAAACAAAATGTATTTTTTTGCAGTTTTACTGTGCAGTGCTATAGTCATTTGCATGAATTATTTGTGTGTTGCAAATTGTGCAAAAATGCTTACAGTCATTCCAATGTGCTTTTATGTGACAATGCAAACTGCTGTGACTTGACATATATTTTATTGTTTACAAATGCTTAGAACTTCATGTTGACTATTGTCAAACTTTTGGGGGGATTGTGCTTATAATAAACTGACCCCTGTATTTTTGTATATTTTTTATTGGATTATATCCCCACATTTCAGATGTTGCAGGAATTGAGAACATGGTTCTATTTTTTACCCTCAGGTATACATGTCAAGCATGTAGTTTATCTGTAAATAGTCATTCATTGGTTGTATATACGTGTACATGGGATTTGCGTTATTGTCATGTGTTTTGTTCTTCTAAGGACCTACTTTATTCCATTGCTATTATGTGCATTACTAGCTGGTTCTTACACAAAATAAAGTCCACTTAATCCTTTGTTAGTATCCTTAACATTTTCAATGTTCGGAAAATAATTTACAATGTAGCTTTTTCTATGGGGGGGGGTATTTCTTAACCAGCACAATAATTGACTACTTGGAAGACAAATATTCTCTGACAATTTTTTAATGGAATATTGCAACTACCAGTAGGAACATTGAGAATCATTAAGAAGATACTAATTTAGTATTTGCTATGAAAGTAACGCAGCATTGGATTGTAGGTTATTAGACATTAGTGTGCATGTGTGAATTCATTTCAGATTTGCTTTTTTAGATCTGCCATTTGTCATGGGAGTTACTTTTTTGTTTAACCAATTCGTTTTGGGAAAACCTTCTGAGATACATGTATTTAAGGATGGTGCAGTTCACAAGACCATTTGCAGAGATTGCTGTAGGAAGAAGTCGTGAGTGTAAAACACTCCACTTTTATTTAACTATTATTTCAGCTCTTTAAACATTCTTAGAGTACCAACAAAACAAAAGCTATGTGGATCTAGTGACACAATTGAGCTTTTTAAATATTTGTTAAATATTGTTTTCAGTTCATTGCCAAAAGGCCCCGAGTCAAAAGGTCTCTAGCAAACAGTCAATCAGCAAGAGTGCTTAAACATGAAAAATTTTAGAAAATGAGAAATTTGATCTTTTTTGGCCCAGTTTTCCCAAGAGAGGATCATTATTACATTGTAAAGATTATTCATCAGTGTGTATCAATTGCTTTAAGAAAACCAAAATGCCAACATTTGAAGTCTGGGGTGCATTTTGGCGGTCATAACCAAAAACTGGTTCTGTTGTTTCTCTTTGGTTAATTGCTTTGGGGGTTTGAGTATTGCATTGTCGTGAGTAATTCTCATCCATTTAAAATTCCCAAAGAAATTCGCCGACAAGAAACAACCGAACCAATTCTTGGTTATGACCGCCAAAACGCACCCCTGGTTGCTGGAAATGTGCAAGACCGAAAATACCCCATTTCTTGCAATCATACAGAAGTTGATCGACAGATTTCATAAAACATTGCAGTTGGTATATTTATTTTACAAATTATTCCTCATTTAACGAGTTTGGGGTTTTCAATTTATTTCTCCGTTGTCAGAAGCTTGGTATTTATTGGTACACTAAAAATAATGTTACTATTTGCCACATTTACCTAACTTTTGTTAACTGTTACTAAATCAAGTTCCCAATTAAAAGCTAAAAAGGTCCGTTACATATTTTAAAGATCAATGTAGTTTAATGAGGGTTAATCTAAAGAACAAATATTTTCCTACCTATATCATTACTTCCATCCACATTAGGTATGCAGTTTGACCTATCATATAGCCTGTATATAAGATACATAACTTAAAGCAAATGGTATTTGCCTAGATTATCAGTATTGTAACAGAAGGGTGCAGTGGTTTTGCCAATAAAAATGTGTGTTACGTCAGTGACAGATTGTGTTCTTGATAATCTTTTATTGCTAGATGTAAGTTATAACTTCCAAATTCTTTCTTCTAATACAAAGAAAAAATCAGCCAATTAGACCCCGCCCACTGCACATATGAGTAACCATAGAGGAGTAACCAAACATTGTTCTCTCCAATGTACATGTTCCAAACTTAGGCCCCGCCCACTGTGCACATGGGTAACAAAACATTGCTCTCTGTAATGTGCGCGTTCCAACCATATAGGCCCCTCCCACTGCACACATGAGTACATACCAAAACATTCTTTCCAATGTGCACGTTTCAACAATATAGGCCCCTCCCACTGCACACATGAGTACATACCAAAACATTGTTCTTTCCAATGTGCACGTTTCAACAATATAGGCCCCTCCCACTGCACACATGAGTACGTACCAAAACATTGTTCTATCCAATTCACATGTCTTAGGCCCCGCTCACATGGGTAACAAAACATTGTTCTTGCCAATGTGCATAATCAAACCTCTGGGTGCTACACTAGTGCATGCATGTCAGACTTGTCAGACATTAACCATGGCTATGATTGGTCAAATCATCATGGGGGCGGGGCTTAATGGGTCGGTGTACTGTAGCTCCATAGATAATCTGTACATCTACAGCAGTACCGGTACATTGGATACATGGTCATAGGTTCAACTCCAACAAACATGCGCTCATAGAAAACACCACAAAATCAGAAAGAAAAAGTGCCGCCTGGTGGCGCTCAGGAGCAAGGCGGCAATGTGTTTTTCACTGGTTATTAAAGATTATGACCTCTAGGACAATTTTCTTTTCAATTTTACAAGAGATAGCTGTATCATATTAAAAAATAATATTTTCTCCCCTAAACCACCCCTAAAACGGTTGCCAATCTACATGTATGGGCCCAGGTCTAAATATAGCCCACTGCCTGTATGTGAAATAGACCCACAAGTTGAGGGTTTTTGTGAACGAAATCCCCGGAGTTGGAAGCAACAAATTAAAAATGCTTGATTTCCATAAATATGTCTACAATCCGTCCCAAGTATAGGTCGCAAGGACCTCTTAATCAAAATTCAGGCATGCAACTGGGAAATCACAAAAAAAAAGAGGAAATTCAAATTTTTTCCAGACTTTGTACAGTGTTATTCTATTTTCAATGGCACACATGGGAAGTGAAAAAAGAGGAAATCAGCTGATCCGAGGAAAAGTTGCATGCCTGAAAATTACCTGTGGGATCATATAATATCAAAATATTTTTGAGCTAGCGCACAGTAATTTACAATTTTTTTGTGGTTTGCACCCTCCAATTTTGAAATCAAGCTTTTTAATTTCTTTAATCTGAGGCAGATTTCTCATACCAGAGCACAGCCACATTGATAAAATTGTACATTAATTCACTAAAAAAAATGTTTAAAAACAAAGAAGTACTAACAATTTACACAACAAAATTGAACAAAATTCATATACTAAAAATATAAAACTGGAATGAAGTTCACCTTAGCACTTTTTTTGCAACCAAAATGTGGATTTGAATTGCTGATAAAAAAAACATCCAGTAACAAAATATACATACGCATGAAATGGTACAAAAATATACAGCTCGCTTTTATGAACATGGCCATAGCTGCTTCGCAAAATTTGAAGATGTGAAACTAAGAAAAATCTACACAAATCAACCAAAATAATTTATGACAGTACTGTATAACGTATAGCAACTACTGAATCCTGTTTTTTTTTCATAATCCTGTGCAACCACTCTTGTCAATGGTATATTTGCTGTAGAGAAAGTACAGATTTGACAAATATGATTATGATTATTGAAAATCTAGTAAATACAGGTAAAAGCACCCAAATGTTCTGTTCATAATATTATACCAACCTTGTTTCTTATAATGGTGGGTGGGGTTATTTCAGAAGTTTTCAGACAGCCGTTTTAAAACTGTATATCATTTCAGGCTTGCAGGATTCAGAAATAAACAATACCACACGCACCAACAATTCCTCCTTAAATAAATCCAACCTCAAATAGACAAAACTGAGATAAAAGACAAAACTTCCTCAACCCTAACTCCCTTGACATTTTTTGCTAGGATGCAGCCTCAATCCTGCAAACTCCTCCAACTGCTGCAATGAAAAAATTGCATACAGCCTCAATCCTAAAAAAAATTCATCACTTATTGCTTAACTATGGTCCTTGGAGGGGTGACCACTGCCTCAATCCTGCAAAATCCTCCAGTAATCGCTGTTAATATGTTGAGGCAGAGCCAGTGACATCCTGGAGCAGTATGGAGGATTTCAAGTATAATCTAGGCCTTAATTTATGAATGGCTGAGCATAAACAACACAAGGTTCGGCCCAAGACCTTGACAAAGTGCATCCTCTAAAATCAGCCACACACTTTTGTATATCCTCAATCCTGTATAATCCTCCAATTTCTGCAAGGAGGAGTTTGGCAGATTTGGGAAGGTTAGGGTTAAGTAATAAAGCATTCCATATGCCATGGGGAAAAATGAAGGTTTTTTTATAGTACGATGAATGAAAAATGGTTGGCTACTTTAATAGATACCTGTGGACAATCTCATGGTGCAGCTAAACACACAAATTTGTCAAGCACCGGAAATACCAACTTGGCCAAAAGCGGTTAACAGCAGAAAATGTCATGCGATATAATTGTACTGTTTGGTATTAATTCTTGGATCATTTGTGCTTAGCACAAACATTTGCTAAGCGTTACTTTCTACATAGCGACTCCAAGAAATTGAGCCCCGATTTGTAGGTACCAAAATGCTTACAGTAACAGCTCAACAGTTTAATTTTACTCTACCACTGAGTACATTGAGTACGTGAGGTTTTTGCAGAAACTCAGACACCATCAGTAAGCCCATTGCCGGTACAAACAAAATGTCTTTTTGTCACGGCGGTTGGGTTTCAATACCCCTAGTAAGGTGTGACAGTCTCGGGTAACATTTCAGAAAGCTAGCTCCTAGACTTGTGTATGTGTAAACAGTAGCGGTGTAGGCTTATGCGAGCTGATACAGCCTACTAAGGTTTCATGAATTTAAGACTAACTTGTTGCCTGAGGTTATACGAACTCTTTGAGTTGAAAGAATAGTTGGTGGTGTTTAGTCTACCCTGAGCCCATAGAGGACACATAGGGTGCACGCTAGTGTTGCAGTAAAGGCCTTGTCATGGATCACAACAGGCCGTCACCAAGATGGGGGGGGGGGGGGGGGGGCCTGGTGGTAACTAACATTGTCATTGTTTGAATTCTCCATCATTTAAAGAATAACCCACCTTAAATAAATCTTCATATATTATTAGGTAAGGCAAATTCTTATCAAAAAGTTTTGATGGATAGTCTCGATAACTTGCATGGCGCGATAGGAATGTGATAGGAATCAGATTTTTGTATGTTCTTCCGACTTATTTCGCAACTTAAAACTTACTTTTAGTCCCATATACTTTTCCTGTTTAGGAAGTTGTAACGTTTGTGAAATGATTATTCAATATTTGTGTTTAAAAATATTATAAATCTCCTCTGAATTTTGAGGAAAAATCTGCTGCAGAGACCCCCAGATTTGCTCTAAAATGCACCCGAGAGCTTCTAAAGTTCAAAGTTTTGTTGTGAGTTGGTGTGTCACTATAAAACTTCCCGCACAGGTTTGAAAAATTTCACGCCCCCCCTTTTGGAAAATCCTGGATCCGCCCCTGGAATTTTGTATTTTTGATGGTAGTGGGCCCCCCTAGTTGGTACTATGATGCTCAGGGCTGGATCACAAGTCAATCACAAGTCACAAGGCCATCACAAGTCAGTCACAGATCGTCCTAAGTCAACTCAGTGCCCTAGCTGTTACTTGTGACTTGGCTTGTGAGTAGACTTGTGATTTACTTGTGACCGGATTTGTGGTGTACTCGTGATCCTTCATTTAGCTTGACTTCAACACTATGGGCGCATGCACAGGGCCCTGTGTAACCTACCAATGGACGCCAGTGAACAATTACAGCAACTGTATTTCATTACTATACCTCATACATATTCATGACCAAGAGCCGAATTCTCAGTGGTCCATTCACCATCACATGCCAGATGCTATATTTGCTGTTTACCAAACACGCGCGAGTATTCACGCACAGGCTAAGTACGCATGCATAGTAGACTGTCGCATGGGTTACCTGTGCGACTGTCTACTACGCATGCGCTTTACGAAGCAATCGTCACACTTGTGAAGATCGCACGCGCGAACATCGCCCTATAGCTATACATGAAAGGATGGTTGCACACGTAAATGATAATAAGCATTTTCCCGCCCTCAATGACATGAATGATGCCGAATTGGAGAATATTGTGGACAATAAAGATGCCTCCTGTACTAAAAAAAGTTGTCCAAAAACAATTGTATTTACAACCGTAGTTACTGTATTGCAAACGAACTGAACTTTTCCGAGTTTGACTAATATTATTCTTCTGGTGAGCAGGACAAGTTTCTCCGAAGATATTTTTGTGGATGCATACTGCGGGAAAAATCGGCAACTGAATATGTATGAGGTATAGTAAAACAAATTATAACATGGTTTGAGGGTGGACAGTTGATATTTCGCTCCCCGAGGTATTGGAAGTTGACAAACTAGTTAAGAAGCGAAGCAGAGGGAACTAGTCGGTCAACTTCCAATACTGTTCCATATGCACACTTGTGAGACGTTTGGGCAAAATGAGACGAAACTGGGCACATACAGGCCGTAGTGGAGAAAAATGCAAACAAAACCCCAAATGGTGGTGATTTCTGTTTCATTTGCTGATCTATATATTAATATTTGTAATCTTTGATATGTCTACTACAGTTATTTTAAAGAAATAGTACAAAATTGTGGAATAAAAGTTTGTTTTTTGTTTTGAAAAAAAACATGTGGCATCTTTCATTTTCACAAAGGCTTTTGGAAAGATTTCCATATAAGAAGTTCACTCAACACCCTGTGTACAAACCCTATGAGAGTGGACTGAAAAATTCTAAGTGTTTTCTAAGAAAATGCTTGTATTTTCTCACTGCTCAAATTGACTTTGATGACATGAAATTGCTATCTGGGGGCTTGTTAGTCAATACAGAGGAAAATTAGTAAACTTCTTCTATGGAAATCTTTCCAGATTTTTTACTTTCTTGATATGTCAATAAGTGGGAATTTTAAACAGTCACAAATTGTCCATGGAATGTCCGTTTGAAGTACAACAAACAGTACTGTAAGGAGACTTTGATTCTCTTTCCTAAAACTGAAAACCTCATTTCGACCTCCTCCCAGTTCTGTCCCATTTGCCAGAGTGCCTCAAGTGTTATTCATTTACATTTCAGCAGCAAATGTGACATTGATAGAAGTTTCTCCTGGCATTGAGAGCAGGGTAGGCTGGTGTCACGTCCCCTCATCATGTTCTAGACTTCAAAAGGAAAGGGGAACCAGTCTAGAAGGGACGGTTCCCACCACACCGGTTCACATGCAACATTATCCCTAATTCAGCATCACTGCAAACCATTGAAAGCAACGCTTTGCATTTCCACCGCTTTAAAAACCAAAGCATTACAATATGATATTGCAGCATAATATTACAATACATTATTGAAAATATTGCAAATTTATTACCACAATAAAATGAAAAATAGTTAAAAACTGCTGGTCAATCAATCGTGTTAATTACTACATATGTTAGTAAAGAAAAACATGACGAGCCTAGTCAGTGTTTGGTACCAAGACTCTCACGTAAAGAGTAAATGTGAACTGACCAGCACCCGATTTCATCAACTTACGATGCATCGCATCGCTGCGACGCATCGCATCCCTACGATGCGTCGCAGCTGCGACGCTTCCTGCGATCCATTTCACGAAACACGTCGTAAGTGCGACGCGTCGTAGGTGTATTTATAGCACGACTCGGTGACTGTTTTATGTATTTAGTCAGCGTACAGTAAATAGTCGTCTGATATTCAACAAACAGTCGTCGGATCTCAGCTCGAAATTTGTTAAAACGTAAAACAAAATGGCGGTCGTGCGATGCAATTTTGAAGGAAAACAAGCTCTCAGTGGACTGTATAGCTACTTTGAAATTTTCAACTGCAATATTCCAGTCTAATTCATAATTATTTAATGAATTTTCTATTGACAACTTTACACACATTGCCTTGGTATTATAATCTCGTTAATGTAATGTTTATGGCATTAAACTGGCTTAGATAATGACTCTTCTTATTTTGCGATGACCACTAGACACGTCGTAACACGTGTTTTAAGCCGTTGTCAAGGAACTTACGACGCGTTCAACACATCGCAACTTTCGTGAAATGGATGATACGACGCGTCGCGAGTTGCGACGTGTTACACGTCGTAACTCGAGTTGCGACGCGACGCAGTGCTTCGTGAAATCAGGTTCAGCCTTCATGCTGTACAGGAGATATAGTTCAAACTAAATTATACAAGTCTCCATCCACTAAACGTGGGAATCATGCTTGACGTTTGTCCCCTTGATGTACGAGTAAGCTACAGGCAGAAGGCCGAGGGCTAACAATGCGAGGGACAATAGAGGGCGATACCATAGCCATCCCAAGGCAATGGTCATGGTGGTTAGCGAGAGCGAGACGCAGATGTTGAATGCTGTCAGGCCGATGCGTACCAAGGTGCGGAGCAATGGGACCCAGTCAACTGTGGAGATATGATAAACAAAGTCAAGCTTTCAGTATAATGTCGCAAGAAAAATTTGTGGATTTACCATGTGAAATGACGATCTCTTAAAAACGGGTGGTTGTGAGAAGAACCCCAAGTTTGTAGCTTCTTAGGAGAACTTCCCTTTCAAGAGTGACTCACTTCACATGATGTAACCGCAAAGTTCTCCTAAAGTTTCACTCCCAGTAATGCCTCTAATAAGCCAGTTCGGTATTCCAACTGCGCATGCACACAGTGATATGGGTCACGGGTCATTCGGGATAATCGAAGGTGCATCGAATGCGCATGAACGCGCAAAGAGACGGGCGCAGGGAAACTTGGTCAAGGCACTTTGTCACTCATTGCTATTCCTCAGAGGAGAATAACTGGGTACCTGTGAGGGTCGAGATGGTTATTGTGGTTGATTTTAGCTGCTTGGCGCTGAAATGGCAGCATTGAGGCGGTGAGCTGTACATGTATATGGGCTCCTTGCACAAGTACTTCTTCAACGGCCAGAAAAGGAGAGTTGGGGGAGGCCTAGACTGGTTCCTGGTCCATCCACAGCGTATTTTTGAATGATCCCAAGTTATGGGGGGGGGGTAGTCTGGGAGACCATCACAAATTAAATTTGAACGTATTCTAGCACCAACGACGCCTGACGCTCACGCGAAGATGTTGTGGCTAAAAAAAAAAAAAATAGCTTTAGCACATTCATGAAGTTGAGATTCAGGGAGCTGAGATTGTCTTTGGAATGTTTCATTGGCCCAATGAGCAATAATGATGTAGCGCCTTAACACCAAAAGGTGCACTTTACTATATCGATATCAAATTGTGCCCAAAAGTCACAAACTGCAAAGCAATGCAAGGCTGCAACATAAAACCCACTCACACAAAACATCACAGTTCACGTACATCAGAGAAGGTCTATGCATAGATTATGTCAGATGAAAATGACTTCTTACTCACCTATGGTGTATATAATGTTGGTCATGAAGTTCAAACCCAGGAACATGAGCAGCCAGCCACCGGCTCGTAATGTCCAGGTCAGCACGTTGCTAGAATATAACTCATCTAAAATCATCTCCTGGAAAAAGGGGACAGGAAAAACTAAATCGATTAGCTTCAGTAGGCCGCATGTGAATCTCTTGTCTTGAACTTTGCGGCCTTATGCACAAGTTGGCCATTTTTGTCGAGTTCCCTGAATGTGTTTCATTCATTGTTAACAGTTGAATGGGATGGCGCCAGACTTTTTATGCAGGCATAATGCAGCTTTATTTTACTGTCATTTTTTTTTTTAATCTTGCTTTGCTTTAAACATTAGGGAATGTTTAATTAAGGGAATAAATGTGTGCTCGAGAGGTTTTAATCACTCTGTTTAAGACTGCTTAGAGTCTGGGTGCTGATAATTACCCGAGCCGGAGGCGAGGGTAATTATCAGCACCCAGACTCTAAGCAGTCTTAAACAGAGTGATTAATACCGACCGAGCACATATTTATTCCCATTCATAAATACCTTTTCGGTAAAAAAAAATCGAGGAATTCGTTCAAAAAATCCCGATTTTGATCAACAAGTTCACTCCAGCTTTTTGAAACATCTCTCTATCAAAATAATGGAGTGTTCAGCTGGCGAGTAAGATGTAAACAACCCTTTTATTGAGATTGACGCGCGCGTAGCACGTTCTGCGCGATGTCGCGCAGAACGCACCTGGCGCGTTGCGTTTTGAATTTAGAACTATAAAATTCTGACTCACTGGTAGTGTTGCGCATGCCTACGTGAGGATTGTGAACGTTCAACCAATGAAACGGTAAGAGGCACTGGATTTTTAGGAGTCCACATTTTATGTGACACTGGAAAAGTGTTTAAGACCAGCTAGCCATGTCTTTATCATCCGTTTAAGACCGGCCACGTGACAGGCTCTCGACCAATAGAAATGGCTAAACTGTCTGAGGTATTTATGAATACAAATTCTAAATTATTCATTGAAGCAGACTGGAATTAATTAGTAATTAGCTTGCTTTCATTTCTCTTCGCAAGTACCAAAAATTAAGATTTTACCTCACTTTCACTTCAATATGGCGGACTCGTGCATAAGGCCCATTGTCAAGGTCTTTGCTCATAAAAACTACATGGGTGCAGGCTGACAATAGACACAACAGCCATAACTCTGGAAACCCAACCTCGTCCCCATGGTTACTTTAATTTCAACCTCTAATATAGTAACCCCTGGATGGGAACTTTCTTTCTGTATCCTGATTGGATACAGCAAAAGCAAGTAATACAATTTAGAAATCATTTCATGGGATCCCCTAAGCAAATTTGTAAAACAAAAATGGTCTTTACCTCTGCAGTTTTTTCTCCGAAGTGAACTAGTTCCAGAGGGTCCCCTGCCTCTGTCTGGTACTTTGTTAGCTGGTTCCCAGACTGCTTGGCTATTATGCTAACCTGGTTAAAATCAACATCAAGAATTCGCCAATTTATATAAAAGCCATATTGAGTCGGCGCATGAACTGTACATACAGCCTGTCTAAAAAAAAATGGTACAATCCGAAAAAAATTGGTTAAATATGAAATTTCAAAATAAGTCATTCTTACTTGACAAAGACTGGGCTTTCCAATAGTGTTTGTTTGATCTTATTTGCTTTTGTCAATTCAGAGATATAATCAATTTTAGTGCGAAACACCAAAATCGATTTTGTGCCACTTTTATGCACGGGCAGAGTAGTTTCTTCGAGTACTCCGCCATGCTGTCTTGAAGCTCACAAAAGATTGCAACTTGGCAAAAGAAACAAACTCGATTTTTGTGCTCCGCAGTAAACTGGAGTTATCTCTGGATTGACAAAAGCAAATGAGATGAAACAAAAAGTATTGGAAAGCCTGGTCTTTTTTTTTTAATGTGATGCTCAAAACGACTTACTTATGTTGAGATTTAATATTGAAAAAAAAAAATTGTTTTCGATTGTACCATTTTTTTGGAGACAGGCTGTAGATGGCGCTGTGTACTACACAAGAGAGCGCCTAGGTGTCTGAGACACTATACTTTTACTTCCCAGAGCCACAATTGAAGAGGTGCAATTGCTCATGAATATGTATAAGGTGTAAAAAACTGAACTTACTGTATCAGCAGGCACGAGGGATTGGTCGAGGCGCATTTGCTCATTAATATATGTATATAATATCCTTGATGTACGGGTTTTCGAGGGTGTAAGGATTTATTTCAAGCAAGAGAAAAACACCGACATAGCCTTCGGTTTCCAAATTTTGGGGGCTGGCGGTGGAACACGTACCGCACACACAACAAATCATGTGCGGTATGAATCTGTGCCTGTGCGTCGCTACAAGGTCAAACCTCGCAAACTTGATGCCTCGAAAACAGGTACAGCCGGGACGATATTAGTTACCTCACAAAGATGTAGTGCATCTGTGTCCCATATGCCACAAGCCCAAGTGGGGGTGCCGGTCAACTCGGTTGGTCACTGACCGAGTCGGTCACGGACCGAGTCGGTCACGGACCGAGTTGACTCGGACCGAGTTGGTCACGGACCGAGTTGACCTGAAAGCCCAAGTGGTATGTGGAATGGAGTGCCGAAGTGTGACGTCATTTAGAACCAGAAAGTGTCCTGCAAACAAATGGAGTATGCGCGCGTGTTGGTTCACGGGCTGAATCATGCGCTAATGTCTATTACACACATTTTGTGCGCGTGATGTATTCGCTTCGGTACTCTATACAGACGCACATCTTTTTTGTTCCATGAGCGCGAGTGGGTGATGATTTTATCTGCATGCAAACTTGACGCACAGTAAAGATGCCATGCGCGCACGGTGGTCACTTTGTATCACATTTCACATGCCTGGAGTAGGAATAGCGCGGACATCTGAGAATATTGCAATACACACGGTCGCATGTAGACCTTAGCGTATAGGATAATATCACGCTGAAGTTGCCATGAATCAACCAATCAGGATTGAGGATTCAAGTTTGGTTGAAGATAAGGTGTAACAAACATGACTTACTTTATCAGGAGGACCGAGGGGAGAATCTTTGTCGCCGCTCACCCCGGAATAGCTGAAGGTCACTCTCATGTCCCCAACCTACAGACAAACAAATAAATGAACAAACAGTTAACTAACAGACACACAATACATGTAGTTGTTCCTTGTTTACATCATGCACTAAAACTGTGGAAACATCTCCCAAAGTTCCATGAAAGTTTAATACTGGCACTAATCCCCGTTTTTGCAAGTTAATTCTTCAGGTGTAAAACACAGGATTTTCCACTAATAATCCTATTCAAGTAAATCTGATCACAATATTGGTATGGACTACAGGAGCAGAAAAATAGCTCCACTGTTATGTGTACTCATGTAACATGTAACAGCACCTATGTATACTCATATGCTGAGAGCTGTACTCAACATCAGCTGGAGAGATCATATTACTAACACTGATCTGTATGGGGAGCTTCTTAAGGTTGGGGACAAAATTGCCTTCAGAAGGATGAAATTAGCAAGACATTGCCACCGTCATGCTGAGCTACCCACGAGTCAGCTAATACTCTGGGGGCCGACACATGGAAGAAAACACAGAGGCAGACCAAAGGCATCATACATAAATGTACAGGGTGAGTAAAAAAAAAAAAAAAAAAAAATGTTGGGACCATTGTTTAAGGGAAGTTCTGCATGCAGCATTTTCAAAATGTAGGATATGAAATCCCAATTCATAAGCTTTCTTTTAGTACAAGAATCATTCAAATCACTAATGTACTTTTCAAGTTACAGAATTTTAAACACAACCACCGTTTTAAGGTTCCGTCCACGGATCCCAAAAAAAGACCAGTGTTCTTTCATAAAAAAACGAAAAGAAATCACATAGGGATGTGTGTGATTTGTTTTCGTTTTGTTGAAAGAACGCACACCTTTTTAGTGATCCGTGGACAGAACCTTAAAACGGTGGTTGTGTTTAAAATTCCGTAACTTGAAAAGTACATGAGTGATTTGAATGATTTTTGTACTAAAAGGAAGCTGATGAATTGGGCTTTTACATCCTAGATTTTGAAAGTGCTATATGCAGAACTTCAATAAAACAGTAGTCCCGACATTTGGGTTTTTTTTACTCGCCCTACATGCAGAACTTCAATAAAACAGAAGTCCCGACATTTGTTTTTTTTTACTCGCCCTGTATTGAAGAGAGACAAAGGGGTGGAAGAGACAAATGAGCTAGATGCATGCATGAGGAATCGTGACGAATGGAGGCTCCGTGCCAGGGCTTGGCTCTGGCCGACTTAGTGAGTGGGTGAGTTTCAAGTAATTACCTTGGGCCGGTGAGGATTCTCTGCCTGGTAAAATATCCCGTCCATGAGCTTGACATTTGGGTTGGTTGGCTGTGTGCTGGGAACGTAGGGCTGGAATGCGTCAATTTTCTCCTTTAGACTGTCTTTCAGCATGTAGTTGCCTACGTAGGTATGTATGGCTACAAAGGTCATTGGGCGCACTAGCATTTCTCTGTGTAGAAAATGGACGAGGATCTATTCAGGCATTGTGTAAAAGCAAATATTTATGAACGATGCGAGCTTTGTGAGCTACTAAGCACAGAAATTAACCTGCTACAGATATTTTTCTTAGCAAAAATTCTAAGCAGCCAGCTTGTAAATATGCTTGTGACTAGTTCCTAGCCAATCTGTGCTTAGCACATAATTTATGCTTAAGCCCCAGTCACACATTCACGGTTTGGAGCTACTAATAATATCCACAGCTAACAAAGAATTTCAATTGATCATGATGAACTGTGGAGATTCGTGGAGAAATCAACTTTCTAAGAATTCACTACAGTTTCAGGACTAGTCTTAGCCACGACTGTCCTTCGGTTTCTCTTCAAATACACCACGGTTTGTCAAGATTATGGATGGATCGGTGAAGAATATCGACGGTATAACTAAGAATAATGAAACGTCGAGATTCGTGGAGAAATCAACTTTCTACGAATGCACTACAGTTTCAGGACTCTTAGCCACGACTGTCCTTCGGTTTCTCTACGAATACACCACGGTTTGTCAAGAATATGGATGGATTGGTGAAGAATATCGACGGAATAACTAAGAATAATGAAACATCGAGGTTCGTGGAGAAATCAACTTTCTAAGAATGCACAACAGTTTCAGCACTCTTAGCCACGACTGCCCTTTGGTTTCTCTACGAATACACCACGGTTTGTCAAGAATATGGATGGATTGGTGAAGAATATCGACGGTATAACTAAGAATAATGAAACATCGAGATTCGCGGAGAAATCAACTTTCTAAGAATGCACAACAGTTTCAGGACTCTTAGCCACGACTGCCCTTTGGTTTCTCTACGAATACACCACGGTTTGTCAAGAATATGGATGGATTGGTGAAGAATATCGACGGTATAACTAAGAATAATGAAACATCGAGATTCGCGGAGAAATCAACTTTCTAAGAATGCACAACAGTTTCAGGACTCTTAGCCACGACTGTCATTCGGTTTCTCTACGAATACACCACAGTTTGTCAAGAATATAGATGGATTGGTGACGAATATCGACGGTATAACTAAGAATAATGAAACATCGAGATTCGTGGAGAAATCAACTTTCTAAGAATGCACAACAGTTTCAGGACTCTTAGCCACGACTGTCCTTCGGTTTCTCTACGAATACACCACAGTTTGTCAAGAATATGAATGGATTGGTGAAGAATATCGATGGTATAACTAAGAATAATGAAACATCGAGATTCATGGAGACATCAACTTTCTAAGAATTCACTACAGTTTCAGGACTAGTCTTAGCCACGACTGTCCTTCGGTTTCTCTACAAATATACACCACAGTTTGTCAAAAATATCGATGGATTGGTGAAGAATATCGACGGTATAACTAAGAATAATGAAACATCGAGGTTCGTGGAGAAATCAACTTTCTAAGAATGCACAACAGTTTCAGGACTCTTAGCCACGACTGTCCTTCGGTTTCTCTACGAATACATCACAGTTTGTCAAAAATATGGATGGATTGGTGAAGAATATCGACGGTACAACTAAGAATAATGAAACATCGAGATTCGTGGAGAAATCAACTTTCTAAGAATGCACAACAGTTTCAGGACTCTTAGCCACGACTGTCCTTCGGTTTCTCTACGAATACATCACAGTTTGTCAAAAATATGGATGGATTGGTGAAGAATATCGACGGTATAACTAAGAATAATGAAACATCGAGATTTGTGGAGAAATCAACTTTCTAAGAATGCACAACAGTTTCAGGACTCTTAGCCATGACTGTCCTTCGGTTTCTCTACGAGCACACCACCGTTTGTCAAGAATATGGATGGATTGGTGAAGAATATCGACGGTATAACTAAGAATAATGAAACATTGAGATTCGTGGAGAAATCAACTTTCTAAGAATGCACTACAGTTTCAGGACTCTTAGCCACGACTGTCCTTCGGTTTCTCTACGAATACACCACGGTTTGTCAAGAATATGGATGGATTGGTGACGAATATTGACGGTATAACTAAGAATAATGAAACATCGAGATTCGTGGAGAAATCAACTTTCTAAGAATGCACAACAGTTTCAGGACTCTTAGTCACGACTGTCCTTCGGTTTCTCTACGAATACACCACGGTTTGTCAAGAATATGGATGGATTGGTGAAGAATATCGACGGTATAACTAAGAATAATGAAACATCGAGATTCGTGGAGAAATCAACTTTCTAAGAATGCACAACAGTTTCAGGACTCTTAGCCATGACTGTCCTTCGGTTTCTCTACGAAGACACCACAGTTTGTCAAGAATATGGATGTATTGGTGAACTTCGATGGTATAACTAAGAATAATGAAACATCGAGATTCGTGGAGAAATCAACTTTCTAAGAATGCACAACAGTTTCAGGACTCTTAGCCACGACTGTCCTTCGGTTTCTCTACGAACACACCACGGTTTGTCAAAAATATGGATGGATTGGTGAAGAATATCGACGGTATAACTAAGAATAATGAAACATCGAGATTCGTGGAGAAATCAACTTTCTAAGAATGCACAACAGTTTCAGGACTCTTAGTCACGACTGTCCTTCGGTTTCTCTACGAATACACCACGGTTTGTCAAGAATGTGGAAGGATTGGTGAAGAATATCGACGGTATAACTAAGAACAATGAAACATCGAGATTCGTGGAGAAATCAACTTTCTAAGAATGCACTACAGTTTCAGGACTCTTGGCCACGACTGTCCTTCGGTTTATCTATGAATACACCACGGTTTGTCAAGAATATGAATGGATTGGTGAAGAATATTGACGGTATAACTAAGAATAATGAAACATCGAGATTCGTGGAGAAATCAACTTTCTAAGAATGCACAACAGTTTCAGGACTCTTAGCCACGACTGTCCTTCGGTTTCTCTACGAACACACCACGGTTTGTCAAGAATATGGATGGATTGGTGAAGAATATTGAGGGTATTACTAAGAATAATGACGTTAACAACACGGCAGTCTGCGATTGGGCCACAGATGACCAAGGTTCTCCTTCGAACAAAGCGTTCGTACATTTGTACAACCTTAGTACAACCTTAGCAGAACCCTAGCATATCCCGAGCTACAAACCGTGAATGTGTGACTAGGGCTTTAGCAAACGTTTCCTCTTAAAATGTTGGTCCGTGATTTGGTCAGCTGAGGTGTCTGGTGGACTCACTTTGGATTCTGATGGTGGGCGGGATTGTTGAAGCCATTGGCGTCTACAACGTACGGTTTCCATTCTTTGGCTGTGTGGGCACAAAAGGAAAAGAAAAGTGAAGCTAAAATGTTGGTATACATGTTATCATATTTTAGAACCAACATATAAAAAAATGTCCGATTAATTTTTTTTTAACTGGTAAATTTGCAATGCACAGAGCTGCAGAATTTACACCAGTTCTTACTGTCTGGAACTGCAAAAGCTTTCAGCATACAAAACTGTATTTTTTGTTACAAGAATTACTGGTGAAACAAAAGGTGATAGTGGTAACAAAAATCCAAAGCCAAAATTACTAACTTCACTTTTTTTCAAATGGATGTGAAGATTTCTCCAAGTACTGATTCTTGATTAGAGTCCTGAAATCTGATTAAAATAATATGAACTTCAAACTGCTTGGATAAGATTTAAAGGTTCACATGGTAAAGATATCAATAAGATCAAGATTTACGGTAGCACCGTGTGACAAATCTCTTTTGTGAGTTTGCTTGGTTCTGAGAAGAACTGGGGGGAAACTAAACATTTTGGACAGTATACTCTGCCTGTCATCAGAAGACGTCATCAGTCTCCTGACGACGGGCAGAGTATACTGTCCAAAATGTTCAGTTTTCCACGGTTCTTCTCAGAACCTAGCAAACTCACAAAAGAGGTTTGTCACATGGTGCTACCGTAAATCTTTATCTTATTCAAATCACGGTTCCCACAGAAATCTGAAACCAAATTCTATGACTTTTCCAGGACTTTCCAGGACTTTCCAGGACTAAAATATGACAATTTCCATGACATTTAAGGCCATTTTGCAGAGAAAAGTCGTTTGTTATTATGATACCGATGAACCGCTGATGTTAGGCTAACCATTTGTTAGCTTTTGAAAATAAATTTTAATTAATAATGGCCTCCTCCTCCCCTTACAGCCATCCTTAAACCCCCGTCAAAAATAACCCTTACATGATCTTGATGTCCATGACTTTTCCATAATTTCCCAGAACAACTTTTTTCCCGGACTTTCCATGAGTTTTCCTGACTGTGGAAACCCTGTCAAATTCGGGCGATTCACAATGCAGTGCGCCACCAAGATTTTGCCACTAAGAGCTAATTTTTCCCAGTGCATTGTGGGAGATGGTTGACAAATTCGCAGCACGGAACATTTGAAATTGTTAGCGTTTCCGGTCAGTAGTTTCGTAAGCGTATGATTTGAGTATATGTTTGCCCTTTAAAAAAAAAAAAAAAGGTGTTTTTTAGTAAGGCGGCAGAACGCTATGCCCCAATCTGTAACAAATTAGCTCAAGTTGTCTACTGACACTCATTCAAATGGGCCATATTTTGCCAACCGTAAACTTAAAATATAAACTCTCCATGGCAAACGCTTGGTGGCGCACTGCATTGTGAATCGCCTGAATTGATTAAGATTGCTCTACATTCTTTTTCTAGCCGTCACCTCTAGCAAACTCTGTCTTGGATGTTGGTTGCTGATAATGGATAGCGATTTTCAGAAAAGAAAAAGAAAAGCACTAAACTTACTGTACATATAATCTGTTTCTATCCTTATCTCTGATCCTTCATCGATTTCTCGTTTCTTCTGGTGTTCCACCCATTGGTACATAGCCACATCTCGTCTCAGCTTGACAGCCTGCACACTCACATCAAACAGCACATCTACAAGCGGCTATCAAAAACACAAAACATATTTGGATAAAATCAAGCAGACTCCAACATATGATCAATCTGTTAACAAATTTGCAACAACAAACCTGAAATCACAAACCACAATGGGAAACTGACTAGGTGCATATATAGTCGTGTTCCCTAACGTGGCGCACTTCGAAGCTTACCCGACTTTCCTCGTCTAGTGTTGCCAAACTTCTTTGTTGACAAGCCTCAAATTCATGCAGTAAAATACTAGTACTTTTACCTTATTAATGCTTGCTATTTAACCTCTGTGAACAATTTCGGTTTCATAACATTCAATCCGAAATTCAAAAACGGTGGCGTCCGGAAATTGGGCACAAATTGGCGGAGTGTTCCCTAACGTGACGCACTTGAATAAATCTTGGAAAATTCCAAATTAACATTTAAGAATTTCTGTAAACTTGATAAATTTTGATAAATAATTATTATCTATACTTACATACCCAGCCAGATGTTTGTCAGAAAATTATTTTCTTATTTCTTGGGGCATTTTCAAAGGGTTCACTTTGCACTTGAAAATAAAATCGGAAAATCACGCCAAAATTATTTTTTCTTCTAACTTTGTTACGGGGAAATAAACTCGTGATTTATGAACAGGAGTGTTTAGAACTTGATGAAATTTTACTTTCTGTGATATTTTAGTTAAAACTTTTGCTCTAGGTAGGCGCTACAGGCGAAAAATCAAAGTGCGCCATGTTGGGGGCAGCGCCACATTAGGGTACCGTACATCAACAATAAAACAATTATACAGTTGAACAAAAAAATTGACTGGAGCAGGGTTTAAACCAGACTGGGACCTGGAGTGCTCTGAAACGTGCAAAAAAAAAAATCAGGCCAACTTTTACTCACTCTTTAGCCAGCGTATTTCTCCAAAAATTCCATTGGGCAAAGAAATAGTCCTCAGTATTTCACCAACCAAGTTTGCAGACTCAATTCAAATTTTTAATGGAGACAATTCTTCAATATTTTGCACATGAGAGGGAAGTCAAGTGATTTCAAAATGAGGCTAAAGACCAGACTGGTACATGTCCAACCATGGTCCAACTATTTGAAAAGACTGACCTCTTCATTCAGTGTCATTAGTCTGGTGGCTGACTTTGGAGAAATGTGTAGAAATAGAGATTAGTTCCCGGTTCATGCCACATGTTTCTTTTGGCACAGTTGATTGATGCTGTACTGAAGCAGTGTTGGACTGGTTGTTTCAGGTGCCAAACTATTTTCTTGTATTGCATGTTTTCAATACTTTAAGTTTTGGGACTCTATATCTCATACACTGTATGGAGAGTCCCAAATTTTCGGACTAGGATTAAACCTGCAATCTCCAAGAAAACCGGACCAGTGTTCAGGAGGTCACAGGTTCAAATCCCGCTCCAGAAACTTTCCTTTGTTCAACTTTATAATCCAAACAAACCTGATCTGTTCTCAGATTCCCCGTCAAATGCACAAGTTTGTAGTTGTTTTCCTGGAAGATGACTTTGTTGTTGGTGATGGGTACGACAAGGCGTAGACCTTCGTCTAAAGAGTACGCTGTCTGTACTGCTTTGCCCTGGAAAGAAAGCACAAACATTTACTGTATTGATATCAAAAATCAACATTACACAGGTTATGGATCTGCCAGTGCATGCCACGTACAGGACCTAGTCCGAAAATTTGGGACTCTCAAAATTGTGTATGAGAGTCCCAAAACTTAAGGTATTGAAAACATGCAATACAAAAAAATAGACTGGCACATGAAACAACCAGTCCAGCACTGCTTCAGTACTGCATCAATCAACTGTGCCAAAAGAAACATGTGGCAAGTTCGGAACTAGTCTCTATTACTACACATTTCTCCATAGTCAGCCACCAGACTAAATGACATTGAATGAAGAGGTCAGTCTATTCAAACAGTTGGACCATGGCTGCACATGTACCAGTCTTGTCTTTAGCCTCATTTTGAAATCACTTGACTTCCCTATCATGTGCAAAATATTGAAGAAATGTCTCAATTGAGTCTTCAATTTTGGATGGTGAAATACTGAGGACCTTTTCTTTGCCCAATGGATTTTTTAGAGAAATTTGCTGGCTAAAGAGTGAGTAAAGTTAGCCTGATATGTTTTGCACGTTTAAGAACCCTCCAGGTCCCAGTCTGATACAGGACCTTACACTTTCTCGCAAGTATCTTGAAACCAATACATTTATTACATCCGCTTCATTGGGCAATACATTGGAATTGAATAGCCACACGTCCACATTAAGCTTCGCTTAGCTGATTGATGATGCTATTACACGTTTCAATATACCATATAGCTGGGATGTGCTGTGGTGCCAAGGAGAGTTGGTTGTCATTGAAAATGAGGGTTGCTCTTCATTTCGAAAAAATACCAGTGATGAATATGGGAATCTATCTACATGAGTTTTTTAACAATCATATAAGCATTTCCTGTCTTCAGTAGTATATCACAACATTTCAGACAAAATAAGTTTGTATAATCTTGCGTACATAATGATTTTTTTTCTCAAAATAAACAATCATTTAATTAAGGCAAGGCTTTCTTAAGCCTTAGTCTGAAAATTGGTTGCCTAACTATTAGTTGCCCAACATTCCATCAACGAGAGACTTTTGAGACGTTGATAGCAGCAAACACATAGGTCCTTTTCCATTGTTTGCGTTATATTGAGCATGCATACTTTAGCTTAAACATGAGGTAAACAATTGAAAAGGACCGGTGTGTTTGTCTTAAAAGCCTCCTATTGAAGATCAGTGCGTCCAAGTTGTTGAAATTTTACGTGCCACACTCACTGGAATGACATAATGGGGTGTCCAAACTCACCTCTAGGTGGTCTTGGTTTCAAGGCTGGATTTGGACTCTGTTCACAATAATATAGCCAGTCCATATCCTGGACAGGATGTGGTGGTGGAGGATGCTACATGTATTAACAGGATAAATCAAATCCAACGTTGAGAACTTTGGCACCTTGACCCGAGAAATTCTGAGTATGCCTCACTGAATGTCTTGGGTTAGAGTGCCAAAGTTACCTAGACTGGATTTGATTCATCTTGTCGATAGTGCCCTCTACCAACGCAACAGCTTCACCACATATGAGGGACTGATGATTGGCTGCATGCAGTGTGACTAGTCGAGTCCATCACAAGTCCATCACAAGTCCATCACAAGTCCTTCACAAGTCCATCACAAGTCCATCACAAGTCCATCACAAGTCCATCACAAGTCCATCACAAGTCCATCACAAGTCCATCACAAGTCCATCACAAGTCCATCACAAGTCCATCACAAGTCCATCACAAGTCCATCACAAGTCCATCACAAGTCCATCACAAGTCCATCACAGGTCCATTACAGGTCCATCACAAGTCCATCACAAGTCCATTACAAGTCCATCACAAGTCCCTCACAAGTCCCTCACAAGTCCATCACAAGTCCATCACAAGTCCATCACAAGTCCATCACAAGTCCATCACAAGTCCATCACAAGTCCAATCACAAGTCCATCACAAGTCCATCACAGGTCCATTACAGGTCCATCACAAGTCCATCACAAGTCCATCACAAGTCCATCACAAGTCCCTCACAAGTCCCTCACAAGTCCATCACAAGTCCATCACAAGTCCATCACAAGTCCATCACAAGTCCATCACAAGTCCATCACAAGTCCATCACAAGTCCATCACAAGTCCATCACAAGTCCATCACAGGTCCATTACAGGTCCATCACAAGTCCATCACAAGTCCATCACAAGTCCATCACAAGTCCATCACAAGTCCATCACAAGTCCATCACAAGTCCATCACAAGTCCATCAGTCTCAAGTCAAGTCACTAGCTATTTAAATGAACTGTGACAAAAGCATTACTTTGCCATTGTTCATCCTGTTACTTATGACTATATGGACTTGTGATAGACTTGTGATTGGACTTGTGATGGACTTGTGACTGGACTTGCCCCCCCCCCCCACAGGACTTGTGATTGGACTTATGACTGGACTTGTGATGGACTTGTGACTGGACTTGTGACTGGACTTGTGATAGACTTGTGATGGACTTGTGATGGACTTGTGACTGGACTTGCCCCCCCCCCCCCACAGGACTTGTGATTGGACTTGTGATGGACTTGTGATGGACTTGTGACTGGACTTGCCCCCCCCCCCCCCCCACAGGACTTTTGACTGGACTTGTGATTGGACTTGTGATGGACTTGTGATGGACTTGTGACTGGACTTGTGATGGACTTGTGATTGGACTTATGACTGGACTTGTGATGGACTTGTGACTGGACTTGTGACTGGACTTGTGATGGACTTGTGATTGGACTTATGACTGGACTTGTGATGGACTTGTGACTGGACTTGCCCCCCCCCAGGACTTGTGATTGGACTTGTGATTGGACTTGTGACTGGACTTGTGACTGGACTTGTGACTGGACTTAGGGGCCGTTCACAATTATCAACATTTTCACAAGTGTACAAAGAGTACACTTTTTCAAGACCCCCCCTCCCCCCTAAAAGTGTACGAAAAAAATGTTGATTTTTTTTTCACACAAGTCTATATATAGACACTTGCATGTGATTTAAAGGGTTTTTGTAACTTTTGTAGATCAAGTTTTTGGCCATGACATGTGACACCGGCCGTTAAAAACACGCAGTGGATACGGACTATACATGTACATACGTACATACAGTACATTTTCATGTACGTGTGTAGGACAATGCCGCGCATGCTGTACACAATACGTTCATTGGATGCAATGCGGGGCCTGGCACGGGGCGAGACCGGCTCGGCAAGTGCTCGATCGGCATCGGTTGCGGCTGTCGGCTGTGGCGACGGGCGAGAAAACAGATCGACATTTAAAAAAAAAAAAAAGCGTTAGGCGGGCATTAACGGTCGAGAAAACATATCGACATTAAAAAAAAAAAAAAAAAAAAAAAGCGTACGACGGCCATTAACCCCCTCCCCCCAGCGTACGGTTTGTACGCTCGTGAAAATGTTGATAATTGTGAACGGCCCCTTATGACTGGACTTGTGATGGACTTGTGACTGGACTTGTGACTGGACTTGTGACTGGACTTGTGACTGGACTTGTGACTGGACTTGTGATGGACTTGTGAAAGAATTTGTGATGGACTTGTGACTGGACTTGTGAGGGACTTGTGACTGGACTTGTGAACAGTGAAAGGACTTGTGAAAGGACCCCCCCCCCCCCCCCCCCCCCGGCTAAATAAAACCTTGCATTTGAAGACTCACCTCATTCAGGAAAAGGATGAAGAAAGACACAACAAACATGCCGATGCCGAGCATGGCTCCGGTGAAACTCTGTGACATACGCTCCAACAACGTGCTCTGAGATTTGTAGCCGACGGTTGTGTGCCGGTCACCACTCTGCTGGGCACCAGTGTTGTGCATTCCGGGATCATCTGGATACTGAGGGAACAGAACAGCATGTCAAAAAACTTCTGTGTGCATTTTGGTTTCAAGATCACAGATTTCTGATCAGGTCAGGTAGGCGCCAATATCTTGTGACCACAACGGGCAGCATTCTTTCCATAATTTCCAAAACTTTTCTGAAGTCTTTGGGACATATTTATGTCCTCCGGAGTTTCCTGGAGCAAATGGTTGTATTTACCAACAGAATGCCCGCAACGTAACATGTAGATTCCTGAAAATTCACACTGTTGTTACTGGATGTGTTGTAAAAATTTTTTGTAAAATCTTGTTGTGTTGTCAATCTTTAACATTTCATTGTAAGCAACAGAGGAGGTGGCAATTTAGAGTTATAAAGCTGTTAATTCTACCCTTGCACCTTTGCTGTTTGCTACAAAGAGTCCTGAATGGAAGGTCAATCTAATAGTTTGTAGAAACTGTTAATAATATTATTACAGGACATCAAACCCGATGTTAAGGACCCACGGACCTTTAATTTTATGTTTGAATAATTTTATGTTTGGAATACATTATTTGGATTAATACCATAGATTATATGAAATTACTGCTTGAGCAAAGTTGCTGTACACATTGTATAGCCTGCTGGGCATATCCTAGCCCCATTACATGTGGCCGCACAATGGACTAAACTCTGTGATGTAGCACGGAGTGTGTGGCCATAGAATGGGGCTAGGCACATGTCAGACAGGGCTCTGGAGTGCTCTGAAACGTGCAAAACTAAATCAGGCCCACTTTACTCACAGTTTAGCCAGCAATTTTCTCCAAAAATTCCACTGGGGCAAAGAAAATGTCCTCAGTATTTCACCAACCAAGTTTGCAGACTCAATTCAATTTTTAAAGGAGACTTTTCTTCAATATTTTGCACATGAGAGTGAAGTCAAGTGATTTCAAAATGGGGCTAAAGACTAGACTGGCACATGTCCAATCATGGTCCAACTATTTGAAAAGTCTGACCTCTTAATTCAGTGTCAATAGACTGGTGGCTTGACTATGGAGAAATGTGTAGTAAATTGAGACTAGTTCCCGCTTCATGCCACATGTTTCTTAAAATCTTTTGGCATGGTTGATTGATGCAGTACTGAAGCTGTGTTGGACTGGTTGTTTTAGGTGCCAGTCTATTTTCTTGTTTTGCATGTTTTCAATACCTTAAAGTTTTGGGACTCTCATACACAGTATTGAGAGTCCCAAATTTTCGGACTAGGCACATGTATACAACTTTTAGTTACCAACCTGCAAACAACTCTAAAAGTTGTATACTTGTAGTTTTGATATGGCTCTCTGTTGTGTTGTATTTTGAGCTCACCATGCAAAATTCTATGCCATTTCATTTCAATATTCAAAATGTGTGTGTTTAGGGTGGGTCCAAAATTGGATTAGCAATTTAGTAATTAATACTGCTCTATCTACATGTATAGTTAATACATAAAAACACCATGAGTCATTCAATTTCAAGGAAGGATTTGCACAATGCAGCCATAACCTGTCAATGAGACATCATACGAAAAAAAACTGGCCCACGACAAGTAATCAATTAATTAATTTCAACTTTTGAATTAAGAACGGGACGCTCCTAATTTGTTCTGAATTTAATATGCGCATTTTCTGAATTGGTGCGCGCCATTTAAAACCACTTTTTAAAACTGTACAAAGGTCTGCAAAAACAAACAAGCAAATTTATTTGTTACAGGACATTATATTCCTTTAAGTTTCGTTTAGAAAGGAAAATCGAAATTTTGAGAGAGCACAATATACCAACTTTAGGACCGAAACAATAGTTGGGACGATCACAATATACCTAGTTGGTTGGGACCATTGACATACTTGGGGTGTAACATCAACATTGTCAAGTTAATTATGCAGGGCAATTACTACAACAAATATCAACTTGCATTCAAAATCAAATTTATCAGTACTAATTCTGTGTACTGAATAAATGTAAGTTAACTGCTTGAACTTTAAGATCCACAGCATTATGAATATCTTTGGTCTTTGACTCTCAATAGAATTCCCAATGATCAAAATTAGCCCATTCCGCATGTTCCGGTAGTTTCATGTATCGTCATGCACCTAAAATGACGAGGATCTATTTCGACGCACTCGCATTCAATTTGCATCGGGCAACGCGCGCGCTTTGCAAGCGTTACCTGCGCCGATTATGGTGACTCGAGGATACTTTATCATGATACATGTACTCCCCCCCCCCCCCGAGTCATTTTGGCACAGCAGGATAACTTTGCAGCTCAATTCGGTTAGTATGCATGATCATAGAGCAAGGAATGATCTTGGATGTAGCTGAAAAGTGGTGGAATTAATTTGCAGATAAAATGGGTTTAAATTCAACCTACCAAACTGTGAACATTTTGCTGTTCGTGATGTGAACTCTATTTTGAACAAAAAGGAAACAAATAAATAAACAAATAAATTTAAATGTTTAAGATCAGTATGACCATGTGAACAAAAACCTGACAAGTTAAATGGCAACAGGGCAAGGGTCGATCATTCAGTTTCAAATTTCCTTATTTTTCTGTTACTTTGTTAATGTAGCTCAAAATATGGTTACAAATAAAATGGGAGGGAAATTCAGAACATTTAATAATCCCTGTTAGTTTCATTTTCTCTCCCATAAAGCTGTGAAAAGTGTTATAATCCTTCATTCCCATTTAATTCCCAAGCCCACCCCCTCCATCCACCACGCCCACCCCACCGTACATAAGTCGGTTGACTTTCGATTTCAACTTTTACTAGTTTCAAGAAAAGTGAAGAACAAATTACAAACATGACAAATCAACAAATGAAATGGCACAAATGACGGAAAGCTTCTTACTTTTGACCGATACATATTGGCGAATCTGATCCAATCACGATAAGCAGATCCTTCAAGCAAGTTATGGGCACACTTAATTTTAAAAAATAGTTTCGTATTTGGCCTGAAATACGCGGCTAACCTCACCCACAAGCTGCACATTCGCATTGCATTTTGTGTCTGGTTTGTGCGCAACGCGTTCACGTTTGCCGACTCGACTTGTTTGTTTGCTTTTCTCATTCCAGTAAAGCGCATGCGGACACATGAAACGGAAGCGCTGATTGGCCAAGCCTGGGAGATAATTAGAAATTCTTATCACATTATCCAATAGTGAGCGCTGTCGCAGTTGTAATTTACAATGCAAGGAGCTTTAAACATGGCTGAATGAAAGGACGCTAGATTGCCCGAAGGGAGGAGAAAATCATCATTTTTCATGAGATTCATTAATTTTTGTCGTCATATTTTGAGTCCAGTGATGTCTAGAACCAGAAATCTTGAAATTGTTTCGTGAACATTTGCATGAGGTAAGGGGGAAAAGTGTTGAAGGGAAGAAGTTTCAATCCGTTCATTCATGTCTTTGTTTCACTTCAACGGGGAATATGCTGTTCATTGACATGCTTCTGTCAGGCGCGCAGTGTGCACGCAACGGTAGCGCAGTGGTGCCTGATGACTAGCGTGTAATGTGTGATTTGCCGTGGGTGTATGTTTATATTTTGACTTTTTGTATCTGATAAAATAGAATACGTTATAAAATGAATTTTACATCAGTCAGTTGTTTAAATTAAACAGGAATCTAGAAAGTAGAATTTTGAATATTTGAAAAATTAAAAATCAAGAAGAGAGACTCAGACTTGTCAGAGAGCGTGAAAATGAAAATTTTGAACAAGTTGAATGATGAATTACATTTAATTTTTTTTTTAACATAATGAACTTGTTTTATGATTAGGTAGGTCCTGCCCTCCCTGTAATCATTTCCTGTTTTTAGTGTTTAATTAATACTTTTGTGTTCAACAAAAATAACTTAAAGTAATTTTTACGTAACATTTGCTGGAAGTACAAAGAAGTAGGTTCATTTGTACGTAAATTACTTCTAGAATAAGAAGGTACCATGTACCTTCTAGCAGGTTTTTTGGGAGGGCTGCACGCTATGGGATTTGGATTGGAGATTTGATAGACAAAGTACTTGCAAACAATTATCTTTTTTGAAAAATCAGACTTTTTACTAACCACCATCTGTATTTCAACATTGCGAACGTTGCACACACACTTGATGTAAACCGTCGCTGATTGCTTCATGCACTCGTGCAGTATTCCTCATTTCGTGGATCGCTTCAGAAAGGGGGATATTTTTTGCAGTGCGCGCCAGCCAAGTCAATGTTGCGCGCGCTCTGAAAAAAATCTCCCCCCTCTGTGTATAAAGCGAAATGATCCACGAAACAATGGATACTGCATGCACGCAATGGTTAATTGCAACGGTGTCAGGTCAACTCGACTGTTTGCCAACTCAACTCGGACCAACTCGACCGTTTACCAACTCGACCGTTTACCAACTCGACCGTTTACCAACTCGACCATTTGCCAACCCGACCGTTGTGCGTTCAACTGGAAAAGTCAACTTGACTGTTTACCAACTCGTCCGTTGTCCAACTCGACCGTTGTGTGTTCAACTGGAAAAGTCAACTCGACCGTTTACCAACTCGTCCCTTGTCCATCTCGACCGTTGTGTGTTCAACTTGAAAACACAGCTTCAGATTCCATCTTTTTATTTTTTAGTATGCACACTAAAAATCAATTCACGCAACCCAATGTTTATGTCGAGTTGTACATGTATACGGCCGAGTTGGCAAACGGTCGAGTTGACTGGAAAGTGAAGTCGGGTTTGTCAAGGGACGAGTTGGTTCAACGGTTGAGTTGGTACGACGGTTGACTTGGTAAACAGTCGAGTTGGCAAACGGTCGAATTGGCTGCAATCCTGTTGCAACAAGTGTGTATGCAACGTTCGCGATGTTGAAATACAGACGGTGGTGAGTAAAACGTCTGATTTTTCTAAAATTTTTCAGTTTTTGTCAAAAATTGACCGATGGTCAAAAAACATTGTTCCAAATTTTAAATAGTTATGGATCAACCAGGGCAGCTATTTGGGGAGATTTTTGTTTGAAAAGGTGGAATGCTAGATGTTATTTTTTGTAAGTTATTCGTCTATCAAAGCTCCAGTCCCAATCCCATAGCGTGCTGCCCTCCCAAAAAATGATAGTACTAGAAAGTAGAAGGCACACAGATGCCTTCTAATTCTAGAAGTACATGTACATGTACATCATGTGTAATGATGTTACAGAACATGCGAAAGTGTGCATAAGCCATGTAAGCCTCTGAAACGCTGATATGACCAGCATTATGCAGTGCATCATAAAGGGGACTAAATTGGCTAAATCGGTCACATTTTGATGAGAATATATTCAACAACATTTGGCAAAACCAAATTAAAAAATTCAATTTCAAGTTCAACATCATATTTTTTTTTCTTCAGAATGGGGGATTGCATTCCCATTTTGCCCATTGTTATAACTGTTTGTTTTTGCAAAGAAAGGAAAAAGCATAGTGACTGATCCTATATATCCAAAGTGGTATGAATTCTGGTTGCTACAATACATGCATGTTGGGCGCGATCAGTCGATCTGCGATATCGGTCGATCGCGTTGCGCGATGGGTTGGTCGTTGGTCTGTAGTATTTCTCGGACTTTACTTACCTTTTTAGAAATATCCTCCAGAGCCGTGAATTAGAAAGAAAAGGTGTTCGACCGGTGGCAGCGCGATTGACCGATAGCACAAGCGATCGACCAATCCCACACATCGACTGATCCCGCCCAACATACACAACTACTTTTTTTAATCAGTATTCGTCACTAGTAGTACCAACTTGATACAACTATTAACCCTAACAGAACTCAACCCATCAAACCCCAACAGCATGTATTGTTGGAATCTGTCTGAATGGGTACAGTACCCCTAAACTGACAGTCTTTTACATTGGGTTGGCACACCTCCAGAAACTAAGTCAGAAATATGTGTGCACAGTTTCCCTTATGGTGTTGGAGTTTGCCAAGATGGGTATGGTTCCTAGTAAATTATGCTAGGGAGTTAGCCTTTATGCAGTATAAAACTAGCACAGACTGATCAATAATCATTTTGTAATACTGTGCATGTGGCACTTACTGTACCAAATAATACTTTTTTAAAACCCAAACCCTGCTGAATCCAACAGGATCCAACTATGTCACATACCCGATGGAACCTGTTGGATTGAGCAGTTAACCCCTTGTGTACATTCCTCATGCAAAATGTTGGATTCAGCAGGCAACTGAACCGCATTATAACGCATTGTTGGACTCTGTTGGATTCAGCAGACAATTGAAAATGAGGCACAGTGGATTGAGCAGGAAAGTCCGGTTGGACTCTGTTGGATATATTGTGCTAACAGCGCAATCGTATTCGCATTGTTGTCGTCATTGATTATATTTATCTGCACCTGTTGATCTCAGTGACAGTACAAAGTGAAAGTTTACACAATACAGACACAGTAATGTATTTTACAACCTGCAGGTTGCTGGAGAGACAGTGTTTACACATGTTTGTTGAAAGGTTACAATTTCTAAAATTCAGCTGACATGTTTACACAGAATTTTATGTTTACCTAGACTTTGCCAATATGTACAGTGGCAGTTTTGAATGCAGAAAATTCCAAATACTTTCCAGTGGGCCATTCCATGAATGTTGGGTCCAAAAGTGAGACCTTTTTTGTGTGTCCCTGTTACACCTAACGTGTAATTTGCCATGCAAGTATCATTAAATTTACTTCAAACTATTGTTTATTTGTTTGGCGGGTACTGTGCTTTACATTTATAATCACTCTCGGAGATAGAAGGTATTGAAGAACGTGTCCTGAATTTACAAAATCTTATGTCGGATGTAACAGGGACACGAACAAAATTGGACCCGAAAGTTATTGAATGACCCTAGTGTTAAAACCTGATTTTGTGCATAGCTAAATTGATTTTGTTGGTTAATTTGCCTGTTTTTTCTTCTTTAAAGTATTTGTGTATAGGACTTCATCACACATTGCCCTGTAGGCTACTGCAAACACGATGGAATGAATTGTAGATCTGATCATTTCTAATTCTTTGTTTTTTGCTCAGATCACCATGTATATGTACGATCAGCCAGACGAAGTGCCAACATTGTTGGACATGGACTCGCAGAATCTGTGTACGCCGTCGAACAGGTACATGTATGTCTATCAACCCTTCCTTTTTTGTTATACCCTAGCAGCACAATATGGACTCCGTTCGCAAACAGTAGGGGGCGCTCTGACCACTGTCGAGGGCTCCAATGGGAGGGACACATCGCATGTACATACATACGTACTGGTTCGCACGCTATCGCGCAAAGTTCGCACGACGTTTGTTTTAAAACTGCACAAACCGATAACGTCTTGGCATGAGCGTCAGGTGTCGTCAGCAATGCATTCAATTGTCTCTCCCAGTGGTCTCCCCTAACTCTCCCTTTGAAAACAGTTGAGGGGGTACTTGTGCACCGAGTCCATAGACAGAATTTTGCGACAACATTTTTTGAGTGACATTCAGACCATGCCTGTGCACCAAAGGTATACATGTACATTGAAGTAAATTGGCCTTAAATTATACTGCTTGCACCAAGGTTGTTAAAAATCACACTTATATAAAAAAACAATATGTAAGGCCCCCTTCCCCCCCCCAAAAAAATACTCGGTCTGTGGTCAGCGCGTGCGTCGATTTTTATCATGCGCATCAACTTTTTTTTCTTCTTCAAATTAACACGGAAGCTACAACAGCGCCCTCTATTGTTGGCCTCCTCAAATGTTTGTACCAAGGAGCACCAAGGAATGGGGAAATTGCACCAAGGCAAACGATAAAGGGCACCAAGGCAAATTATGGCGGACACCAATGTATAATGAGGACACAAAAAAGCAAAATAGTACCCACCTTGTCTGTACAATACAAGCTTGAAAAAAAAAAAGCCACCCCCCCAAAAAAAACCGCGTCTCCGCATCAATTCCAGAACTTCGGTCTGACCGGAGACCGACTATTTTTTTTTTTTGGCCTAAATATCTGATTTTTATGTTTGTTTAAATCAATGATTTAAATCTACTGATCAACTGGCTTGCACATTTGAAGTTTATATTATTTAACAATATTTGGCATGCTAAAAAAATCAAGTGATATTAACAAATTATGTACAAAACACAGGCATGCAACTTTTTGCAACGGATCCTCTGATTTCCTCGTTTTTACTTCTCATGAATGCCATTACAAATTGAAAAACACTGTACAAGTCCTAATGGTTCAGAGTTTCTTCGTTTTTCCTAAATTCCCAGTTGCATGCCTGAAAACAGGAGATTAACTCACAAAAATATGATTTTTTTAAATTGGTTTCCCTGTCATGTTTGTTTGTTTGTTTTTAAGACACCTTTTGATTTATTTATGGGAAGTGCTAAGTATGTAAGTTGTGATGGTTTTGTAATCACGAATAACTGATGCCAAGAAAATGTTTTATACATTGCACATGTGGGTCTCAAGTCAAAAGAGATACATCACAACAGTTTGTAAAATAGGGAATTTTCATCTGTGAACTACTTAAAAACCAATTATGGTATTGTTTGAAAGGTTTCGTGAAGGATAATCACCATCATACCGGTAGTAATTAAATGACCAGCAATTCTTTGCAATTATTGCCAAGGTAAATTGTACATTGTCTTTTTTAACTGAGAAGTTTATTACAAAAACTGTAAGGGTTATTTCAAAATGAACACACTTCACAAAATTAGCCTAAATTCTTTTGGACTCTTCATCATGCTGTATTCAACCACAAAGAGCTACATGTAGACACAACAGAAACAATGAATGGAGACCAGGGGCAACCATCAATACTCTGACACAGCTGATAAAATAAAACATGTGATGTTTATTATTCACAGATGTCAACATCTCCTTGCCAATTTGTATTATTTGCTCCCTGAAATATACACACACTAGACATCTGCTCTGACCACTGTGGCCAATCATGGATTACGTTTCTATTCAGTTTGAGACATTCTGAAGAGGGAATTCTTGTCATTGTGCCCGAAAAAGGGAAATTATTATCACTGTTTACACTGAGTGTTTACCATGGCTAGTGTAGGTCAATAGAATAGTAGGCCTACTGGTACGTGCTGTACATGTTTCATACAGTACACAATACAATGTACATGTACATGTACACACTGTACATGTCTGCAGTGCATATTACAGTACATGTATCACATACAATGTATGTAAACATACATCACTGCACCTGTTGTAAGGTGTGTGGTGATTGAACACGTACATCTTACATGTACACGTATACGTACATGTACACATGTACATGTACATATGCTGAATATTCTGTTTACAGTAAAGGCAATTTGTACATGTTGTAACTTGCCAACCTGACCGATTTGTGTGTTAGGCTAATTCAGACTTCATACCCTACTAACAATCATCTACTGCCTTCTGATCTGAATGCTGATCTACAACTGACCAATTTTGTAAACAACATTGTTTTATTGTTTTTGAAAAAAAAAAACCAGGCAAATTATGGCCGAGGATAAAAGAAACTGTACAATTAAGCTCCAGTTTTTGTGGGGAAAATCACTGCAGTAAACATACATGTATCGCATTTTCGTTTGTAATCTTCGCATGCAGGTATGCATGCAGTTATACATGTACACGTGTACATGTTTATAGGCATTATTTATTAAAGCATGTATGGTACAAATGTAGGAGCACTTTCGCGCAAAAGTGGGCACGGCTGAAAAGTGGACACTTTGTATCTTGAGAACTACAGGCATCACAGCCTCAAATGTGGTATCAAATTAAAGAGGACAAGAAGACCTTTCATTCGAGTGGTGTGCCAGGTAGATGGAGTGTGGTGAAATAAATTGTTTTCCCTATCAAAACAATGTTGTTTGGACTAAAATTATGGATTTTAGGCACCGGTAGTTATTTTGGCATCTTGTTTTCAGATGCAAAATGTGTAGTCTAAACTGTACGTATAGCATACGTGTGTACATGTACATGTACAAAAAAAAATGTATGATTGCTGATTCAGCAAACAGCCGTACATGTACATGGACTATGGAGGCCTGTACACACAAACATAGGCAAAAATACAATGTACAATTTTTGTACATTCTACACCTCCTATTAAAGTCACTTAAAATGTGTACAAATTAAACACCATTTGAAATAATGCATAAAGAACAGTTAGTTACTTTTAGGTCAATTGCTTTCTGTCGTAATGTACAAGTATCGATGTACACTACCGGTACGTACAGCTCACGTACAGCTGAGTGTAACAAAATCCAATCACTTACTCAATACAGTATTTGTTTGGAAAGTGAGTTTCACGGCTCAAAGAGGAAATAATATGGGACTTTTATTGCCAGACAGTACGCATGCATTTGTCAGGGTTTAACAAATAAATAATAAAAAAATAGGGCATGTTTTATATTTGTACCGCATCTCAGATCATGTCATTTGAGATTACCGTACATGTATCTAACCTAAAAATGCACATTTATCCTTCAATTACAATAAAAAAATTAAAAAAAACGCTCTCACTACGAAAAGAATTTTAATATTTATAAAAAAATTTTCGAGCAGTTCTGGTTTTAGAATTTCCTGCCATGAAATTAATTTTTGTGTGAATATTACAAGAAATACTGAAAAGTCCTCCAATAGATTTTTAAGGAAATAAGTGAGTTATGCTCAGTTTATGCAAAATACAAGCACAGTAAATATGTATTCTAAATTTCTATCATTTCTTGTTTTGTGACTCACACTCATACCTGTCATAAGACAGTCACTCAATTTAAACAACAGGCTAACAAGGAACGTGTACACGCACCACGACATACCGGTGCGTTATGACTCATTTTTTTTTGCTGGTTTGTGTAACAGGGACCTGACCTTGGCAAAATTCGTTAGTTCAGGTAAAAAAAAAAAATCAATAAAAACGTTTTGTTAGCTTTTAAAAACAAGCTGAACCATATTAATTAAAGTAATTAAAAAAAAAATATAGAGAGATACATTGTAATACTGTTGTTACCAATAATTTTATGTACATGTATTTGTACCAACATTACCTTCATCATGTTCATGCTTAATAAAAATGGATGAAGAAGTTTGCCCTTTTACTGTCTGCTGCTTCTTAAAAAAACCCGAAACTTTATTATAAATTGGAATATCATTAGAACCTTAGTTTCATGTACATGTACAGTATGTTACCTTCCACATGAAAATCGGACTCCTATGAAAATCGGACCCCTATTTCCCTATTATAGGTTGATCCCTTGCACGTGACAGGTCACTCTCCCGAAACGATCCTAAAAATAACATAGTGTCGTACTCACGCGTGCGCAGTACTACCAATGAGTCCACATTTCATGGAGTCGGATATTCACGCTATACACCGGTACATCAGTCCTTCTGATCGCATGCCGAAAAAAGCTCCCCGAGAAGTGTGAATAATTACACGCCTGAGTTTTCCTGGACCACAAAATCACACACCTAGAAAATCACACACCCAGAGAAACCACACGCCTAGAAAAATCCAGGTGTGCTTTTTCCACACACCTGTGATTTTCAAATCAGAAGGACTGGTACATGTACATGATGTACCTGGTATATTTTGTACAAAACTGTAGCCTATCTCAAATCTGTCAAGGCTGTCATTGTACACACACTTGATGTACAATGACACATGTAGCTGAACAGGCATATGTGACCGGCTCCACAAAAAAGGGTATTATGTCGCAAAAAGTGAAATTGAGTTATATACTGGTACATGGTTGGAAAGCCCACAATGTAAGCTTTCATTTGGTATATTCCATAGCCCCTCCCGTTCAGGAGATATGACGTACCGGTATTTGCATATTAATTATTTCCTTTGAGTTGAAATTACACAACTGATCGAGAAAACAGGCATTGAAATAGCTGGCTTTGTGTAGAACAAGTGAACGATGCACACAAAATGGTTGTTTTTTTTCCAGTTTGTTCATCAAAATCAACATTTCTGTGAATGAAACCTGAAACTGTAGGTATCAAAGATGTCATTCAAGACAAAAAATGAAAATCACATTTTGACAAAATTTTCACCCTCTCAACGTTGAGTGGACCATTACACAATAATGCTCAGTGCGACTTGTTGTAATACCCTTTTTTGTGGAGCCGGTCACATATGACAAAATTGTCAAGTAGTATTACTATATTGTTAGGAATGGTTCACTGAAACTTGGCCTTTTACATGTACAGTCGACTGTCGTTCAACCAATACCAAGCCAAAATGTTTATTATGTATCAGAATTTTGTATTACTTGGAGTGCTACTGGTAGTCCCTTTCATTGTGCACATTGTAAATGCACAGTCAGACCAAGGCTTTTTGTTTGCTAGAAACAGAATTTGTATACAGTGTTTGTATTTGGAGAGTCGACTGTACAAGTACAATGTATTTATGTCCAGATGTGAGAGTGCAGTGTGTAATTCACCTCATCCACATACACCAAATCACATTATCAACAGCTTGTTGACAGATTCTCCAATAATACTGTGCTCTCACACAGGCATGACAGGCAAACCAATATGTGATATTATAATGATAAATAGCATACATGTATGTACTTTTTATATCTCGCAAAATTGTCGAAATAAATTTCTTCTAGTATTGTCAATGTCATGCACCAGTGCGGTGTATACGTTTTTGCAGCACACCAGGCTTACTCTATGAAAAATCTTTTATGCAGGAAACAAAGACATCTTCTTTGTCATGTTTGTACTTGAACTCTTATCTTGAGCACCATGAGTCCCCCTTTGTTCCATTGTGTTTCGTTTTAGATTCAGGATTATTAAACCATATTGATTTTAATAAGAAAGGTTTACGGTAGCACCATGCATTGCCATGTGACAAGTCTCTTTTGTGAGTCTGTGAGGTGCTGAAAAGAACCAAGGAAACTCAGCGTTTCAAAGTAGGCACAGCTGGCTTATCAATCACATACAGTCAAAGCATAGCAGTATCAAGCTACATAAACAATCACAGCCAGTCACTCGTGCATTATTGTAGGCTGGGAACTCTTAACTGTTGAACACATGTCAGTTACTTGATTGATTTTGACTGAAAGGACAGTTTGGCACAGAATACATGTTTGTATATGACTTTTAAAGTCTAGAGCTTTGGCAGCTCAACTGACAAATTAGGTACACATTGGTTGCACTTCCCTAACTCAATAAGCCTCTGTACTGATGACGTCACACTTTGTTTACATGTGTGCTTTCCCATGGTGCTCAGTGGACCGTGGGCCCCCACTGGCTCCATAGGAAAGTGCACATGTAAACAAAGTGTGACGTCATCAGTACAGAGGCTTATTAGTTGAGCACAGACTCTGACTCCGCATCCTGAAAAAACTTCAGAAGGTTTTGAAATAACAAGCCTTTTTTTTTGAAATCCACTTACAGTATGCCGAGTCTGACCATGCCTGTTGTCAAGACTGAACCCATAGAGATGGCAGCCATGATGCCCCCACATGCCATCAAACGAGAGCCCCACGACATGATGGGCATGAGCCAGCTGGAATTCATCAAGACCGAGCCCCAGCAAATGCTGGACTACAACCACATGGCCAGCATGACCATGAACTCTCACATGTACCACATGACGAACTACCCCCACCCCATGATGCACAGTCTGCCCCAGCTGCCGCCCCAGCATCACCAGCTGCAGCAGCAGCAGCAGCAACAGCAGCAGCAGCAGCAGCAGCAGCAGCAGCACCCAGGCCAGCACAACGCGGCGCTGACGCAACCGGAGCGCAAGCCGGGCAAGAAGTCCAAGATCAAGCAGGAGAAGATCACGGATAACTTCAAGGAGAAGAAGCCCAGGAGGAAAGTGGATCGTTTCCATGGTACCCCGGAGGAGGAGGTTGCCAAGAGAACGCTGCCGGACATCCTCATACCTAATCTGGATATTGTCATTGTAAGTTCCTTTCTTTATTCTCAAGCACCCCATATAGAAGAAAATAGCTATTTAGAAATGTCAGTACTGTTACATTTATGACAGATTATTGTCATACAAATTACTACAGCTGTCTTGTTGTCCATTGATGTTCATTGAGTCCATTGATGTAGATTGAGGCAGCGGTCACCCCTCCAAGGACCACATTCAAGAAATAACGGATGATTTTGGAGGATTGAGGCTGTATGCAATTTTTACACAGAGATAGTTGGAGGATTTTGCAGGATTGAGGTTGCCTCCTAGCAAAAATACCTAGGGAATTAGGGTTTAAGAAGTTTTGAAATTACAGAGTACCATTGATCAATGTCAAAATGAGCATTTCAATTTGAGCTTCACTTATCACTGAAAAAAAATGATATGCTTGAACTGTGTCTATGAAGATTTTTGTCCTCAAATGTTTATTCTAATTGGTAATTATTGCCTTTGTTGTGGATAGATTGGTATCAATCCTGGGTTGATGGCTGCATACAAGGGCCACCACTACGCAGGACCAGGAAACCACTTCTGTAAGTACATGTAGTTGAACCATTATTAACCCGGACAGTCCCCCCCATCCAGTCAAACTCCAACACCAGGGTTTGTTGGAATCTGTTGGAGTGAGTACTGCACTGATTATGCTTTACATGGGGTCAGGCATATATCTGCCACCATAATCAGAGTCCAACATTTTGGGTGGAGAGTTTACCATATGTGATGCGATAAACTAAATAAGTTGTTTGTCGGGAATTTTTATTTGGAGATTCAGGCCAAAATAGGGCCACTTCATCACATCACTTCATCACATCTCTTGGTGTTCCGACTTCCATAATTTCTGAACTAAAGATGGTATCATCATGCGGTTTTCACAGCAGAAATGCTGAGATTGTGCTCTTTTCAAATAAAAAAAAATGACCAGGGTCGAAAAACAACTCATTTACATCGCATCGCATATGGTGTTGGAATTTGCAAGAGTGAGGAGTAAAAAGTAAAGTCTGTCCCGAGCCAATGTGGCTCATCAGGCCGGTGTTTATCTCCGGTTTCAGTAGCATGAAACGACTGAGAATATTTCTACTATGGGATGCTAGTCCATCGCAGGTTACTCCCCAGCTAATGCCGGTACCCATTTATACTCCTGGGTGGAGAGGGGCAAGTGGGGGTGAAGTGCCTTGCCCAAGGACACAATATATGACCAGCGGCTTGATTCGAACCCGGGACCCTCTGATCATGAGTCACGAACCCTAACCACTAGGCCACACACTCCCCCGCAAGAGTGAGGAAGGTTCCCAGTAAATCATGCGAGGGGTTGGGGTTTATGAAGTGTGCATTACACAACAGAAGATAAGCTGGCGATTAACGACAGCTTTTTGTAGAACTGGAAAGCCACAACCCTCCCACACCCAGTCATTTGTCTCCACACTCCTGGCCAAAAGTGAGCACCATACTTCAGTACCCATTGAAGCCGTCTGTGGAGTATGGATAACACTTCAAAATACTCCACAATTCTGTCGTGTGATTGAGCTCATGCCAAGTGGGTGGATGCTGTCACGCTTCACTGCTCTCTATCATGCTATGTTGTGTGCAGTGACACCTGTACGAAACGGTTACTTTAGCACTTGTTATGCCTTCCAAGAAGGAGGGCCAATGGGCCTTGTTGGAACAGGTGCAAGTTCATAGCTGGCAGAGTGTAGGTGATTGATAAGCCAGCTGTACATACCAGTTATTTGCTTTTGTCTCTTGATTGAATTTGACTAGTCACAGTGCTTAAATCAGAAATGTGATCTGACCGTTAGTGACTAGCCTGTGTACACTGGTGTGTTAACCCCTTAAGCACGGGTTATAATGGGGACATTCCTCCACACATAGAGCAAGTGGCCCGCATGACTGCACAGCCTTTGTGTGGTAGCGGGACTGCACAAAAGCAGCAGCTGTGGAACTACCCACTAGCCGCGTGCCACGGCATACCACAGCTGGCAACTGCATTCCAATGAGGATTCCCGAGCTCATGGGGTTAAGTGTGTATATCAGGGAAAGTGGATCGACTGTGTGACTGTCTGTGACTGTTCAGACAGCCAAGGGGTCAATCGCTTCTCAAAAGTTGGGGGGAGGGCATAAAATAATGCGAGTGGAAGTGCGAAGCCATAACGGCGTGGGGTCCGGGGCCCGCTTAAGGGTCCGAACAATTTTGGATTTGAGACGCTCTGTGGTGCGATCTGAGGCAGTTTCTGACCACTCTAACCATTTTCTTTTTGAGCAAATGATCATTTAAAAATGATTTTCAAGTTCATAGTCATTGAATCAACTATTCTGAGCTATAGAATAAACTATTGTCTATAATTGTTATTCAGTACGAAAAAAGTGTGTGTGTGTGTGGGGGGGGGGGGGGGGAACAAACGATATGATATCCCTCCCACTTGAAAAAGGGGGGAGTGGGGAACATGTCCCCCCGTACCCCGCCGATCGACACCCATGCAGACAGCAAGAGGGTGACTGACTGAGTCTTGTATGTTTGTGCACCCACAGGGAAGTGTCTGTACCTCTCCGGTCTGGTGGACGAACCCATGACCTGCATGGATGACCATCGCCTCTTACAGTTCAACATCGGATTCACCAACATCGTGTCCAGGACCACCAGGGGAAGCTCTGACCTCACAAGGTATCCACAAAAGTTAGTCTTTGTCCAAGGCTGGATCTGGATTTTTGTTCCCCTCATGCAGCTTGTCCCTTATACAGATGCTGCCAAGCTGCAGCAGTGGAAGAGGCTACTGTCAACAACATGAATCAATCAAGTTTGAGAACTTTGGCGCTGGGACCCAAGAAATTCTGGATAGCTCATTAAGTTCTCCTTAATGTGCACACCTGTGGTGAGCTCAGAATTTTGCAGGTCTGAGTGCCAAAGTTCCCAAGATTGGATTTGATTCATGCTTGTTGAAGGCGCCCTCTACAGCCGTGGTGGTTTGACCACGCTTACCGGGGATCTGGACTGGCTGCATGTTTGGAGCAGAATCCAAATCCATTCCCTATGGAGGAGGAAATTCAATGTAATTAGGGGGAAATTAAAACAAAAATTAAGGAACAGGGACCAAATTTCATGAAACTGCCAAATTTGCTTAAAAATGATCTTTGCTAAGCACGGAAATAGTAAATCAGAAAAAAAAAACAGTGGCCCAGCCACAATTTCATGCAGTCTGTATTGCGTGTGACTGTGACTGGTTCCCATCTGTAGTTGTAAAAGCATGTAAATTTGCTGAGCTGTCTTTTTCTGCTTACGGCTTTTCTTCTATGCAAAAATAGAAAATGTTAGGTTTAATTATTCTCAGCATACAGCTAACCAATACAGGGTGAGTGAAAAAAAAAAGGAAACTCAAATGATGCCCCTATTTTTTTTTTTTTTTAAGAAGTTCTACATGTAGCACTTTTCAGATCTAGGATATGAAAGCCCAATTAAGAAGATTTCTTTTAGTAAAAAAATCATTCATATCAATCATGTAGTTTTCCTGTTATGGACTTTTAAACACAAAAACCATTTTAAAAATTTTGTCCACGGGTAACAATAAAGGTAAGTGATATTTCAGCAAAACAAAAACAATTCACAGATAAAAAAAAACCCACATCAGAACACTCTCATAATCAAACGAATTGGCTCTTATCATAACCTTAATTGAAACACCTTGCTTCCAGTGTTAAAACGACATGCTTTACAATGTCAAGAGTTTATAGTCTTGCCCTGCCTTCTACTTGGCTAACCCAGAGACTAATGGGATTATTCTGATATCGTTTTCATTATACAACATTTTACTAAAATATCACGAACCTTAGGGTTGATGCAGTGGACAAAAATTCCGTAACTGGAAAAGTACAAGAATGATTTGACTGATTCTTTTACTAAAGGAAAGCTTATTAATTGGTTTTCACATCCTAGATCTGAAAAGTGCTACATGCAGAATTTCTTTCAAGAAAAATAGGGGGCGCCATTTGGGTTTCTTCTTTTTTGACTCACCTGTATATCAGCTAAAAAAATGGTGCCCGCTGCAGATGATATGTATATTTGCTAAAAATAAATTTGGCATTGTTCTAATTCTGGTTTAATGAGGAAAATTAATTTATTTCGGGGAGCTGTCATTTTTGCGAAGTCCCCATCATGTTAAATGTATGTCTTCCTCACTTGAATTTTATAGGAAAGAAATCAAAGACGGAGCGCGGATTTTGACAGACAAGATGAGGAAGTACAGACCACTGATTGCCTGCTTCAACGGCAAGGGTATCTATGAGATCTTCAGCGGCAAGAAAGATTTTGAGATCGGACGACAGCCCGAGACCATGCCCGACACAGAAACGGTATAGTTTGGCTTGTCAATTAACCTGTTAGTCCTTGTACCATGTGTCATGTCTGTATCACACCAAGCAGTGTTGAAGTCGAGTCCATCACAAGTCCCTGCAAGTCCGTCACAAGTCCGTCACAAGTCCGTCACAAGTCTGTCACAAGTCCATCACAAGTCTATCACAAGTCCATCACAAGTCCATCACAAGTCCATTACAAGTCCATCACAAGTCCATCACAAGTCCATCACAAGTCCATCACAAGTCCATCACAAGTCCATCACAAGTCCATCACAAGTTCATCACAAGTCCATCACAAGCTCATCACAAGTCCATCACAAGTCCATCACAAGTCCATCACAAGCTCATCACAAGCTCATCACAAGTCCATCACAAGTCCATCACAAGTCCATCACAAGTCCATCACAAGTCCCTCACAAGTCCAGCACAAGTCCATCACAAGTCCATCACAAGCTCATCACAAGCTCATCACAAGTCCATCACAAGCTCATCACAAGTCTATCACAAGTCTATCACAAGTCCATCACAAGTCCATCACAAGTCCATCACAAGTCCATCACAAGTCCATCACAAGTCCATCACAAGTCCATCACAAGTCCATCACAAGTCTATCACAAGTCCATCACAAGTCCATCACAAGTCCATCACAAGTCCATCACAAGTCCATCACAAGTCCATCACAAGTTCATCACAAGTCCATCACAAGTCCATCACAAGTCCATTACAAGTCCATCACAAGTCCATCACAAGTCCATCACAAGTCCATCACAAGTCCCTCACAAGTCCATCACAAGTCCATCACAAGTCCATCACAAGTCCATCACAAGTCCTTCAGTCTCAAGTCAAGTCACTAGTTATTCAAATGAACTGTTACAAAGGCATTCCTTTGTCATTGTTCATCCCCTTACTTGTGACTGGACTTGTGAAAGGACTTGTGATAGACTTGAACTGCAACACTGACCCCAAGCCACCCACTGGTAGATCTGAGGGAGTGGGGGGGGGGGGGATGTTGCACCTGGGCCATTTCCCCCCCCAAGATTTTTTTCTACTAAGTTAACCTGTAGAGGAATGAAGACAACTGTTTTTTAAAAGATTCTATAGTCTACTACATGTAATATCCGTTCTGTCCACGGATCATTGAGATATTACACAAAAACGCAACTTATTTCTGTATCAAGTTATGTTCAAATTGCTTGGAGTACAACTTGTTTTACAATATTTCTAATGGTACAACTTAAGTGTGAAATATAATTTTAAGCTTTTACAAAACAATTCATTGCATGAACAATTGCTGATTGCAGATTCGGTTACCATTTGCCAAGTAGTCTGGTGTACATTGGTCTGCTTTGTTTTTTCTGAAATTGAAATCATCAAAAGTTAATGTGTACAAGTGCAGTTTGGAGATCTGGTATACCGTGCCCTCTGGAGACATGCACACAATAGGGAACAAAAGATTGTATACGTCTCCACAGGGCAATTCCTATAGATAAATACATCTCCACAAGGTTTTCACGAAATAGATATATGGATTTTACTCAAAAACTAGGAATTTCCAAGGTGGGTTGATCCGTCGCAAATGGAAGAGTTTTAAAAAAAGGATATTCAGTCCGAATTTCAGCCCAGGAAATTAATTCGGGTTGAAATAAGAGCATTTTGAAACTACACTTTCAAACTCGAAAACTTTACTACACGAGACCAAAGAAATGTCTCCACAAGGATACAAATTTCAGTATTGGTGTATGTACATCGAAGTCCATGTGTACGTGCACATCAAGGTTTTAATTTTTTCCCCCTATTTTGTAATTGTTTTCCAGGTGATTTATGTCATGCCGTCATCAAGTGCCCGATGCTCCCAATTCCCACGTGCCACAGATAAAGTCAACTTCTATACAACACTCAAGGAACTCCGAGACGAACTCAAATCCATAAAAAAGCCAGCGACGCCCCTCACGGCCCTTCCCCCGCCCCCTCCCTCAACAACTCAAGAACAACAGCAGCAGCAACAACCACCACAGCCGCAACAACAGCAGCAGACACAGCAGCAACAGAAACAGCAGTCGGCACAGCAGCAGGATCAACAGCAACAGCAGCAGCAGCAGCAGCAGCAAGGGGTAAAGGTCAAACAGGAAGCCGGCCAGCCAGCTAACTGTCCTGGTCAACAACAGGGTCAAACACCTCCTGTCCGTGTCAAGATGGAGAATCAGAATGACTGTGCGACAACCTGCAGCAGCAGCAGCAGCAGCACGGCTTATCACGGTACGGTACAGGGCCCCGTACCCCACCAATCCCTGCCGGCCTTGCCGCCCCACGGCGGCCCCATGCTGATCAAGCAGGAGCCGGGCAGCTTCTACCCTAACACCTGCGGGGGGCAGTACCCAAACCCCCCACCCCCGATGCCTTCCGCTAGACAGGAGCCGGGCATGGGTTACCCAGTCATCAAGCAGGAGATGCCCGATCCTCAGATGAGGCACTACGTCCCCGGCGCGCCCCCGACCACGGCCCACAATCAGTTCCACCCGGGCTATTTCATGGACCAGATTCCCACCATCGCGATGGGGGAAAATGGTGCGATGATCATGAGAAACCACCTGCCGCCCCAGCAACAACAGCAGCAACAGCCCATGGGCAACAGCCACGCATCCGGTAACGGACCTATCCCAATGCCGCCTGCACCCCTCGACCCAGCTATGCCAAATTACGGTCACTCATACCCAGACCCTAGGGGGGCCTCGCCGCACACCTACCCCCAGCCGATGTATCCACAGCAGCACATGCAGCAACAACAGCAGCAACAGCAGCAGCAGCATCCTCCTCCGCCACAATATCCACAGATGTCGCAACAGCCTGAACCAACCCCCAAGCAACAGCAACATCCCGGTGCCGGTAATACCTGATAACCCAGCAATGTACAGCGCAACCATCACTGATCAAACCTCTCTAAAACCCTGGGTGCCAAGTGTCAAATCACCTGAAACCAACTCCTATCTGGTGCATGCCCTTCCTGCAGAGGGCGCTGTTTTCAAGCTCTCTGCTTGATAGGGGGCGCTGTTGTGCGTTTGTCCACTGCCATCTTCACCAACTCCCAGTGAAGTTGAGCGTTGTTCAGTGATTGTTTGTTCCTGTACCGAAAACAAAACCCCATTGCTGTCAATGGATCATACCACAAGATACCAAAACCCCCCAAACCTATTCCCCAGATGAATGTTAATAATCAGGGTCAGACAGTGTCTTTGTGTTAAGACTTTCACCTACAGACTCCGTTTTTCTCACAGTAGCAAGACTGACGTCTGCAGAGTGTACGAGACACTGTCAGGTTTGTGGTCATCACTTTAAAACATGCCACTGTATTCTGGATCTTAGCCACGACAAAGGGCATTATTCTTTTTTAAATAGTGGAAGTTAGGTATGACTAATATACCCCCAAAAAACATACTTGGCCATTTTCAGTCAGAAAATTTCAAAATTGTCAAAAGATGCAATATAAAAATCCCGTGAAGAATTTAAACCATAACTTTTTTAAGATGAGTTTTAGAAGTGGAATTGTACAAGTTTCACTGATTTTTGTTTTTAAAAAGAACTTAACAATTCCTTCGGAAATGAAGTATTTTGAGTATCGGTTTGGCCTTCCAGGTTTAAAAAAAAATATCCATTGTGAGCTGTGGGGTTGTCTTGATTGTCTTCTGTGTCCGATACTTCATATCTTCCATTCCTGTGTGCCATCATGTATAGTAATATGCTGCACTCACTCCTCATAGTACTTGTAAACGTTTGAAGAAAAAAAAACATCACCCATTTTTATTTTGTTGGTCATACATGTACATGTATGTCAACCGAAGCGAATCTCGAACGTACACATTGGATGTACGTTTCCACAAGACATAGAATTAGGTGAATATTCGTTGTGTTTGGTTTCGTTTCATAAGTGAGTATTTGATGCAGCATCATGTCGAGTGAAACTAACCAGTTTTTAGTTGGATGATTTTGTTTTTTTTAATGTCCCAATGGGATTATGCACACCCCTTTCTGGAGGATTGACTGTTTTTTAAAAAGCTACATGCAGAACGGTCCAATTTTACTAGATATACAAATTCTTCCAAATTTGTAAAATATTTTTTTTTTCTTTTTTTTTTTCAATTTTGTACACAATTGAATGTGTATAATGAAATTTAGGACATGCATTCCAAGATTGTTACTCTTTTAATCCTAACCCTAATTGCAGTGAGTGAAAGCAATATTTACCACAATTAACAGATGTATATAATTTTTTGAAGTTTAATGAAATTGTTACGAGGTTTTCTTCCAATACTAACGCAAGTGCAGCAGTTTTCTGTTAGGCTCGTCTGGGTGCACTTTTCCTGACATAGGGCACACAGAAAGTGATTTTAACAAAGAGTTTAATATTTCAGTGCTCGCTACAATCGTTGTTCGAAAAAGTATTCATTTTTTTGTCCTTTTGTGTGTTGAAAAATCAAGTAACTGATTTGAAAACTGTTTTTAACCATTATCTACTTGTATTTATTGGAGAAAGTTTATAAGTCTCCCTTGTTCAAAATACCACTGAGGGTAACCAATGCCGCAAATTAAAATTTAAAAATTTGTTGCTGCTTTTGTCGTATGCAAAGCGTTTGGTGCCGAATTCACGAGAGTTATTGCCACCGTGCTTGAAAGTCCATAAATTAGGTTATAACTTTTTGGGTACCCACCCCGTTCATATATTTTTATTTTGGAACTCACTTCCCCAAACGCTCCGGCTGAAATGCTGCTTTCTATGTTTGTATAGTTAACTTATTTGCTTCGTAGTTTGTGCTTTTTTTTTTCCAGTTTGTGAGATGTGTGTGTTAAAAAAGAAAAAAAAAACCCAGCAGGTTTAAAAAGATGTTGAAAAACCAATGATTGACTACTTAAGCAAGTTGGTTTCATTTAATACCAGCAGATCATGTGGAACTAAGATTCAGCGGTGAAAAGTTGTACGAAATTCAAATCATAAACCTATCAATATTATTTTTTTTTTGGACAAAATGTAGCATAAAATATTAAGTTGATATTCTTTGTAGTGCTACCTCAGTGTATTTATTATACGCCAAAAACATGCTTAGCTTGTCTGAAAAGAAAACAAAAATTAGATGGCCTTTGAAATAGGTTGACTTTTGTTCGATGGATGCTGTAGATACTACAAAGCATTCTAACGTCATCCCGATTTTGGATTGTCGGAACATGCAATAATTCCCAAGTCCGTTCTAGTTAACGTACCCCCTTGCAAATTTCTTGTTGGTAGGGACCATTTCAGCAATATCTTGCCTAAGTTTTTTATTTCAGAAATATTTCCTCAGTATTGTGACAAAAATCCTATGGGAGTTGAAATTCTTAATCCCATATCATATCCACTGATTAATTGTATGTACATGTATGAAATGCGTCAACTGCACATTTTGCAGGCCTGTGTCGATCGTACAGGTCTTACGACCCAAAATAGCTCAATGAAATTAGGACAAACTTTTAATTGACTAGACTTGTTCTGTTTTTGAACGCCAAATATTTTTAATCACTTTCAAAACACCACATCAGCAGAAAGTGTCTAGGACATGAAGGTCCTCTTAACATGCTTAATATCAAGATGAGTATAGTTATAAGTGTTTGTAGTTTTTTTTATGGTAGTGTTAGTTACTTTATCCTGAAATTTCGAAAATCATGAGGAATTGTAATTGTAAGAGTTGCTTCGGAGAATCTCATCAACAGTAACAGCGATTTGCTTTCGCCTTTAGTTTTGCCGAAGAGAAGTCCCGAATGGGAGTTAGCACGTATATTGTCACATAGAAAATGATCATGCGGACAAATTCACGGCACCATAACAGATTGGAAACACAGAGACATCAATTACAGATTGTGATGTGTAGAACTCATTATTCAGGGGTTGCTGGTTCAACTCCAACCATAGCTGATGGTAAAACCAAATTCAGGGTACCAGCGATGACAAGCTGCATGAAATACATTGCCTGCACAGCGCAAACCAGTTATGGGGTAGTCTGTTCCAACCCTTCGTACTCATTAGCTTTTGGGGGGGGGGGGGGGGGGGCAGGGGTAGTTAGTGTTCCGCTGTTGCACTGTAATTAGAAGAAACTTTGGCTTAATTTGCAGGAATGAAGTGTATTTCATTGGTTTATTTTGAACCATGAATGGAAAGGCTTAACCTACTTAATTATTTTGTTTTTTGTTTTTAACCTTCTTTGATCCAGGTGATCAGGTGTTGTGTGGATTACAATCGATGCCAAATTTACGTCTAATGTAATTTTTTTTTTTTAGAATGGACAGTTAAATATCCTCACTGCCGATTGCTACCAAGTGCTGCATGCGTTGTCTGTTTAACGACTGTATGAAATCTGTTTTTATTTAAGTGCTTGGTTTGGTAGGAGCAGCAGGTTTTAGCGGATCGCTATTAAAAAGTAAAGTTTGAAACTAAAATGAATTGCTTTCTGTAATTAAAATGCAATACAGTGGTCCGTTTACCACAATCGCAAATATATCATTCAATCCCCCCCCCCAAAAAAATTCATATTTTTAAAGTTTGAGATGTATTATTTTTTGTTGTAGCGTAATTTTACCAAACAAATATGTTTTGTTTTAGTGAAGCTAACAGATTGAATGAAAACAAAAAAAAGAAGCAATATATATTATGGATCAACGTTGTAAAGTTGAATGCCGAGAATTCTTTCAGTTTAAAGATTGAGGAGTTAACCAAAAAGAATGCTGATAATAAATGAAAATATGGACTTGCCCCGAACGGTTTAATTTTTTAGGAATCCAGCATTTTAAGGGAGCCTTGATTTGTACATGTTGAACCACAACACTGGTTGACAGTATTCAAATATTGAGCATGTCAAGTGCAATAAGTAGCAGTCTCAAAAACATTTTTTTTTTATTTGGAGAACATAGTCAAGAGACAATTTTTTTTTTAACTTAAGAGTATTGTTATTATCAATTAAAGTTCGGTACTAGAGAAGTTTTTAGGTTGTTTTTGTTTAAAAAGGTTTATAGTACAAATTGTGGTTTTTGGTGCATTGTATGTACATATCAGAGTTGATTTTGTACATGTATGTGCACGTGAGACAATGCCTATCATGCCTATAGGGAAAACGAAGTGTCAAATTAATGAACTTAGTATCTTTCTTCCCTTTCGAACAATAGATGTGGTCTCAAAAAGTCGTGAAAAAAATAAATTGACTCTTTTTAGGAATTTTTTGTTTGAGGAGCAATAAACACATGCAAGAAGTTCTAGATTTAGCGTGATTCTAGGTTGATGCACCCACACGTTGTATCATGTCATTTAATTTGTAAAAAAATAAATAAAATAATAACGATAATATGCTGTTTTAGTGAAGACAAACAGCACGTTAAATATCATCTACCTTGACTGAATTTTGTAAAACAATATTTGATGACGTATTGTAATTTAAAAAAAAAAAAAATACAGGCTTTTGCTGTTTTAGAAACTGTATTATTGTGAATCACGGAGGCGTGGTTTTGGATTCTTTTTGGAAAAAAAAAAATAACAAAAACGAAAATAAGAAAAAACAGGTTTTTGAGACCACAGTTGAAGTGTGTAGACGGATAAAGCCTGGTTGTTAATATTCTTTAAAAACAAAAAAAATTGTAATTATAAATATTGTATGTGAATGTGCTCTGTGCGCTGTCTTGTCAAGTAGATGCCTAGCGAAGCCCTTACATGTGTGTACGTTTTTTGACTTGGCTTAGATTTTCAAAAAACTTTTTGTGATGTCCTAGCAGAGTTGATGTAGAGAAAAAAAAAAGAAATGTGTCAAAAAAACATTTTTTTAGAGTATTATTTCAAAGTTGTGGTTTGACAAGCTGTTTTTAGAGAATAAAAATGAGTCTGGATGTGCATAGATAAATTAACATTTGAGATTGAACGTGACGTAGAAGACGTAGTGACAACATTTTAAAGATGATAACAATGGTAATACAGAGATGCGGAACTCTGTTCAGTTATAGTTCTTACAAACCTCCTTGTCGAGGTTTTGAAGTAATAACTATGACTGGATCTGATTAAATGGTATCCCTGAATCACTTGTAGATCTAATTTTCGGGACTGTTTTTTGTACACACTGCCAAAAGTGTGTGACTTCAGATATAAACGTCTTTTTTTTTTCTGTAGAATAATTCCTTAAGGTAAATTAATAATTCTGACCTAATGAATATTCATGTAATGCCATTCCCGGGGAGATGTGATGTTGGAAGTAAGCAGTAGGCATTACTTCAGTGATTTTACAGGTGTTGTTTGTAAAAAAAAAGGAAAAACTTGTGCCATATTTGTAATAGGCCACGATAAGCAGTCTGGTTGGAGCTCCACAATACTGTGCTTGACCAAGGCAGTGTCCGAATCACTTGGCCACGGCTGGCCATTATACACGGGTCTATGGAAGCGTCTATCCATAGCCACGTGTGTTACTGCTAGTCATAGCCACGTAATTTGGACGTGGCCTACATTAAGTATCACTCGGTGTCGACCCTAATGGTATTGTTCACTGCCGTTAACTTCTGTAAAGATTTTGTTGACGTCAGTGTTGAAACATTATCTGTTGTACAGTAGCTCCAGGGCAATGGAAACAACCTTTTCTCCCAATTTTCAAGAGACCAGTTTGTATGATCCCCCATTCTTAATATTGGAAAAGCAAACTGTGCTGTCATTAATCTGTTACACTGAGCCAACGGGAGTCGCACAACTGTTACAGACTGGGGTTCCAGAGTTACGCCAACTTGCCAAACCCAAATGTATGTAAAGCAACTTAAGTTGCCACAAATCGAATTCGGTTTCAGACGCGCAAACTTTGGACACTGGCGGACACTGGTGTTTTTTCAAATGACTTCAGCAGTCAGTCTTTCACATTTACTCGCCCAGAATTGTTTAAAAAAATGTCGAACTTCAATTCTTATCTTCGGAAATAATTTTCTTTGTTGTGACTCCCGGACGTCAGTCTGAAACTGGTGTTTTAAGATCTGGCTCAAAGTAAAGAGTTCTTGAAGAAAGACTTGTTAATGGCTAAAGAAAGTTATGCAATCAATTTATTGATGACTGGTTATCCACTAGTTTCTACCATTCAGCAATATCACCATATTCGCTGCTTTAACCAGTTCGCGCCGGGATTATTTTGACAAGAATGAAACGAGGCGCGGGATTAATTTTCACTCGACCTCAAGCCAGGCGGGTTGAAGCCATCACCCTCGGGCAACACACTCATATTTCCGGCCTCGCTCGCTACAAGCAGGTCGCTCACAGATATTTCCGGCCTCGCTCCCTGCGTGTTTACCCGTCATCCGTTCCGAATACCGCAAAACTTGTGCGTGTATACACGTCATCGGGCGCGAACTGGTTAAACAAAAAAAGAGGCCCCAAAATTGTACAGACTAAAAAGTGGCACTGCTAGCCTTGTTTAAATATTAGGAACAGTAATTTGTTATAATCATTCCCACTGATTAACAAGATGAAACGTAAGATTTTGGATGGGAGCATCAAGCCCGGAGGATGCATTATATATAAAGTATCAAACCAAACCCACTGTTACTAACATATGTTGTATTCCATTTTTAAAACAAGATATCACTGGAGGGTGGTTCTGATTTTTGTTTTTGTTTTGTAAAAAATGTGTTGTCCCAATAAATGAACAGATAAAAACACTGAGTCTGTATGGCTGTGTCTGTTTGTCATGTTTTATTATCAGTCGTCTCTTGCATTTCCCAGAAAAAAAGTTGCCGGTTTCAGTTTTACATTAGTCAGTTTTAATAATAATATAATAACAGAGTCTTATATACAGTTGCGCACGTACGTTATCTACCAACAATTAGGTACTCAAGGCGCTGGAAGTTATGTCTATTATTAAAGACAAGTAAATGAGGTTTTTAAGAAATATGAGACCCATTATGTAGCACCTGATAAGGGTTTACAAGGTGCTGCGGAGCATATTGCAGCCACTGCCAGAAATACCGGGGCAAACCCCTTCTCTTAGTGATGAGTGTTACTGGGTTCTTTAATGTGCATTACACAACACACGGGACCTATGGCTTTACGCCCCATCCGGAGGACGAAGCAATAATGGTAAAGTGCCTTGCTCAAGAGCACAAGCACCATGTTCCCACGGTCAGGATTCGAACCCATGTACCACGGCACACGAGTCGAACACCGTAACCATTGGACCACAGCACCCCACTTTTAAGCGAAAAGCGAGTGAAAATTTAGTCCAGCAGGTTTCGAGCCCGTCTCAGTTCATAAATGGGACGAGTTTCAGACTTTTATCGGGTTTATCTAAGTTGCAGGATTCTGAACAACTTCCCCACAATCTTCCCGCAATTAAGGTATCAGTATTGGCGAGTCTGGGACAAATGCAGAGCTTCTTCTCAACAAAGTGAATGATTCTACCCACAATTTGTCCAGAACTCGTACTGGATATAAATTGAGACAAGTTCTTCCCCATTTGGTTTATTTGATGATTTGAAGTAAGTTTTATTCTCTCAGAGTGATCTGGACTACTATTTATCAACTTGAAAGCGTTGTTAAACTTGCAGGTCTCATGATTTGGGCCAATTGATCTATCGCCGTTTATGAGTTAGCCACGCCCCTTAGACAACCGTATTGAGTTTTTGTACTGTAAGTTTTGTTTGAATCAGACTTTGGGCATGCTGCGTCCATTTGTATACATGTATCATGTAATTTGACAATATTTCACAAGCTGCGTTGACGTGATTCTAACGCGATAGGTCAATTGAACCCTTCACTTTTTTGTATGCCTAATACCACTTTTCTGCAACTTTGTATCATCAAATGCTGGAAAGAAATCTCAAATCTGGGAAGGTTAACATTCCAAACAAACATCGGGATATTTTGGGAAGTCGAGCGTTAGGAGATAAAAAACGAAGACTAAGCAATAAACACATGGAAATAGCAGACAGGCAGACATCTTTATTCACTTGTACTCCGAAGCAAAGTAACTTCAATAGCTTTAACTAAGCATTCCTGAAAATGGAGAATCTCTCATCTGGAATGTACCATACAAGTAGATGCTTTTGTAGCGATTTATTCAATATTGCAGTAGATTAAAGTACTGAATACTCCACATATTTGTGTTTAATCAATTCATGACAGCTTGCTATACTAGGTTGTGTAGCCATGCACCATAGTGCTGTGTAGAGAGAAGACAACATTTCAAGTACATGTCTCAAACTATAAAGCATTTGTACAAGAAACTCAAGTTAACACATTAGCATATCAGGCCAGCATGAAACGTTTGTAACAAACACATATTCATAAATACATGTACATAAGACAGTTTACCCATTCCTACTGGTCGAGAGCCCGTCACGAGAGTGGTTTTAAACTTTTTTCCTGGCACAGCTGCATTCTGCGCCACATCGCACAGTATGCGGCAGGCGTACCAATCTCCATATCAGGAGTGTTTTAGTACTACTCGCGCGAGGCACATACCATAAACATAGCCAGAGGGGTGTTTCACAAAACATGAAGTAAAATTGTTAAACAAAATCGTTGGAAATTTATTGTTTTGACTTGTTGACAGAATTGTATTTATGAATGGGAATAAATATGCGCTAGGCCGGGAATAAATATGCGCAAGGCCGGTAATAAACAAGTACATTTAAAACCAGCTAGGGGCCTCGACTCGGGCCATATTATCGGCGACCAGGCCTATACCGGCAAAGCATGTATTTATTCCCTTATTAAAAGTCTGTCCTGCAGTTAGCTAGTCATTCAATAAAAGGATAGTACTAGTAAGCATAGGTTACATATGCAACCCCCCCTCCAAGCTTGTTAGCCCCACCTCTACCACAATTTCAGCCTTCCAAAGTATTACAGGCCCAGCTATGGATCCCATTAGCAGAAACTATTGCTTAGCAAATATATGGACTGAGCAAATATCAACAAAGTACCAGTTACAAGCAATACACACTGCATGGCATTTCGACCGGTAACCATTTTTGCTAAGCGACTATTGTCTGTGCTTACCACAATATCCGCGCTTAACAGCTCCTCGAAATTGTGCTTAATTCAAATCACCAATGTGCCCACCTGCCTATTACTAAACAAACATTCATCTGCAGTACTTGTCAACTTAAAAACAATACAACAAAACAGAACCACTTTTAAATAAGCTACAAAAATGCAACAAGAAAACTAAAAGACAAAAAATATTTACACAGGAATGATTGGTCAGACTTCGGGAAAGTATCCCAATTGTATTCTGAAGACCTGGAATGGAATAGACCTAGGACATAATGACGTCACGCTTTTGTTTATATGTGCGCTTTGCTATGGGAGCCAGGTGGAGACGATGGGTTCAGCAAAGCACACATATAAACAAAGTGTGACTTCATTATGTCTTTTCAACCAAAGTTTCAAATAATAATGTTCCAAACCACTTCTTTTTCAAAGCAGAAAAGTTCATCGCACGGTTATCTGCAATCAGTATGAAACAGGATATTTTAGTTGCCAGAAAAACTTTGCACAAGGCAAATAAAAATTGCCATGCTATGACAATACACTGAAAATACTGACATAAATAATGTTTTTTTTTATTAAAGCTGAAAGCAAGTTCCGGCTCTAGAGTCAGCTGAGTTTGACTATAACTTAACTACTTTTCTACCACTTGCAACTCACAATACCAAAATCGAAGATTCAGTTGATGCTTCTGGACTTGGACATATTTATGCAACAATCAAGTTGTGTTTTGCTACTTAAAACGTTCCACTTTGGCACACTTTTGAGCGCAGTTTTTTTTGCAGTTTGTGCTAAGAACCCCATGCATTTAGCACCTCTTCAATGGCGCCCTCTATTGTTCCTGGACAATAGAAAGCCATTCTGGCGCCCTCTATTGTTCCTGGACAATAGAAAGCCGTTCTGGTCACTTCTACAAAGTTTGTGTTTACAGTGGGCCACCATTTTTTTGTTGATTTTTCAGGAATGTGCAATTGTTTAGCGATCGGGAGCCAATTGCAGAGCCTTTTACTTGGAATGACAAGGGGCTCAGTAAGCTTCCATGTGATTGGTCGATTCAATTTTTTTGCAGACTGCTATGTCTCGATAGTAATCACTTCAGGTTTTTCCTCTTCCTTGATGTCTCTGAAAATGAAAGAAAAAAATTAATAATTTACCAATATTTGTGCTCAAAGCACTTCATTATTATTACCCCTGCTTATTGAGCAAATGAAAACATTTCTGAGGCCATCTCAGTTCCCTGGAGAGAACACAGCTCAATGCTGCTATTTCGGCGCAAACAGCTATAAATTCAAACACAGCAACCATGTCTGCACCTCAGAGGAAAGCATTCTCTTCCTGGGTTTTGGAGAAGCAAATAATGACAAAGTGTCTTGCCCAAGGGCACACACATACACTCACCCAGCTCGTTTTTACTATTCTCATGAGGACCTGCCCCTTTCCTTCTTTTGTTCCCTTTTGTTTGCACTTTAACTTTTTCTTGTAGCTAGGTCCCATAAGGTTTGTACACAAGTTCTCCCGAGGACTAGTTCCAAGGTCCTCGGACCCATTGAAATCACACACCCCCCACTGTTTTAAGTCCTCAGTCTGAATGGATAATCAACCCACACAAGTGTGTAATAAACACCAGCAATCGTGGACCCCCTATTGTCCCTAATCCTCATTCCTTTGTTTGTACTTTTTAGGAAGACCTCCCATATGTTTTGTATACAAATTTCAATTGTGGACGTTCGGTCAATGGTGGACCCTTTGTTTGTGCCCTTACCCTTTTGTCCCTAGTCCACGATTGCCAGTGTTTACACACGCACACACACACACCACAAACTAAACTACCACATGCGGCTACCACACTACCTTGTAATTCAGTTGGCCATCCACCATACATCTATTGTTATCAATAAGAGTGGTAAGACATCTGCACTAGTAAGCAGAAGGTTTGGGTTCGAGTCCCCTTAGTAAGCTTTTGAATTTTTTCATGCAAGCCCTCGGACAACAGTGCTTATGAAATGAAGGGCAAAGAAACGCAACGTTTTTCCCCTGATGCCAAATTCCATCAGCCAAGAACTCACATGTTATAAGCCTTGCTTATCCTGAGCGAGTCGTGTAGCATGAGGTCTCGTAGCTTCCACAACGCCTTGACTGTCTCGCTCTCCTTGCTGGGTTTGTTGGCAAGCCAGTTGGTGGGCAAGCGGGCCCTCTGCTCTGGAGTAATGGCGACGTCCTCGGGACGAACGGTCAGGTTACGCTGCCAGTCGCTGACGTTCTCGGTGTTGGTGCTCAGCCCTTCGATGTATCTACACGGCGACAGGGGAAGATATGACACGGAAAGTTGTAATATTAATAACCTTAATGATGTGGTGCTAATATATCACTTTATACCAAAGTCCCAAAGCATTTCACAATAAGCCTCTGTACTGAGGACGTCACACTTTCTTTACATGTGCACTTTCCTATAGAGCCAGTGGTGCCCATGGTCCACTGAGCACCATAGGGAAGCACACACGTGAACAAAGTGTGATGTCATCAGTACAGAAGCTTATTATTTCCGCTGTTCATCAGGTCATGAGACCATTTTCTTTGCAGCAGCTCGAGATTCAGCGCAATCTGGTGTCTACCCTCACAGGTACACATTTATGCTCCTGGGTGGAGAGAAGCAATTGTAGTAAAGTGTCTTGCCCAAGAACACAAGCACCATCTTTCCGGTCAGGATTTGAACCCACACACCATCACACATGAGTCGAACACCGCCCATCCTCGTCGCCAATATGATGCCTGACTAAGACTAAATGAAGATAAATATCGGAGCCGAAATGAATGGACAAGGGAGACACGATTGTGCAGTATGGATATCTCGTGTGAGAGTGTGTAATTTAGTACATGCCATTCAGGTCAAGGGTCATAAGCTTATACTGCTCTAGAACACATGCAGAAGAAGGTGGCTATACAAATGCATTGCAATAATGTAAACATTACACACTGGACCAATGCATCTCATGAATCTCAATTGTACAAAGTCACATTAGAAAATCAATCATGTTAGGTTACAAGTAACAGGGACTGAATGAAGACAAATTAATACTTTTGTCACAATCTATTTGAATAGCTTGAGGCTTGATTTAAGACTAGTTGACTCATGATTGACCAGTGATACCCTGTGAAGACTTGACTTTATGACCTTTCGTAACTTGAAAGGGCCCATATAATGTAGTTTTTGGAATGGAATCCTTAAAAATGCACCTTGGTGTCCCATTTAATATTATTTTCGATGAACATTTTGCCATTTTTAAGGGCATTTTGGTGCTTTTTGGTTTTCATGCAAATGCAGGTTGCCATATTCATTAGCAAAAGTGTGATGTCATTTCGGGCAGGAGTAGAAAGTTGCACAAAATGTGTTCCTAAGAAAATCTGATGGGGCTATAAACACTGTACCTGATGTATGCCTCCGAGTGCAGCAATCGTTGAGTCCTTGGGGGCGGGGGCACAAAGAGTGGAGGGGGCGGCACCATCGGCTGTTGCATTGAGGAGCCTTGACTCTGCATACCTATTAGAACATTAGTAAATTCAACAGAGCTTAGCAAGTTTTGGATACTGTCATTTCATTTAAGACTGCAGACAAGAGAAGTTCACTGTCAAATTTGTTACATATCTGTGATAAAATTTCAACTGGGTCTCACGCCACTACCGGTAGTGCCTGTACCTTCCCAAACCGCCCTGCCTGTTATTCCCTATGGGCTCCGTGCGCCAACAAAAGAGGGCGCATTTTTTCCACTTTTGAAAGCTCCATGGACAGGAGCACGTTTTGGCGCTGTGACCGTAAACATGTCTCTGGTTCGCGGCCGTTTTGGCGCTTCGGTTACACTGAAATGACGTCATTGTTTCGACCAAAGTTGAACCGAGGTTTTCCGGTCGGTTCACTTATGTTTCAAGATGGCGGAAAGGTAAACAAGCTTAGCAGACGACGTTACCTTTTACAATAAATGGGGTTTAAATAGTGGGTTTTTACCTTCAATTAGTATGAAAGTTGATACAGAATATCAGGCCTACTATTTTTAGAACTTTAGGGGAAACGCTATAAAAAAACCTCCCACTTCTGCTTTGAATGTTATTGTTAATCATGTCCGGTCGTCGCGTGATTTTTTTGGGGGGTTGTGGAGTAACGTAGGCAGTAACATGACGTCATGAACAATTTTCCGGTCAGTCGTTTTCGCGGTGCACAGGAAACATGTTTCAGGTCACGGCTGTGACGTCAGAAACATGTTCCAGTTCAAGGGCTGCCAAAACGTGCTCCAGGACACACAGCATGCGCGTACTGTACTGTACTGGTTCGCGCGTGAAGTACGCACGACTTCCTGAATGTGCCAAAGCTATTAGCCACAGCGTCTTTGCGTGAGCGTCAGGCGTCGTCGGCATGTGAATACGCTCAAATTTAACTTGCGATGGTCTCCCAGACTACTCCCCCCCCCCAATTACTTTGGATCACTCAAAATACACAGTGGATGGACCGGGAACCAGTCTAGGTCATTCCCAACTCTCCTTTTCTGGCCGTTGAAGGGGTACTTGTGCACGGAGCCCATACCAGCAGAAACTACCACATCGTTCATCAGGGAATAGATATAGTGTTAAACAATGTAATTAAAAAGAGCTAATCCTGTGCTATACAGGGTGAGTAAAAAAAAAATGCAACCCAAATGGCAGGACCAATTTTTGAATGAAGTTTTGCCTGTAGCACTTTCAAAATCTAGGATATGAAAGCCCAGTCATTAAGCTTTCTTTTAGAACAAGAATCATTCAAATCACTTATGTACTTTTCAAGTTACGGAATTTTAAACACATCCACCGTTTTTAAGTTCTGTCCACGGATCACAAAAAAGGTAAGTGTTTTTTCAGCAAAACGAAAACAATTCTCATAGGGATGAATGTGAATTGTTTTCGTTTTGCTGAAAGAACATTAACCTTTGTTGTGATCGGTGGACAGAACTTTAAAATGGTGTTTATGTTCAAAATTCCGTAACTTGATGAGTACATGAGTGATTTGAATGATTCTTGTACTAAAAGAAAGCTCATTAATTGGGCTTTCACATCATAGATTTTGAAAGTGCTACAGGCAAAACTTCACTCAAAAATTGGTCCTGCCATTTGGGTTGCGTTTTTCGACTCGCCCTGTATTTGAGTTTCACTTTTAGCAGGAAAATCTGCGCATGTTTATTTACGGTACTTGCAGCCCAAAATTAAAGCCTTTTTTTTTAAAACTAGTTGTAGATGTCCAAATAAAAGAAGGTATTATTTTGTTAATCCTAAGTCCTTTAGGAGGAAAACAAGTGTAATTTGTTGAACAACACGGGCAAAGTGACTGGTGGTTGATACCTTGGTTCAGCGCAGGGCTAGGCGCTCCGCGAGGGCTCGGAGCGATGCCTTGCTGACCACGCGGTGACATCATCAACCCCTGACCTGCAACACCTAACATCAAAACATAAAAAAACGGGTTTTCTTGCCACGTGAAACCACAACCACAAGTCGCAGTGTTACGGAAGCCGAAACTTTGACCAAACAGTTTAGGACATTATGATGATATGACAACATGCAGACAAGCACAGTGAGGTGCAATTATGGAACTTGCAAGCACACATTCATAACAAAATAATCAGACCATGCTTTCGCTTACATTGATTGTGTGAACCATGCGGGTTGCAATGCTTCCAATCAGTGAAGAAATAGTTCGATAAATTTTAATGATCAAAACTGTCCCTCCCCCCCCCCTCAAAAAAAGTAGAATATGAAACTCTACTTTCCATACGAAAAAGTAAAGTCTGTCCCGAGCCTATACGGCCCATCGGGCGGGCGTTTATCTCCGGTTTCAGTGGCATGAAACGACTAAGAATATTTCTATTCCCCCTGGACAGGATGCCAGTCCATCGCAGGTTACTCCCTAGCTAATACCGGTACCCATTTATACTCCTGGGTGGAGAGAGGCAAGTGGGGATAAAGTGCATTGCCCAAGGACACAACGTATGGCCAGCAGCTGGATTCGAACCCCTGACCCTCTGATCATGAGTCACAAACCCTAACCGCTAGGCCACACTTCCCAATACGAAGGCCCCTTTCAATGGCGAAGCGTTGTGCTAGCTATTGCTCAGATAATCCGTCACGGGCAATTTGCTTTGTACAATAGCACGCACAGTGGTTTCTCCGTTGAAAACAGGCCTTGTCTGTGTACAGTGATCCTGAGCCCGGATTCATGTCGAATCTTGGTTTACCACAGCTTACAATTAGATTTGCAGTTAGTCATGGATAATTCTTATAAATTTGTAAAAATGCCAAATCCTTAGATATTGTATTCGGTGCTTAGAGAAATCTGCTATCTTTTTTGGCACTTGGCACATGTTACTGCATGTATTATTTTTATGTTGGCTTGCGTCACAGAGTGGAAACATTCAAAGTTTGTGCACATATTTTAAGCCACTGTTAAAGGGACACTGGGTCCTGGAACAGCCCAATTGGGCTACAAAACCTGCTCTGATTGAGATGATGTTAATCGGAACAAACTTTTAAAAGTAGGATATAAACATCCACACAACTATCCTTTAAAAACTGGGCGTTTTTGTGTTATTCCTGTATTATGCGTGCGAAAACGAATTTCGGGGTCCACTTTTGCGACCCCATAAATTCGAGCTGTTTTGATGCTAGTTGTGATTTCATTCGTAAAGTGTTCGCCTTTTGCGGACGTTGAAGAAACCATATTTTTTTGCATTGGTGATTGGTCACTGCTGTTCCCGAGACACACAACCTGTATATCATACACTGAAAACGACACGAAAAACGTATTCGTACTCCGTCGTGTCCGATGTAAACAACTGAGTCTTTTTCGTCTTTCCTCGGGAACGGTCAGACATTAGGTTGGTTTCCTTTCAACCAAGTATTTGAAATAGGATAAGTAAATAATCCAAAACATGAAATTTTCCGGGATTTCAGGACCTAGTGCCCCTTCAAAAAGATCATGATATGACTTCATGTACTGCGTAATAATGATTTCATTCATTACAAGCCCTGTTAGACATTTTGACACATGGTGGACGCAATTGGAAGGTGCTGATTGGTTTAAAACCTGTTTGCAGCAATATAAACAAATCGTAACCTTCTATTTTGCTTCCATATCTCATAAAGGATGATTAACACATTCACTGCTTCACTTAGGAGGGATTGATATGGTCATAATCTCATTTAGTTACTGTACGTGCATTTCATGCTGCTGGGCACCAGGGTACTGGTACCCAGCAAGACAACTATGATGAAATACATATCAGTGACCAAAACGTGACCGTGAATTACAAGCACGAACATCTCACCTGCTTGCTGTACATGCATTACATGCTGCTGGGCACCGGGGTACTGGTACCCGATCCCGGCCGGTTGCATGCCCATGGACATGGGTATAGCGTGCTGCATACCGCCAGGCTGGGCCATGGGGGGTACCATCCCTTGCATGCCAGTGGAATGGTAGACCCCGCCCATGTGACCGTTGGGGTAGGGGTGAGCGTGCATGTCGAGCATCGACGGCATTGCCATGCCTAGAGGGGTGGGGAAGTTAGGAGAGGGGGAAAGGGGAGGGGGTGGGGAGGGCAGATGGGTAAATGAACAGACACACACAAGGAGGCAGACATTTGGTTATCAGGCAAAAACATAACACATACATGCTGTTGGTCAAGACATGGCCTTACAAATGTACTCCATGCAAACACTTACTGGGTATCAGTTTACTTGTACTTGCCTGAGAAGGCAACAGTCATATTTTAGTGACATGGAACCGTTTTCTTAATAAGTTAAGGGTGGATGATGTTATTGTTAAGTTTGTTTATGGGTAAATTCTAAATGGGGCACTTTATAAGATTTCCACCATTTTCGAAGGCTTACAATTGTTAGGATATTGAAGAAAATCTTGAACAGCAGAAAAGCTATAAAGTATTTTTGGAATTCCTTTGCAAGTAAGTAATCAATGGTTTCCATAGAAACATCAAAATTTTAAAATTTTAAAATCAAAATGAACAGTTTAGTATCAAGCTGTCAAATAACGGCATTAGTATTAAACCAGAATGGTTTAGCTTCTTAAAAAAAGACGTTTCAAACAGCAATACACTTCCTCTGAGCCCCCCCCCCCATATTTGGCTTTATCAATAAAAAATTTGAAATGAATTAGTTTCAAATAAAGCAACAAAAACTTTGATTCACTATATTTGTTCTGACCAAACACAGAAGTTTACATAGCGTAAATATGAGTGCGAACTTTCACTGCGGCCTTCAGACCCTAAACATGCTTTATTTTTAAGTCTTTGTCACCCCCCCCCCCAAAAAAAATTTGTCTACAAGCATAAGTTCAGCAGTACCAAGTACCACCCAAACATTAAACAAATGCATTTTTGAAAATTTTTCAATGTCCAGAATACTTCACCCAAAATTTGTAAATGAAGATCTTGATTTCAATTTTGCCCAACAATCCGTTGGAGTAAAATTCATGTAAACAACACAGTAGTGCCAAAAATATTGCTTAGCGTTTCTTTGCGATGCTAACGAAAGCTGGAAAGCATGCCAACGTCAACAGTGCAAATGCCACGAATATCACAATATTGAAAGATTTTCCAAACAAAAACCAAGCAAATAATGTCCGCAAGCCAGCAGCTAATTAAAAAAAAAGAAAAAAGAACACACCAAATATTATCCAGAACTGTGCATAGACCATTAAACTATTGGCCTGGTCAAGGCATTCAACAATTGTCCTATGATCTATGGTCGGCCGCTAACAATAACAGTAGCTGCACGCTTTGCACTCACACGTACTGTACGAAGTGCGAACAGCGACCTAACGGGGCTAGGCTACAATATGCAATCAGTACGTACTGGTAAAACACCTTGGCACAACGGTCGCTTTGGCCTATTTTTTTTCGGTAAATTTGCATTTTTTGTCGCTGGAGTTACATCCAGTTATATTTGGTCTGCGAACTCCAAACTTGTTGGAGAATGCAGCCACACTTTTCAGCTCTATGTCCATGTAAAATACTAGCCTCCATGACCAAGTACTGAATAATAATCTCATCTTTATTCACATACGAGGTCGTCACTGGAAATCCAGACAAACATAAACCGTAAAACCAGCACCAACTGATTTGCATATCGTAGCCTAGCCGTGTGAGGTCGCTGTTCGGGCTTCTTACAGTACGAGTGAGTCATATCACAGGTTAGTGGCTGGCCATCGATCATCGGACACTGTCGTTGAATGCCTTGACCAAGGATATTAAACTAAAGGCCTTGTTGTATTTTAAGCAAATACTAATGCGTCACAAATGTGTACCATTAACAGCAAACGTTTGCGTTGCCAATTAAGAAAAGCTGACGGCATTCTACTCCAACAAATTTTCACTGTTAGGCCAAAAAAAAAAAAATATTCGGTCTCTGGTCAGACCAAAGTTCCGGAATTGACGCGGCCACGCAACTTTTTTTTTTTTTTTTGCTTTTTTTTTTTTTTCTTCAAGCTTGGATTGTACAGACAAGGTGGGGTACTATTTTGCTTTTTTGGTTTCCTCATGTACATTGGTGTCCTCCATAATTTGCCTTTGGTGCTTTCGATCATTTGCCTTGGTGCAATTTACCATTCTTTGGTAAAAAAAATTGAGGAGGTGCGCAAATAGAGGGTGCTGTTGGAGCTACCGCGGAACATTTTGGAAAAAAAAGATCGACGCGCATGATTAAAATCGACGCGCGCGCTGACCAGAGACCGACTTATTTTTTTTTTTGGCCTTAACGTCCATAAATATTGAACTCATTTCAATTTTACATTTGTAGCTTAACTTTTCATTGCCATAAAAAAAATAATAAACAAATAAACAAAAAAACAAAAAGCCATGCCTTGGGGGGTAACGTTAAAATAATAGTGGAGAAAATTAATAAATTATAAAATTTGCTTGTGTTTTTCTTGAGGGTGTTAGGGTTATTCGGTTAATGTTACAACGAAACGCAACTCATAGGAGGGGGATATTTTTGGGGGGGAGGTTTGGTCGAGAATGGGTTATGTGTTATCCCATGATGGGAGGCTGGTGGGTCATATTAGGTGCAGCTGCGGTGCAGTGGATACGTTGTCTTAACTTCCAGGGCAAAACGTTTTGAACCTAATTCGCTTAAAAACTAAACTATCCATGTTCAACGTATCAAAGATAACGTGTACCTATCTTTGGCAAAAAATTTAAAAGAATATTTTTTAGGTATACAACAAAACTCCTATTCATTTCAGCATCTGATTTGCAAAGAAAATAAAATTTTCTGCAGGTCTGGATTTATTCCTACTAGCAACAGATTTGTTTTTAAATCCTTTTTACCTGTGACCCTTGACCTGGTAGCCATGGCAACAACAAATCCACAGTGCACCTACCTTGCATGCTTGCATGAGATGAATGTGAAAGCTGTTGGGTTGCCATCCCCACGGGGGTAGGGGGACCGACAATACCCATGATAGCTCCCCCACCTGGTGTGCCGGAGCGTCCCTCCTCCTGGCCGTGAAGGGCGAAGCGCGAAAAGTAGTTCCTGCGGGAGAAGTCAAATTTATCAAACACAAGTTGAAATCAAAAATTTACATTGGGGTTAAAAGAGAGGCTGTGCTGGCCTATCTGTATCTTGACCAATGAGGCTTCAAGCGAATTCATGAATATTTATGAGCAACACTGCCTCATGCATATTAACCTACTGACATCCTGAGGTAGATATGTATTTTGCCTGTTGATGCAAAATCATGAATATTTATGAGCAACACTGCCTCATGCATATTAACCTCGACATCCTGAGGTAGATGTATTTTACCTGTTGATGCAAAGTCATGAATATTTATGAGTATTACTGCCTCATGAATATTAACCTGTTGACATTTGTGGAGAGATGTCCTTGTCCTTTCATGCAAAATCCAAAATATTAATGTGTTTCACTGCCTCATAAATATTAACCTACTTGTGTTTTTACGCAAAAATCATAAATATTTATGAGTTACACTGCCACATGCATATTAATCTACTGACATGCTGAGGTAGATGTATTTGCCTGTTCATGCAAAATCATGAATATTTATGAGTAACGTTGCCTCATTAATATTTACTGGCTGACATTCTGCTGATAGATGTTCTTGCCCTTGATGCAAACTCATGAATGTTTACGAATTTAAACTGCCTCATGAATAATTACCTGCCGACATTATGATGATAGATGTACTGCCCAATGAGGCTTCAAAGCAGAATCTTGAATATTTATGAGTTACACCCCCTCATGAATATTTAACTACTGACACTCTGGGGATAGATGAACTTGCCAATGAGGCTTCAAAGCAAAATCATGAATATTTGTAAGTTACAGAGCCTCATGAATATTTACCTGCTGACATTCTGGGAATAGATGTACTTGCCCGTTGCCGCCTTCATGTGGACTTCCTTGCAGTGTCTGATCAGACGAGACAAAGCCGGGAATGGCCTGGTATCAAACAAAAGAATGAGCAAAAATCAACGGTTGCTATGGCAATATGCAAATGTAGTCTGAACGCAGCCTATAAAACTCGTCACTGAAGCAGGAAGGACTCAACAGCTTATAATTAACTGGTCATCACTGGTTGACAAAAATTACTCGCTTAATCATACTCTGGTGAAAGAGATTAAAACTACGTTCGCGATGATTTTAACGTGCCATTTCCATCGACTTTTCATCGACTTTTCTTCGAAATTTCTTCGAAATTATGATTGAACATTTTGTGAGAAAAATCCTTACACAAAATCAAATTTTGTGGGACACACTGTAAAAAAATCGGAAATTTCGTTGGAAAATTCAAAAAGTCGGTTTTCCGATTAAAATCGGAAAAGTTTCATCTCTGCACTGCGGATCCTGAACATGTTGAAACTTGTGCGACTTTATTTGAGTTTCGTGGAAACAAGGTCTGATATACATCAAGGATATTGTGAGTTTCTGGTGGTCTCTTGACTTACTGGTTTTTGCGGTATCTGACGCAGCTCTTCCAGTAGCAAGGGTAGGTAAGCTCATTGGGTTCACCTGAATAAAAAAACAACAAAATATGAAAAATACTCAAACCATATCAACCAAAACAATGATTTGAAGCTTTGCATGGTGAAATCAGCAGTAGGATTAAGCCAGTTTCTGTGGTAAGCAGCTTCACCAACTTTGGTGAAGCTGGGCCCAATGTCATGCCGCTGCTTCACAGTAAGCAGAAAAGTTGCGCAAACTATAGCAGAAAATTGTGCTAAGCTTAAGCACTATTTCATGTTGTGGATGTGCTAATGCCTGCGCGTGCATGGCAACTTCCATCGTTCTGTCAGTAATTGAACCCTAACCCTCCAGGGTATTTTGGCTAGAAACCCTGCCAAACGCAGCAACATGCAACACTTGTCTAAGCGTGTAACCTTTGTCTAAGCGTCAAACTGCCCAGCGCAGCAAGATCCATCAGGCCAAAAAATCTCAAGGCCAAACTGCCTCAGAGTCTGTGGTCACCCAATGCAGCAGGATACAACTGTGGCATTGTTCAATAGGACTAGCTCTCATTGTCTCAGAAGTGGCCGTTTATGCACTGGTGTTGATAGCTGAATGCATCAAAGTGCACCAGACTCTTCCACCTGATGCACTTTGTTGCGTCTGACAGGATTAGGGTTAAAGCTATAGTCCATCATTTGCAATTAGTGCATTTTGTTCGTTTGAAGCAACAAAAGTGTTCAAAATCTAATGAAGGATACCGAACAACTTACTTGATGAAGTTTCAGCTCAGCTTCAGCTTCATATTCCGAGAAAAACAGCATTCTAGGATCTCAATTTAAAATCAATAGTTGCTAAATCATGTTTCGAATTGTTTTGAATTGCAGCTTTATGCGATGTCGCGCACTGATCCGACGAATTATAGCAATGGCGCGCGCCTGTGCGTCGTTCCAATGCTTGTGCGCGCTGCGCCGAATAACAAAACGAACAACTAATTTAAATTTTCCTACAGTGCTTCTTAAGAAGCACCGTTGGAAATGCCTTCTTTCGTTGATTTCTTCAAAATGAGAGCTTGCCAGAAAGGATAATTTCACAGGGAGTTTAGTCCCCTTACTATCTTTCAACCAGTATGTTTTTCAACAATAATTACGCCAGTTACTTTTTTGGAAAGCTGCAAATGATGGACTCGGGCTTTAAGCAACTTTTTCCACTGAGTTAAGCGGGCCTTTTGTGAGCTTACTGCTTACGAACTCCATGGAATAGATGGAGGTCTCGTTAGCAGAAAATTGTGCTTAGCGCTTACCGACTGCCTTGAGATGGTCGCCAGTCTCCACGATGTGATTCAACAGATCCTCCTGGTCTTCATACTGATGGTCGCAGCCGTCCCAGCCGCAGTCAAAGATGTGGATGGTATTGGAGCCTGGGCCCTTTGCTTGGCCAGGGGTCTGGCCCGGTACCGGGGGATTGGCAGCCTCTCGGGATGCCCGCTCTATGGCCTTGACCTCGGCGATGGCCGCCGCGCGTTCCTCGTACTGGTTCTTGTCAGTCGAGGGCAGCTGTCGCCACTGTTTGCGAAAGGAATATTCAACAAAAAGTGTTGATTTCACGCTGATTCTTCCATAGATATTCAATTAACCGTTGATTCAGTTTTGAAGTCACAGAAAGGTCAGTGAACACCACCTCTGAAAGGGGTCAAGGTTTTTTAAAATTGATGATTGCAGATGGTGAAATTACATGGACGGTCAGGCAACAGATAATTTCTGAGAAATTTTCAGACAAGAAAAAATAAACCAATTTCTCATTTGCTCGCTTCCTTTTTCCCACCCGCCTTTTTTTCCCCCTGTATTTTTTTTCTAATCATACATTTCCATTCAAAATCTGGTAGAAAGGAGTGAAGGCTCCTTGGACACATAAGTATCAGCAAACCAATCCCGTTAGCTCGGTGGTCAAGTGGTAAGACATCTGCACTAGAAAGCAGAGGGTCACGAGTTTGAGTCCCACCCGAGTGATTTTTTTTTCAACTTTCACTTGGGAGGTAACACACTGAGTATACGGTGTTTATACAGCGTGAAGGCCAAAACCTAATTTGATTTATCACTGTAAGAGAACCAAGAAAATGGAAGGATCTATCTAGTCACCTTGGAAAATCTGCCATCTTGAGGGGGGGGGGGAGGGAAGGCTGCCTCCCTCCTTTTTTTTAACAGCTGGGAGGAAACACTATTTTTCCCACTTGGCCTTTTACCTGAACATTAATAGATGTGGTCAGTCACATTTGTGGTCAGTCAAAAGTGTCACCTGAGTTTGTCAAGGAATTGAACCCCTTAAGGATGGGGCGTAATGGGGACATTCCTCCATACATAGAGCAAGTGACCCGCATGACTGCACAGCCTTTGTGTGGTAGCGGGACTGCACAAAAGCAGCAGCTGTGGGAACTACCCACTGGCTCGTGCCACGGTATACCACAGCTGGCAACTGCATTCCAGTGAGGATAAGCGGCCGCGGCCATGACCGCTTCCCGTACCCGAGGGGTTAAACATTCTTCATGTGACAGCTCAGAACTGACTTGTGCTGGTTCTGTATGTCCGAACACTGTTTGTTTCTGATTTCAATGAGTGCATCTTACAGATCATACAATGCTGCCAACCTGGGAAATGGCACTTTAAGATCACTCAAAGAGAGCACATAAATTGAGTATTGTTTTCCAGGTTTGTGTGAGCAACTTTTTTTTTTTTTAGGGATGTTCATTTTAGGATTTTTTTATTTAAACCCTAACTCCCTAGGCCTTTTTGCTAGGATGTAGCCTCAATCCTGCAAAATCCTCCAAGTGGCCTCATGGAAAAATAGCATATCGCCTCAATCCTGCAAATTCCTCCATTATTTCTTGAATGTGGTCCGTGGAGGGGTGACCACTGCCTGAATCCTGCAAATCCTGCAGCAGTGACTGTCAATATGTTCAGGCTTGGCCAGTGACATCCTGGAGCAGTGCGGAGGATTTCACGCATAATCAAGGCCTATATTAATGCATGGCTGAGCAAAACACAACACAAGGTCTGGCCCAAGACCTTGACAAAGTGCATCCTTCAAAATCAGTAACCCAGTTTTGCCAAGTAACCTCAATCCTCCAAATTCCTCCAATTTGGCAAAGAAGAGTTTGAAGAATTCAGGGCGGTTAGGGTTAATTTGAAAATGTGTCCCGTATCGTATTGTCTTTTTTCCAAACACTGAATTGTTATAAAAAGGTACTTGCGATTGCTAACGACTTAATTTGCATGTTGACTGTACTTGCATCATAACCTCAATCCTCCAAATTCCTCCACTTTGGCAAAAGAAGATTTTGAAGGATTCAGGGCGGTTAGGGTTAATCTGAAAAAGTGTCCCATATCGTATTGTCTTTTTTTCCAAACACTAAATTGTTATAAAAAGGTACTTGCGATTGCTAACAACTTAATTTGCATGTTGACTGTACTTACATGTACATCATAACCTCAATCCTCCAAATTCCTCCACTTTGACAAAGAAGAGTTTGAAGGATTCAGGGCGGTCAGTGTTAATCTGAAAAAGTGTCCTGTATCGTATTGTCTTTTTCCAAACACTGAATTGTTATAAAAGGTACTTGCAATTGCTGACCGACTTAATTTGCATGTTGACTGTACTTACATCATAACCTCAATCCTCCAAATTCCTCCACTTTGACAAAGAAGAGTTTGAAGGATTCAGGGCGGTTAGGGTTAATCTGAAAAAGTGTCCCGTATCGTATTGTCTTTTTTCCAAACACTGAATTGTTATAAAAAGGTACCTGCGATTGCTAACGACTTAATTTGCATGTTGACTGTACCGGTACTTACATCGCTCCCAATGAGTCGACTGATCTCCCCAAATGACATCTTGGGGTTATTCTTCTTAACGTCGGCTCTCTGCTCACTGGCAAACAGGATGAAACCACTGGCATGGCGAGGCTTGGGCTGTAAGTACAAGCAAACATGAAAACACATGAGGAGAAAATGTGAAAACTACTGAAGTTGATTAGTACAATGATGAAACTTCATGTATGGGTTGTTAAGCATGGCTGTCGACAGGATTTTTTCTGGTTGGGGAAAGGAGGCGGGGGGGGGGGGGGGGGGGGGGGGGGGGGGGGGGGGGGGGGGGGGGGAGGCGGGGGGGGGGAGGCGGGGGGGGGGGGGGAAGGGGAGCAATTGATGGCCATGGAAAAAGTTGGGGGGGGGGGGGGGTGGACATCATTTGATGCTTGAGGCGCTGTTCAAAACTGAATAAACTGAATAAATTTATACCGAACATTTCATGGCCCACTCTGTCAGTTTTGATAGTTACTCATACAAAAAATTACAGTACTTAAACCATGTTCTTTTCTTTCGCTCCTTTTTGACATGGGCTTTACAGAGGTTTGGGTGTTTGTTTTGCTTTTACGGCAAGAAAGATGCGTGCACTTTATGTAATTATCGCAGGATGTCAACATCTAACATGCAAAATCTCCAAATCCAAGTTGTTTTAGTATGAAATAAAAAATGTTAATACTGATGTGCTCAGTGTGGGGAACGTAATAACTGTTTCAGTTTCAAGCAGATTGATTTGGGCAAAGCGAAGAGGAAATATTTTGGTAGATCGATATATCTGGTCAATGTTTCTCATTAGAGCACAAGACAATGAGACAGACAGATAGATAAACAGTCAGACAAAAACAAAATCACATAATTATTGGTGAAATGGCTGGTTAGGCTATGAAAAGAAGAATCAGTTACAATCAATATTCTCAGGCACTCAAGATACAATGTTTGTTTCTACGAGATGGCAATATATTTCCAGATATTTTTGTTTAGTGAAAGGAACCAAATAACATAAATTCTGTCCTTTGTTTATGTATACCTTAGTAAAGGTCCAGTGCTGTTGACACCGTTGACCATATTTGGCCTTTTGTAAACAAACATGCATATCTAGTCCTACACAACACAATCATTTGTTACGCAGACAAATCGAATGAATCTGCAATCGTTTATTGCTTAACTACACAAACCATGCACAAGTCCTGCCTACAAATATGAATCCATATTTGTTTATGGTTAGGCCAAAAAAAAAATATTTGGTCTCTGGTCAGACCAAAGTTCCGGAATTGACGCGGGGACGCGGCTTTTCTTTTTTTGTGGCTTTTTTTTCTTTTTTCTTCAAGCTTGGATTGTACAGACAAGGTGGGTACTATTTTGCTTTTTTGGTGTCCTCATGTACATTGGTGTCCTCCATAATTTGCCTTGTTGCTCTCCATAATTTGCCTTGGTGCAGTTTCCCATTCCTTGGTGCTCTTTGGTAAAAAAAAATTGAGGAGGTGGGGCAATAGAGGGCGCTGTTGGAGCTACCGCGGAACATTTTGAAAAAAAAAGAAAGATTGACGCGCATGATTAAAATCGACGCGCGCGCTGACCAGAGATCGACTTATTTTTTTTTTTGGCCTTACACGTAATTGGTTAATGCTCAAGTGTGATCATAAACACTGCAGTAAAAGAAAGTCCACACACATTGGATGGGTCATAATTTGAATCTGATCGTCCTATGATATTTTTATTCATATAGATCTTTGGGGAATTTTGTTGCTCAACATTTTGATACCCTGTTTGCTACCAAAGACTGTAATTGTCCAAGATCGACAAGGGTTTATGCAAAATGATGCAGTCTGAAAAGGCTGCAAATTTAAAGAGTACGCGAGTGAAAATTGTTGCATGACAATGTCACACTGACTGAAACGAACGGCAGGGAATACCGATCACACAGTGCTTGCATGCATGGGAGCACGCAAATTGAATTACCCGCGCTTTGTTCGGGCACTGAACTTTCGAAACTGCATCATTTTTCACAAACCTTTGTCAATCTTGGACAATAAATTTACAGTCTTTGGTAGCAAACGGGGAATCAAAATGTAGCTAACAAAATTCCCCAAAGCTATAAATTACGTTATCGTAAGATGATCAGATTTAAAATTATGACCCCTCCAATGAGTGTGGACTTTCATTTTTTGCGGTGTTTAGTATGCATAATGGATCTGTAGTGTTTGAGTTCCACACATATCACCACAGTGCATTTACTGCAACACTTTTGCAGTTTTCTTATTTTTGGTATCATTTTTGTTTTGTTTCTGCCGTATGCAGTTTTGGTAAATAATGTCTCAGCCATCAAATTCTATCATACAAAAAATAGGTTAGAGTGATAGAAAGCACAGGATTGGACGAAGAAGGTTAACCACTAGTACATGCACATGTAGGAAAAGTCGAGTGAGAAAAGGATTGAAGACATCGCATTGATGTATGAGCAGAATCACAAGGGATTGAGATTACAGCTAGCTTATAGACTCTGTGCATTAAGAACATGTACCCCCTCAATGGTGACGAGAGAGATATGACCATAGAGCTATATTAAATTACTAGAATGCTAACTCGCTGTACAAATGAAGCCTGCTGGGCGCATCCATGTTTGTGCACAAACCTATGGAAAACACGAATTTTAGTACGGCTTCAGTACGGTTCTGTGTTTGTATTCTATACCAGTGCATTATCGAAGCCGATACACCAAAAACTGCAACCCACATTCAGTAAATGAGCGTTTCATTTTGCTCTGGGCAAATAACGCAAACATACGCATGCTGCGCATATACCCGCTGCAAATTATTTTGCTGTGACTTTTTTAACCGTCATTACGCGCTTAAGTTGTTTGCGTAAGTTGTATTTGCGCCTTGCATTTTTAGTACACTTTCAAAATTCACTCCATAACCAATTAATTTCATTATGTTCTACAAACACGCACATGAATTCAAAATGTCTGCTCCCAGGAAGGATTCAAAGTATCTCCGCGCGTAAGAATGAGGAGTTAGCACTCTAGTAATTTAATATAGCTGTAGAACAAAACAATTGCAATTTTGTTAACTCTTCATCTTTTTTGTTTTTGGTTTGGACTGAAAAGGTATCAAAAGTGGTAAGAATGTGATGGAGCAGTTTAAACGTGATGTTTAAATGAGCATTTCATTTTGCTCTGCGAAAACTTAAGCAAACGCAAATGCGTCTAGGCACTGCAGATGATTTTTGCTGTCGTTTTTTTTCACCCTCATACTCACAGAAAACACCCTTAAATTGTGCATTTAGGTGAGGGTGAATGGAAAGTTTTCTGCCCCCTGTACAGTACATGCTTACTTGTGCATCCAAGCATTGTGACCTGCTCTTGCGGCTCTTATGTTTAGGAACATGTAGTCTTTTTCCAAGAAAAGAATTGCTTTTTTGCTCCCGTACTAATGCGACTGGTTCCAATCCCTGGCTAGCATTGTAAAGTCACCGTGGGGCTACAGGGCATCATCAACTGGACAAAAATTAATCAAATCCTGTTTTGGGAACTTTGGTACTGCTACCCAAGAATTGCTGAGCATACATGCCAGCTGCACTGTGTATGCCAGTAGTGCTTGTGCATCGCAGTGTTGTAGTCGAGACCAGCACAAGACCAGCAACAAGACCAGCAACAAGACCAGCAACAAGACCAGCAACAAGACCAGCAACAAGACCAGCAACAAGACCAGCAACAAGACCAGCAACAAGACCAGCAACAAGACCAGCAACAAGACCAGCAACAAGACCAGCCACAAGACCAGCCACAAGACCAGCACAAGACCAGCAACAAGACCAGCACAAGACCAGCAACAAGACCAGCAACAAGACCAGCAACAAGACCAGCAACAAGACCAGCACAAGACCAGCAACAAGACCAGCAACAAGACCAGCAACAAGACCAGCACAAGACCAGCAACAAGACCAGCAACAAGACCAGCAACAAGACCAGCACAAGACCAGCAACAAGACCAGCACAAGACCAGCAACAAGACCAGCAACAAGACCAGCAACAAGCAACAGGACAAGAACAATGACAAAGGAATGCTTTTGTCACAGTTCATTTGAATAACTTGTGACTTGACTTGAGACTGAAGGTCTTGTGTTGGTCTTGTGATGGTCTTGCAGGGTCACACTGGCATAAGGTAGGCTCAGGATTTCTGAGGATGGTGTGTCAATATTTCCAAGACTGGATATGATTAATCTTTTTGACAGCGCACTCTACCACCTTGATGGCTTAATGATCTTGACAGAAATTGGGAATGGCTGCAGTATGGGATCAAGTTAGGTCCAAATTCATGACATTAGGTAAAGGATCAAGGCTAGTTGCAATCAGACTAATGAACTATTTCTGCACAGGGTCCAAACAGAAGTAGTAATGGAGGTTGTAGATACAACCCTGACACGTGTTGGGTATGACATTTTATTGGGGAGGAGGGTTAATGCCGATGCTGAATTACATCCAATGTTATTCAGTGGGTTTGTAAATCAGTAGTGCAAATGTGTGATGTGTTCTGGCAAAATGAGACAGAACTGGGCAGAGGTCGAAATGAGGGTTTGCAGGTATTAAACTTCTCTTTGCAATACTGTTTGTTGCACTTCAATCGGCCATTCTGTTGACAAGTTATGGCTGTTTAAACTTCGCAATATCAACATGTCCAAAAAGTAAAATACTGAGAAAAAGGCCATGAAAGTTTCAAGTTAAGTATTCATGAAAATGAAAGATGCCGATTGTTTCCCCTTAAAAACACTTTTATTCCACATTTTTATACTAAGTTTTTAACATATGTGTAGTAGACATATAATGATTACAAATATGAATAAATCTGAAGATAGAAAAAAAAAATCAACCCTATTTATAGTTTCTTGCATGTTTCCCCACTATGCCTTTGCCCATTTTCATCTCGTTTTACCAGAACGCCTCACATATAAGATCAAGGAGAACAGGAAACTTCCATGGCATTTTTGATGGATCCTTTCTGAATCCTACCCCCCCCCCCCAAAAAAAACCCCCCATTCATTCAAAGAAACCTGTGCCATGTTCTTTCAACTTTCCAGTGGTATCCAGCCCAAAGTAAAGTAATAGTAGCTGGGCTCTACCTTCCTCAATCCTACAAAATCCTCCAAAAACCTTCTGGCAAATGTTGAAGGTTCTGTGAATGTTAGGGTTAATATTACCAGATGTGAATCTTATTAGAACCGTTAAATGGAAGTGAGGATCAAGGTTTTGGTGACGTCTGTGAGTGGGAAGGTTAAAGTATGGATTTAGAGGCGGTTCGTAACCATGGAAACTGGAAAGGATTAATTGTTCGGTTACCGCTTTCTGACTACTCGATGGCCGAGAGTCCACAGTAGGGCTTGCCTTCCAAACCTGAAAGACAGTAAAACTCACCATGAACTCCCAATTTGCATCACAAGTAATTTCCCTTTCCCAAAAGTTGGGTATTTAATTAATTTTCTACATGTAGGTCTTGTCAAAACAATAATTCAAACAGTACTTTTATTTGGCCATGGAAACTGGAGGCGTTCCTTAAAATCTAAAACAGTTTTTGGGAAGAAAGATAAAGAGATTATTGAACAAAGAAAATTACACAAATATGGATCAAAACCTGGAACTCTGTTAAACTGAGCGATGTCGGTACTGTCTCGCCAACAGTGGGCTTGGTAGCTCAATTGGAAAGTATTTGAGAGGCCGCTGGTTCAAATCCTGATTAAGTCAATTTTCTTTGTTCAGCCACAGATGAATCCAAAGTGAACCAAATCAGTTTCCCTTTTGGTTTACTGAGCAACTAGCCCAATTGGGAGACAATTGGTATGTTTTTCAGAGGGTGCAGGTTCGAACCCAGTGTCAGCCAATTTGTCCTGGTCAACTTTGGTCAATTATGACAACATTTGGTGTCGTTCAAAGGTACCCAGCTATTGAACGACACCAAATGTCGTCATTCTTGTGTCACTTGCATTTATTGTTTGAACCTTCAGACCGAAAGAAATTAGTTTACAGCACCCCCAACATGTTACAGATACAAAAGAAACCCAGAAAAGCTGATCAGGTTTAATAATGAACAGAGATAGCTTTTGCACATTTAGATGATGGAAAAAGTGCGTAACGTTTTCCAGGAGCAGAACAACAAGCTTCTCTAAAGATGGAAATTGCCTGTTATGTAAAATGGAAATTCAAAGGAAAATTGTTTTCTGTTTTTGAGACATGTAAAGACCATTAGAAGTAATTGGGCCAATTACACATACATGAAAGCGTACAAAAATGAGAACGTGATCTTGAAAAGATATAAGAGAATCAAAAGACACTTTTACGTTTTGGGACTTAACACCCATAACATTTGGCGATGATACAAGCAGGCACAGTCACATTATGCCTTTGGCATCATCTTAAATAGTTTTCTAAGATACCATGTTCAATATCAACCAGCTTAAGTTTGTGGAAAGAGGCCGGGGTTGTGACTTATGAACGGAACTTGTACAATATGAGGTGTTCTAAACTACACGATTTCCCAAAAAGCCGACAGAGAGAAATATTCACAAGACATTTAATGATACAAAGGGAGTCAAACACCATATTCTTGACTACAAATTGGAGAACAAACACAATATTTTTTGACAGAGCACAACACAAATTGTCCTCTACTACATGGGAATTTTACAAGGGATCTGTGTGCAAAATGATTCGGCAAAGTATTCCAGTTGACCATCATTCTGTTTGGAGCTTTTGCTGATCAGTTTCTGCAATGTAGGGCTGTGCAGTTTTGAATAATTCAAGTATTCTGCCTTGTACTTGATCGTATATTCAAACATTCCAACAAGGATAAGCAAGATTAAATGGAATATGCAACATTTGCAAACTTCAAAAAACAAAACTACCAAATTATTATGAAATACCTTACTGGACGGTTAGTGAATGACAGGCTAAAGCATCCTGTAAAATCATGGCAGCTGATGTGTTGACATTTTCAAGAAAGGTTGCATTTTACGGAAAGGCGTAAAAGTAGGTCAAGAGACATTTTCATTTTCACGAAGAGCCACACATCTTTATTACATTATAAGTTGCACGCGCGAAATACTTGTGCTCCTCCCATTTGGAAAAACACGTTCAACAGAAAGGTGCATAAATGTGGGAAACATGGACTTTCATTTTCACCAAGGAACACATCTTAACTAATTAATTTTGGCTAATTAACTATTGTGCTGATTCTAATTACTGGGTTTACCAAAAAAAATTACCTTTCAAAAAATCATGTGAATGTTTTCTTACTGCATAAAGGTGCTGCAAAGTAGTATTTTTTGCGGTTCTAAAATGGGAGCAAATTCTCTGGCGATTATTTTGAAAACGTTTTTTCTTCAACATCCACATGTGCGGCTCTTCGTGAAAACAGTGACGATATGGCAGACTGGCAAAGTCAGCGTATGAAGATCTGACCTCGTATCACAAGTGTTTATGAGGCCAGCAACACTCTCAAAGCTTTTGAAAATGTACATGTTGCAGCTATGGGCGCCGTGCGCCAACAAAGACAGTTCTTACCACTTTTGAGAGCACCGTGGACAGGACACACAGCGTGTGCGTGTACTGTTCCGCGTAAAGTTCACGCGTAAAGCACGCATGACTTGCACGACCCGAATCATGTTCACAAAGCTATAGCCATAGCGTCTTCACGTGAGCGTCAGGCGTTGCCGTCGCGTGAATACGTTTGAATCTACTTGCGATGGTCCGAGCAGTTCTTCTGTCTAACGTCACCCTTTGCAGCTGACTAGACTTACCTTAGGAACTTCTTTAGGTGTAGCCAGAACTGTGCTAGCTTCCGTTTCCTCCTCCGTGGTCAAGATCACTGTCTTGTCGTCATCCTCTTCCACTCCCGGTTTCTCCTTCTCCGCCTCCCCTTCCTCGCTGTCCTCCGAGGCCAGCTGGAGGAGCGGGGAGGCTTCCTTGAAGGGCGTGATGGGCTTCTTGAAGAAGTAGACCTCGTCGTCGATGACTTTGTTGGAGACGGAGTAGCGCTTGAGGCTCTTGACTTTACGGATCTGCCGCTCGGCCTCCTTGTACTGGGACTCGCAGACGAAGATGTCGGCCTCGGCGTATTCTGTCGGACGACCTGCCGGGAGGAAAGGATTGTGAAGCCAGCATGACCAAACAAGCGAACAGTTCATGAAAATAAAACAAACAAGTGTTTGGTGTTATTGGCAGTGTCGTAGTTGTGTCCATCACAAGTCGGATCACAAGCAAATCACAAGTCCAGTCACAAGTGTATCTTGTGTATGATCTGAAACTGAGTGGCACGTCAAAATTCTTCAGAGTACCATGCAAGTTGCACATCAAATAAACCATTATCATGTTACGGCCATCTTGATTTTTCCCCATTCAAATCAACATAATCAAAGAGAGGCCGGAAGGAAAATAGTCTGGTTCCTTTTAGCACAAAAAACATTATCATTCAGTACTGTTATTGGATACAGGGAACATGACTGAAATGGTGGCAGCATGATAAAGGTCTATACTCTAGCCTGCAGTACTGTTATTTCACCTCATGAATTTAATAATAATAATAATTTATTCACTTATAAAGCGCAAATTCCAATATGATTTTGTTCAAATGCGCTGTACAGTAAAATATTAATTAAAATACAAGAAAATACACTCATAAAATGTACCATGACGTGCTATTACACACATTAAAAATAAAAAGTAACAGCAAAAAATTACTCGCAAGGAGCTTAGAACGACCCACCATTTCACATGTTAAAATACAAAGAAGTAACAATAAAATCAGTAAAAGGCCAACTTAAAAAGATGAGTTTTTAACAGAGACTTGAAGTTATCAACACTGTTAGCTCTCCTAATGTGAATCGGGAGGGCATTCCAGAGTGTAGGGGCAGCATTAACAAAAGCACGATCCCCAAAGCTAACTTTGGTACGGCGAAAAGGGTAGCCCAGGAGAGTGTTATCGTGAGAACTACGAAGATTGTAATGAAACAAATGTGACTTCTTTCCGTGGTTGAGTCCAATGTGTTGGGAAGTAAATGTAGCCATCCTACACAAGCGGTGCATGTACCATTGCAATGTACCACTGCAGTAGTACTATGAAGTCGCAGCATCCCAAGATTAGCTCCCAGAGTCCCAACTATGCAACAGTAGTGATCACAAGTGAGGTTGCTGGTGGTACCACACTAAAACCTTCACGACAAACAAACCTTTGCACATGTATTCCATGTGTTGGAATTCCCATAGAATTTTTCCACTTTTGATAATGAAACTCAATAGTTGGGAGGTGCAATAAAACTACAGTACACACATAGAGCTATATTAAATTACTAGAGCACTGGCTTGATGTACAAAGTGATGCCTGCTGAACGCATCCATGTTTGTGCACAAACCTATGGAAAACTAAAAATTGTGTTTACGGCTTTTGTACGGCTATTTGCATATCTGCGTTTATATTCTATACAGGTGCGTTATCAAAGCCGATATGCCAAAAACTGAAACGCACGATCAGCAATTAAGCGTTTCATTTTGCTTGGCGCAAACCGCTGCAGATGCTTTTTGCCGTGACGTTTTTTTAACCGTAATGACACGCTTAGGTTGTTTGCGTATGTTCGACTTGCGCGTTGCATTTAGCGTACACTTTCAAAATTAACTCCATCTAATTTCACAATGTTCTACGAACACGCTCATGAAATCAAAATGTCTGCGTGCAGGACAGCTTCAAGTATTTCCGCACGTAAGAATGAGGAGATATCTCTCTAGTAATTTAATACAGCTCTTATGAGTACACAGCACCTTACCACACCCAACTTGACGGCTTGTACTTACTAGAGACGTAATCCTTATACAGCATGACGTGGCACTTGCCGCAGATACTGCGCATGGGGTTAGTATCTTCAATAGAACTCAAGAAGACTTCGTTCTTGTAGAACAGACGAGTCGGGGGATGAACCGTCTCCGATGGACGCACGAACCACGGGCCGTTGAACCAAGGGTCTCCACTACCAAAAGTAAAGTTTCATGATTTTAATAACACAGAAACCATTTTTCAACTACACTTGGTTAAAGGTATAGTCCATCATTTGTAATTTGTGCATTTGTTCGTTTGAAGCAACAAAAGTGCTCAAAATCTAAAGAAAGGTGCTGAACAACTAACCTGATGAAGTTTCAGCTCAGCTTCAGCTTCAGAGAAAAACAACATTCTAGGATCTTGATTTCAAATCAAAAGTTGCTGAATCATGTTTTGAATTGGGCCTGAATTCAGTGTCCGAGACACGTTCTCACTGAGCCGATTGCAGCTACGCGATGTCGCGCACCGATCCGACGTGTGCTTCGTGTCAACGCTTGCACGCGCTTCGCCGAATAAAAAAACAAAATACTAATGAAAATTTCCAACGGTGCGTCTTAACCCTAACCCTGCCAGACGCAGCACAGTGCATCAGGTGGAAAAGAACTGGTGCACTTTGATGCATTCAGCTACCAACACCAGTGCATGAATGGCCAGCTCTGAAACAATGAGAGCTAAGTCCCATTGAACAATGCCACAGTTGTATCCTGCTGCGTGGGGTGACCACGGACTCTGAGGCATTGTTGCCTTGAGACTTTTCCCCTGATGGATCTTGCTACATTTGGCAGGCTTGGCTCTTAGTCAAGTGTTGCATGTTGCTACGTTTGGCAGGGTTCTAGCAAACATACCCTGGAGGGTTAGGGTTAAGACGCACCGTTGGAAAGGCCTTCTCTTGTTGATTTCTTCAAAATGACAGCTTGCCAGAAGGAATAATTTCACAGGGAGTTTAGTCCCCTTACTATCTTCCAACCAAGTATGTTTTTCAACAATAATTACATCAGTTACTTATTGGATAGCTGCAAAGGATGGACTATAGCTTTAATGAAATAATTTTGTAATAAAAAAGGAAGCCTTTTATGGAAAGATAACCTTTTGTTGATTGTGATGAAAAAAGTAAACTAACACCAGCCACGTTCACGTCCAAGATCAAGAAGACGTGGGGACAAAAACTTTAAAACTTTCTTGTTTTGGGGAAGGCATTATTAACCCTAACCTTCCCAAATCATCTTTGCAAAATAGAGGATTTTGCTTGATTGAGGTTATATGGCAAAAATGTGTGGCCGATTTTGGAAGATGCACCGTGTCAAGGTTTTGGGCTGGACCTTGTGTTGTTTATGCTCAGCCGAGCTTAAATTTTGGCATAGATTATACTTGAAATCCTCCGCACTGCTCCAGGATGTCATTGGCTCTGCCTCAACATATTTACAGTGATTGACGGAGGATTTTGCAGGATTGAGGCAGTGGTCACCCCTCCTAGGACCAAATTCAAGAAATAACAGAGGATTTTGCAGGACTGAAGCTGTACGCAATTGTTACATGGAGGCAGTTGGAGGATTTTGCAGGATTGAGGTTACATCCTAGCAAAAGTGCCTAGGGAGTTAGGGTTTAGAAATCACATGGCAGTGTTCAGTGTCCATCCATTTTACTGAGACCATAAGCAATACCACATCAAAGAGCATGTTAAATGTTACATGAAAGGAAAAATTTGTTTTAAAACCATGCCACAATGATAGAAATCTCCATGGGTGTAGAACGCCATGGTCCAGTGGTTACGGTGTTTGACTCGTGTACGAAGGAGCATGGGTTCAAAACGTACCAGGAACATGGTGTTTGTGTCCTTGGGCAAGACACTTAACTACAATTGCCTCTCTCCACCCAGGAGTATGAATGGGTACCTGTGAGGGTCGAGACCCGAATGTGCGCTGATATCGGCTGCTGCATGGTCCTGTGGCCTGATTAACGGGGTAATAATTGTAAAGCGCTTTGAGATTGTCGATACGATGGAAAGCGCTATACATTGTGTAAGCACAATTATTAAATAAGCTCTAAATATATACATACCAGTATAATTTTCCTGCTAAGTTTAATGCCATAACTTTCTGTCAACCATTAATTAGAATAAACTTGTTACATGGATTGCTTACTTGGCATCTTTCCATATTTTGTCAATGCGGGCGATGAACGGCCTAGCTTGGTCTGATCTCAGGTACACGCAGTCTCCAAGCTTGTAGACATGACCTTCAAATATCAGCTGCTCAAAGTATGTGTTCTTGTCTTCTTCTGTGGGAGTTTCAACGATAACATCCTGCAAAAAACAAAAACAGAGTAGACAATTGCACAAAAATGGATCTGTGAAGGATTTATAAGGCCGAAGCTTGTTGAAGGATGCTTAAAGTAGAGTAGATCATATGCAGCTATCTTAAAAGTAAGTGTCAAGCGACGCAAACAAATGTGTCAAGTGACCCATTTTTGGAAATTTAGGTTAGTAGTTGGTTTGTAATTCGGTGAATGCGTGAATGGGTGCACGGAACATTGAAACAACGCATGCGCGGGTGCGGTTGCTTTTATTCAGTGTGCGGTTGCTATTATGACATCGCGCATCTGCAATCGGCTGAATGAGAACGCATCTCGGACGCTGATTTCAGGTGCAGTTCAAAACATGACTCGGAAACTCTTGAATTGAAATCGAGATCCTGTAGAATACTTGGGATGTACAGCATTCACTGAGCTAAAAATTTCAACAAGTTAGTTGTTAAGCACCCGTCTTTAGATTTTCAGCACTTTTCTTGCTTCAAACGAAAATAAATACACACATGACAAATGGTCTACCCTACATTTAAGCCCCATTACCACTGTGTGTTTACACTCAAAATACATTCCTACCACACAAGATGTTACACACATACTGAAATTTGTATCCTTGTGGAGACATTTCTTTGTTCTCGTGTAGTAAAGTTTTCGAGTTTGAAAGTACAGTTTGAAAATGCTTTAACCAGAATTAATTTCCTAGGATGAAATTCGGCCTTAATATCCCTTTTCTAAAACTCTTCCATTTGCGACAGATCAACCCACCTTGGAAATTCCTACTTTTTGAGTAAAATCCATATATCTATTTCGTGAAAACCTTGTGGAGACATATTCATCTATAGGAATTGCCCTGTGGAGACGTATACAATCTTTTGTTCCCTATTGTGTGCATGTCTCCAGAGGGCACGGTGTATCAGATCAACTCTGTGCGCATTCAGTCTACTCTATCCGTGCCAGACTTGTAGTCCATTACAAGTGAAATCACAAGTTAGGTCACAAATAACAGGGGACGAACACTGACAAGCGATTGCCATTGAGAGAACTAAATGACTTGTAACTGACTTATGAGCAAGGGCGTCAATCGCTTCTCTAAAGTGTGGGGGGGGGGGAATACCTTGATCAGAAATTATGTGAGCACCAAGCCCTTACGGCGTGGGGTTCGGGGCCTGTTTGAGGGCCCGACACTTTTTGGGTTCCAGACTCTCTGTGGTGCGATCTGAGGTAATTTCTGACCACTTTAACTAATTTTTGAGCCAAAAATCATTATTTAAACACCATTTTTGAAATTGGAGATTCTGAGCTATAGAATCAAAATATATGCTACAATTTTTATTCGGGATGAAAAAAGCGGGGGGGGGGGGGGGGGGGGGGGAATGATACAATATCTCCCCCCCCACTTCAAAAAGTGAGGGACTTGTCCTCCTGATTGCCGCCCAGGCTTATGAGGACTGGTTGGGACAACCCTGATTCGGAGAATTAACTTTTCAGGTTCCAACAAGTGATTCGCTATTTGTCAAAATCTCCAATGAGTACATTTCCAACTACTAATTCCCTATTTGTCAAAATGTCCAACGAGTAAATTTCCAACGAGTAATTTGCTATTTGTCCAAATCTCACCTCTCTCTCCTTGTCAAAGACTTGGTACACCCCATCAGTGTTGTCCGAGTCCATGGTCTCTGTGCCCTGGCTGTCAGCGAAGACGGAGGCGACGCGGACACGCGACAGCGGTTCCTCGCGAGGAACGATCTTGACGTTGCTGGGAGGCATGGCCCAGATCTGTGCGCAAACATAAAAAACAGGTTTTACCATCCATGTATGCTTTCTTAAGCACATGCTTTCAGATGCCACTTGGCAAATGGATGCACTTTTCTTAAGCCATAAATCGACTCGCAGGAAACTAGAATTGGCTACTACAAAGATTCATAAGATGAAATTTGCGTAGGGGCAAATTCCATCTCGGCGCAAATTCCGTCTTGTGAATAATTTCATTGCGGTACCCACTGCTACTTCAGATTCGAACCAGCCAATCGATCCCGCAGGCTCGGTGGTGGAGTGGTGAGACCCATGCACTAGAAAGCACGAGGTCGTGGGTGCGAGTCCCACCCGAGTGATTTTTTTTCTTCTAACTTTCACTCGGGAGCTAACAGTTAGTAACACACCGAGTATACTGTGTTAATACGTTGGTGAAGGACAAAACCTAATATTGATTACTACAAAGAGTTGATTCCTACAACTAATAGCAACGTGTGAACGTCTCTAGTCAAACGCTGGTCAAAATGTCATCGCAAAACTTCTCGGTCCTGGCTCCCTGCTGCGGATGTATGAGGTGTAATAATCAGTAGAAACATTTCTGCGATGTGTTCCCAATAAGCCGGATTCAATCGCAGTCGTGTAGCCAATCAGCATGCAGCGAGAACGGCTGAGCAGCTGGTGTGGCCATGGAATGTCATTTGATTGTAATCAACATGCTTTCACTATTGTTAAAGGGAATATACATCATTTGCTTTTGCTGTAATTTTCAGAAATGGATGGAATTGGGGGGTTGGAAATATATAGCAAATATTGTTACACTGACTTTTTTGAGGTTTTGGGTTCGAAAATGCTATAAAAACCAAGAAAAACAATCGTTTTCCTGTAGTCTGGTTCCCTGACTCCAGATAAGAAGAAACAGAGCAGTTTACATACATTGGGGAATTGTAAGGTCAGGGAACCAGTCTAGCTGGCTTGTACCCGTTCATAGGTGTGTAATCGATTGCAAACAAGTGCGATGGTCAATTGGGGCCAGTATTTGAAAAAAGCCAGTTTTTTTTCCAACGCTGGTCGGCCGACCAGCATTGGAAATTGATACAAACATACCACTTTTCTTGAAAATGACAGTATACCAGGTGCCATGATTTTACAGGATGCTTTACACTGGCATTCACTAACAGTCCAGCAAGGTATTTCAAAATGATTTGGTAGTTTTATTTTTTGATGTTTGCAAATGTTGTATTTTCCCTTTAAAGAAGTCACATGACTGTCTATGCCGTGGCATCCTTGTCGTGTCGTGGGTGACATGAGGATGGTTGCGATTATTTTGCATCCAGATGCCGCTTGTCCTAAGACAATCACACAATTTCTCAGTTTTCTCACTTGAGCATTATTTTTGTATTTGATGCTGACGGCTTTGTCGTGGCGCAAGTGAACCGCTTGTCAACCGGAGGGCACCTTAAGTCTTCTCTGAATTCGAGAATTTTTTCAATTTCCCCTGAGTTCCCTCACTGGAAAAATGGAAATCCATTTTCAAGTTTTCTCTGAGTTCAAGGGTGGCTGGGAACCCTACTGGAATGTACTCAGCCCAACTTACTTTGATCTTCTTGAATGCCTTGGCTTTAGCCGAGTAGCGAGACTCCAGGGTGTAGACGTCTTCCTCATTGAAACCCTCGGGTTTATACTTGAAGTAATCCTTGACAGACATGACGTGACACTTGCCGACTACGTGCTGTGAGATCTTTACTTTGTTGTAGTAGTCACTCTTAAATACTTCCTGAAAATACAAAAAATAAATGTTATTTCAGGCCCCCCAAAAAGTCTGCAGTTTCTGGTATGCGCAGGCGTCGCCGTAGCCATGCCCGTCGGCAAAATTAAAAAGTTTTTTTTTCAATGTAAGATGATGTCTCAAAACCGCCAAACTCACTGGTTTGACTGGAATCCTGCTGCTGCACAATTCTAATGTGCTTTTAAGATGGGGTTACGATTGAGTATAAGCTTTATGTGGCCTCTCTAGGCGCCCATGCATTTTTCACTAAATTAGTCGGGCACCATTTGCAGTCATCGGCCGAAATTTGACGGGGAAAAAAAAAAAAAAAAGAAGCTGCGTCCCAGCACCACTTTTGGGGCAAGCTCCATACCAGAACATGGCAACACATTTTTAGCTGAAACAGACTTTGTTTTTTGTTAGAGGTTTTTTTTCATTCTTATTTACTTTTTTCAGACTAGGCTTTCTCAGCACAGATGTTTATCGCTCTACCTCATGGTATGCATGGGAGCAGCATAAACTATTCCAATATTACCAGCAAATTTGTGTGGAATCTCGTTACTGAGTGCAGTGGTTATCGGCCCTTAGAAGCATGTTTTTCTCATAGAGCTACATTAAATTACTAGAGCGCTAACTCGTCATTCTGCGCATGGAGACGCTTTGAAGCCGTCCTGGGCGCAGACATTTTGAATTCATGTGCGTGTTTGTAGAACATAATGAAATTAGATGGATTGACTTTGAAATTGTACTCTACATGCAACGCTCAAGTAGAACATACGCAAACAACTTAAGCGCGTCATTGACGGTTCAAAAAAACGTGACGGCAAAAAGCATCTGCAGTGAATACGCGCACGCGTTGCGCTGTTTGCGTAGAGCAAAATGACACGCTCCTTTGCTGATCATGCGTTTCGGTTTTGGGTGTATTGGCTTCGATAACGCACCGGTATGGAATACAAATGCAGATATGCAAATAGCCGTACAAAAGCTGTACAAAATTTTTAGGTCTCCATAGGTTTGTGCACAAACATGGATGCGCCCAGCAGGCATTACTTTGTACACGAAGTTAGCGCTCTAGTAATTTAATATAGCTGTTTGGTTTTTCTTTACCTTCTCAAGGAACTTGCGGGTGGCCAGATGGAAAGTCTCGTTGGGTCTCAGAAACCAGTTGCCATGGAGCCAGCATTCCCCGTCCGGATCGCTCCATAGCTTCTCGATGCAGACGATGTGCAGCTTCAAATTCTTCTCACTACCATCCAGAAATAATCGGTAAACCAGGGGAAACATATTAAACAAGACAAAGCTAGTCCCAGATCAATCAGGGGTCAAAATATTCATCAACGTCAACGTGTTGGGCCAAGGTCAGGGGCCGTATTCACAAAACGACTTGAGTCATCAAAACGTAAGCACCCCACTTAAATATGCGATTTAGACGAGTCTTAATATTTAAGCAGTATTAATGAAACATTTTCACTAAGTGCGCCTCTTATTTTCATGACTTAAATCTACGTGTGGTCGGACTTGTCTTAAGTCAAGTGGGGCACTAGGGTGTCATGGCGGCTTCAATTCTGTCCGCTGGTTTGTAAATTTTAGGCACAAAATTGGACTTTCTATTGAATTATTGTAGAAGGAAGCCAAGTTGAAGTTAATGTGTGACAGCGCTAGATTTGCAGTTCGTTAAATTCTAACGGATATTTTCGATTCATTTGTTGATTTTTAGGCAGGCGGGGTGGGTGCTAATGATGACATGTATCCAATGACATGCACTGTTACCACAGTGACTGACGACTATAAAATGCAAAATAACTGTCTTACCTTTCAGCATGTATGAGAGAATGGGAATAAATCACCATTAACAATTTGTTTCACACTCGATAGTAAATAAAACGAACATTTCACTGATATTTGGGTTGAAACAACTAAAACGTTGGGAAATAACTGCATGCACTGAGTGCATACGATGTGCATGACAAACTCGTTTGACACAAGCGTGACGCAGGCATGTTCCGTGCACTATCTTGGGCTTGGAGACTGCGTGGCTAAATATGCACGCTCATGATTATGTTAAAGAAACACGTACAAATCGCTTGAACTGCCTCTGTGTAGGAATGTTAATGACGTAAATGTTTTTGTGCATGAGCAAGAATCATTTCTTTCAACGCTTAAGTTAAGCTGAGCACTAAGATAAGTGGGGTGCTTAGATCTTTCGTGAATACCAAATTAAGCACCCCACTTAAGTCAGCAGGGTGCTTAGATTTAAGTCGGACTTAATTATTCTCTTAAGTTTGAGTTTTGTGAATACGGCCCCTGGCCTACGTAAGTCTAATTCACAAGCGGCAGTCGTCAGTGACTCGGTCAGTGAGATAGGTACAAAGGGGACTGTAGATTGGTCCTGTAATTCACAAGTTGCGGTCAGTTAGAGAGTAAGTCCGGCATAAAGAGGACTGAAAAAATAAAAAACTTCACCAAAAGCTTGTTAGCTGCAGCTGAGCAGCTCTGCAAGTAGTCATGTCAAGCAATATAGCAATATTTTTTTTTTCTTTTCTTGATGTTACAAGATAGATCCAAATTTTTCGTGTTCACTGAATCAATCTTATAGCAAAGCATTCACACTGTACATGTAGTTATAATAGTTTTAACATATACTGTATTTATAATATTTGCTTAACACCTATGCATTATTCAAATAATGTTTTATCTCACTGTATTGAATTTTATTGTATTTGTAATGTATTGTATAATCATACATGTTTGTAGTCATTATTTATTGTATGCAGGGCCCCAATGGAAACCAGTTTTAAACTGTTTGGGCATACCCTGGGTAAAGAAATGGAATAAATAAATAAATGTCTCTCCATTGGTTGGTTGGTTGGTTGGTTAGTAACAAACTTCACAAAATGCCTTTTTTTGGCCATCAATCACCTTGTTCCTTAGGCCCTCGCCACAACACGTGCTTCAGGTCTCCACTGACCAGAGCTACCAATTTATTGCAGTCATGGAAAATTGGGTCATGAGGTCACTCATTTTGCATTGGGGCTAGCAATGTACTGCACACAAATTGGGTGTTCGACATGCTACAAAACGCTCCATGCACCAAATGCCGATCGAACAAATAATGTGAATCTTTTTCAATTGACAGTCACAACCACATGATGACTTATAGGCTACAGCAGGTCTACAGTTCGGCCGCAGCTTCAGAGATCAATTTGAGCTTGTTTTGTGTGTGAAGATACTAAGCTACCTTCAAAATATAAGACAACTGGCAAGACATAAAGTTACATACTGACCTTGGTTCAACGTATACAAAGTCGCCAACACGGTATGTTTGCCCATTCACATTTAAGCCGTTACTTGCCTGCAAACACAAAAGAAAATGCATTTTGTTCAATGTTGAGGCAATGCCTGTTTTTTTTTATTTGAGAAAATTATTTAACAAATCTACAAATGAAGTTACCAAAGCCAAAAGCTAAACTTTACCCCAAACATACCCGAATCCATCAAAATCCTTTTTTGGAGGATTTCGGCCGATTCAGGAAACCTCCATATTGAAAAAGTTGGGGGATTTTGATGGATTCAGGACAATAAGCGTAGCGGTACTGCAGGATTTTGATGGATTCAGGATACCACCATATTGAGCAGTTGGGGAACTTTTGATGGATTCAGGATCTCAACAGTTCAACTCCTTGGCTATATGTTTGGTGTGCACGAGGTCTACCACACTGCTGGATTCTGATGGACTCACTGGTGGATTCTGATGGACTCAGGACACCAACATTTTTTTTGCATGACAAAATTGGTGGATTTGGGCGGATTCAGGATACTTTCTAGTAAAAGTGCTCAACGGGTTAGGATTAATCCAACTGGACAACAATTATCATAATTTAAGATTTGAGGCTTTGCATGGTGGGGTATCGGTATCATTTCGGTTTGCGGTAACACCATGTGGTAATAACTACTGCTTAGAAGATATTAGTTCTGAAAAGAAGTTGTCCTGCTTATTATCAACTTTGCTAAGTAGTTTTTTTTTGTTCTGTTAAGAACAGTCCTGCTGTAAGTTCTAAACGAACTTGTCTTTGGTCTCAACGTTTCGACTAGCCTGCTCTAGTCATCGTCAGGAGACTGAAGATAGTTGGAGATGCTACTCCTCAAGTAGGATTTGTTAGGATTGGGAGTGCTTGCTGGGCATGCCCTGCTCGCTCGGGTGTGTCAGTTGGTTGTGAGCCATGGGCATTGTGTTGAGGGATGCCCGCTGAGCGTCCTGCTCGCTCGACTGTGTCAGTTGGCTGTGAGCCTTGGGCATTGTGTTGAGGGATGCCCGCTGAGCGTCCTGCTCGCTCGACTGTGTCAGTTGGCTGTGAGCCATGGGCATTGTGTTGAGGGATGCCCGCTGAGCGTCCTGCTCGCTCAGGTGTGTCAGTTGGCTGTGAGCCATTATCATAATTTATCACAATCCACAGTTGCCCTGTATTTGCCAGACACCGACAATTACCACATCTGTGGTATACTGTGGTGGTAGAAAGAGTAGTAGCTCATGGATATGGAAACTGGCATTAGTATAAAAACCAAAAAGGCACCAAATAGATATATCATCGAAAATGGTCAAACAAAAGTTAAAAATAGGGTGTTAAATGGGACCTAAAGGGGCATTTTAAGGGATGGCGTTAAAAAATGCACATTAGGCCAAAAAAAAAATAGTCGGTCTCTGGTCAGACCGAAGTTCCGGAATTGATGCGGCGACGCGTGTTTTTTTTTTTTTTTTTGGTGGCTTTTTTTTTTTCAAGCTTGTATTGTACAGACAAGGTGGGTACTATTTTGCTTTTTTGTGTCCTCATTATACATTGGTGTCCTCCATAATTTGCCTTGGTGCCCTTTATCATTTGCCTTGGTGAAATTTCCCCATTCCTTGGTGCTCCTTGGTACAAAAATTTGAGGAGGCGCAGCAATAGAGGGCGCTGTTGTAGCTTCCGTGTTAATTTGAAAAAAAAAGAAGGTTGACGCGCATGATTAAAATCGACGCGCGTGCTGACCAGAGACCGAGTTTATTTTTGTTTGGCCTTACATGGGCCCTTTATCCCTAACAGAACTCAACCCATCAAACCCCAACAGCATGTTTTGTTGGAATCTGTCAGGATGGGTACAGTACCCCTAAACTGACATTGGGTTGGCACACCTCCGGAATCAAAGTCAGAAATATGTGTGTGCGGTCATATCAATCTTACCAGTTCATTCATCTCCTGTGCATCCTTAGCTTCTCCTCCTGCTGGGTCTTGCTGCAGCTGTTTTGCCTCTTCCTCTTTCTTCTCCGCATCTTCTTTCATCTATCAAAACGAGACGGTCAAAACAAATTCCCAATGGGTGCAGGCTTAAACACAGTCACAATGTCTATCTACATGACCAAATTTTTCATTCATACACATCCATAAGCGCATTGTTTCATGGTTTGCTGGAAGAACACTTTATGTGATCCGTGGACAGAACTTTAAAACAACGATTGCGTTTAAATTCCGCAACTTGAAAAGTACATGAGTGATTTGAATGATTCTTGTTCTAAAAGTTAGCTTATGAATTCCTAGAATTTGCAAGTGCTACATCAAGAACTTCACAAAAAAATTATATGCACAAAATCAATTTCCTGCGCCCACACAAAACATGAATTTAGTCAGAAAAATGACTCTACTTTATTTCACACAAAAGGTAGTTCTACACAATATGCGATAGTGTCATTCTTGTTCCCCCTTTCATCACTCTATTTGCAAAAGTCGACAAGTTGTTGGTGTATAATTAAATTTTGTACAACGTAAATAAGTTATTTTTATTAAACCTACCCACATATCAGAAATCTATTCAAATCTGTTTCTACAATAGCGGTTTACTTTCTGAAACTATAAAGCTAGGCCAACATTCGTCGTTACCGAGAAGATATTGCAATGATTTTCAGACAATTATACAAATTAATGCACGCATTAATGAGATAAGATGACCCTCAGACCGGTCTTAAGTTAAGATGAGTTTAGCCGAGTTGCTAAGGAAGTTAAAACGTGTTGAACGCGTCTTAAGTTTAATAATAACAATAATAATTTGGGAGGCTAATCATCCTTACTCACAGCTGGTATGCTGAATTGCGAAGGACGCGGCTACAACGTGGTCGGGCCGCTGGCATGTAAAGGCGCCTATGGCTGCCGACCCATATATGACCACGGAGCACAGCCTGAGATCGAAAGTGTTTGATTTTTCGGGAGGGAGGAAAACCGGAGGGCACGGAGAAAAACCCTCGTGGCACAGGAGAGAACCAACGCACAACTCCACTCACATGTGATCCGCGGCCAGGATTCGAACTGTGGTCACCTTGGTGAGAGGCGAGCGCTTTACGCACAAGCCACCCATGCCAAGTTTGGTGAAATCGACCCTATGATGAGTCGCGAGATAAGATGAGTAACATTTCCTAAGACGCGTCTTAGAGTTTCGTGAAATCGGCCCCAGGTCAGCTTAGGGACCCTGACCATTCAGCCCTGGTATGAAAAGGGCCCTCCGGTACCTCGTCCGGTCCAGGGCCAGTCCGGTCTTCAGCCCAATCTCGTCCGGTACATGGTCCTGTCTGACCAGAAGTTTTGAAGTCAGTCAGGCGCATCAATTTATTGCCCTTCGGAGAACGTCCAGAGCAGAACAATAGCAGACTTACCGGATTAAAGATAAAATCCTTCCAAATGCCTTGGTAATTTACGGTCCCATTGTGTGCAAAACCGCCTTCCAGGGGTTTTGATCTGTGCCGACAAAAGTGTTCTATTGTTTTGCGCTGAGAGATGAAAACCACAAGCAGGTTTCTTCTGGGATATATTACATGTGTCAATACTTGCAAACAATAGACCCCAGGATAGAGGAGTTCCTGATTAGCAACCGGACCAGCTCCTGGGTCGGTAGCTGGGACGGTACGAGAGGACTTCTTGGGAGGGGACGAGCTTACCAGGGGGCCCTTTTCATACTTGGGCTGAATGGTCACAGGCCCTTACAGAGACAGAACTGACCTCTTTGGGTAGTTTCTCCTTCTTCTGTTTCTCGATGTCATTCTGCATGTGTCTGTGAGTATAACTCAGTGCCGGGGACAGCAGGATCTCCCCATTCTTACAGATCTCATCTCGGATGTTGATGAAGAACCTCTGCATTTCAAACGCATCTTCATACACCTGTGGGAGTCCCCGATAAGACAGTATAAGGCATTCACATCGGTTATCAAGTTAAAAATATTTGAAAGCAAGTATAATAATAATAATAATAATTAACCTGGATTGGACATTTGGGAGACATCCCCATAGACTTGTGCACCAAATTTGTCAAACTTAAATGTGCCCTAACCCAATATTCCCTTGTCCTTTTTTCCCCAGGAATTTCAGCATGTTACTAATTAGACCACAAGCAACACATAAAACCTAATAACGACAGTAAAATTGTGCCTCTAAAGGGGGGCTGTGACATTAGGGAGACATGAAAATGTCTCCCTAAGGCCCCCAAAAAAGTCTCCGGTTTCTGGTATGCGCGCGCGTCACCGTAACCATGCGCGTCGGGCAAAATGAAAAAGTTTTTTTTTCAATGAAAGATGATGTCTCAAAACTGCCAAACTCACTGGTTTGACTGGAATCCTGCTGCTGCACAATTTTAACGTGTTTTTAGATTGGGTTATGGTCGAGAATAAGCTTTATGTGGCCTCTCTGGACTCCCGTATATTTGCACTAAGTTTAGTCGGGCACCATTTGCAGTCATCAGCCAACATTTGAAGCAAAAAAATCAGGTAAAAAAAAACCCCAAAAGCCGCGTCGCCGCACCACTTTTTGGGCAAGCTCCATACCAGAAACCGGAGACTTTTTTTTTTTGGCCTAAGGGTACATTAACAGGAAAAATAATTATAATAATAATTTGGGGAGGCAGCTGGGAGCTGGGTAGCTAAATTGCGAAGTTTACGTGCGAAGGACGCGGCTACAACGTGGTCAAGCCGCTGGCACGTAAAGGCGCCTGTAGCAGCCAGCCATACGACCCATTATGACCACGGAGCACAGCCAGAGATGAAAAGTGTTTGACTTTTCCTGAGGGAGGAAAACCGGAGGGCCCAGAGAAAAACCCTCGTGGCAAAGGAGAGAACCAACTTACTTACTTATGGCATGTATGGTCCGCGGCCAGGGTTCGAACCAGAGCCACAGTGGTGAGAGGCGAGCGCTTCACGCACAAGCCACCCATGCCACAAACATTTGGACACAAACATTTTTGAGATAGAAACTCAGTGGCCTTAGACATGAACTGACCTGGGAGTCTGTTCGGCTGAGATTGCGAGCTCGTTCCAGGACTCCAAAGATGTGATCCTGGAAGCAGTCCAGACGACGGTAGCAGCCCTTGTCAAGAAACCTCCTGAGGGTGTCCAAATCCAACGGTTTCCTACAAAAACAAAAGCCAAATAACTCTCCGACTTTTGCCGACAGACTGAACGAAGCCCTCTCAGAATCAGGATTGACTGGCTGTGACTGTTCGTTACTCGATACAGTTGCTATTACTGTTGGTGATTGATATAAGCCAGCTGTATTTACCAGCTGCAGTGGAATCTCGATAAGTCAAACCTGAAGGGAATCGGCTCAAATTTTGAGTTAAGCAGAGTTTCGAATTATCCAATGGATTTTTATTCAACAACAATTGACGGGATTAAGTATTTACTTTGAGTTAGAAGGGTTTTTGATTTAACAAGTTTTGACTTTAATCGAGATTTCACTATACCTGCTTTTGTCTCTCAATTTGGGCAATTCACAATGCAGTGCGCCACCAAGAGTTTACCATGGAGAGTCCATTTTTCGAGTTTACGGTCGACAAAACATGGCCCATTTGAATGAGTGTCAGTAGACAACTTGAGCTAATATGTTAAAGATTGGGACATAGTGTTCTGCCGCCTTAAAAAGAAAAGGGCAAACAGTGTCATGGCCTAGCGGTTAAGAACACCGTACTCATGCCCTGGTGTTTCAGAGGCAACAGTGGCGTGGGTTCGAGCCCGCAGGGTGGACACTTGTACCCTTGAGCAAGGCACTTAACCATTATTGCTTCGTCCTTCGGATGGGACGTTAAGCCGTAGGTCCCGTGTGTTGCATAAATGCACGTAAAAGAACCCAGTGACACTTATTGTTAAGAGAAGGGGTTTGCCCCGGTGTTTTTAGGAGATGAACCAACCAAGAAGAACCAAGATACCTCGAATCATACGCTTACGCAACTACTGTCCGGAAAAACTAACAATTTCAAATGTCTCGCGCTGCGAATATGTCGACCATCTCCCACAATGCACTGGGAAAAATGAACTCTCCGTGGCAAACTCTTGGTGGCGCACTGCATTGTGAATCGCCCGAATGGAATTTGACTAGACGCAGTACTAACTGCAAATGTGATCTGACTGTTGGTGACTAGCTTGTGTAACAAGCAGGGTTCCCACATAATGAAATACCATGGCTTTTTGATGACTTTCCCAAAACAAAATTAGGGCTCTCCCAATTCCTATGCTGTTATTGACATCTTAGGGGCCTATTTTACTACACACTGGCCAGTCATCACACTGAGGCCTTTCAGTTTGACACAAGACCACTGAGCCCCACAAAAGCATCACACCATGCAAGAAGTATAGAGCAAACATACACACATTGTACACAGAAAGTACAGTAAACTGGAATTTAAAGTGTAATTAATGATGACCCAGTGTGTTTACTTCTGTCCCTGCTGCTGCGGCTGTATCTCCCCCTCCGCCCCTGGCTCCTCCTTCACTGGAGGCACCTCAGACAGCGAATCACTGAAACACCTCCCCTCCTCGTCCTGATGATTGGCCAACGAGACGAAGAGATTGGTCAGGATCTCTCGGACGGTGCTCTGGATGTCGGGCATTCCGGAGGTCTCGTCGCCCATCAGCTCCGATTTGGTTTGGAGGAGGACTCGTTGTAAAGTCAGAGCATCCTAATAATGATGATAAAAACGCCGATTTTTTTTTGTTGCCACATACCCATTAGGTAACTGTACAGCATAGTTATCTTGCCGATCAGGCCCATACAATATTCTGAAGACTATCTCAGCTCCCTGGTAGTATAAATGCCATGGTCCATTGGTTAGGGCCCGTGACCATTCAGCCCCGGTATGAAAAGGGCCCCCCGGTTAGCTCGTCCCCTCCCAAGAAGTCCTCTCGTACCGTCCCAGCTACCGGCCTAGGAGCTGGTCCTGTTGCTAATCAGGAACTCCTCTATCCTGGGGTCTATTGTTTGCAAGTATTGACACATGTAATATATTCCAGAAGAAACCCGCTTGTGGTTTTAATCTCTCAGCGCCAAACAATAGAAAACTTTCGTCGGCACAGATCAAAACCCCTGCCATGCGGTTTCGCGCACAATGGGACCGTAAATTACCAAGGCCTTATGGAAGGATTTTATCTTTAATCCGGTAAGTCTGCTATTGTTCTGCTCTGGACGTTCTCTGAAGGGCAATAAATTGATGCGCCTGACTGACTTCAAAACTTCTGGTCAGACAGGACCATGTACCGGACGAGACTGGGCTGAAGACCGGACTGGCTTTGGACCGGACGGGGTACCGGGGGGCCCTTTTCATACCAGGGCTGAATGGTCACGGTCCCTTACAGTGTTTGACTCAAGCACAATAGTGTGTGGCTTCCAATCCTGCCAGGAACGTGGTGTTTGCGCTCTTGGGTAAGACATTTAGCTACAATTACCTCTCTCCACCCAGGAGTACAAATGGGTGCCCATGAGGGTCGAAGACCATTGAGCGCTGATATCAGCTGCTTTGTGGTTTCATGGCCTGATGAACGGGGTAATAATATTCAAGTGCTTTGAGATTGAAAGATTTGAGATTGATAGGATGAAAAGTGATCAGCGCTACGATTATTATATAGCTCGGTGCTGCCATTTTTTAGCCACATCCGGCTAAATCAGTTACAATAACCATTTGACCTCTGGGTGGAGAGAAGTAATTGTGACAAAGTGTCTTGCCCAAGGACACACACCCTTCAACCTAGAGACTGACCTTTAACCCCCAAGCTGCAGAATAACCAACTGCTTTAGCGTTTAATGCTTCAGACTATGAGCCTACACAGTTTTTTCGCACGTGGGGCATCTTGTCAGATTTATGTCTGACACTGCTTTCCTTTATTCTATAATTTGCTCTTCCCTTAAAGGAAAAGGTTAATTATTTTCGTCCAAATTAGCGATTCTCTTTTTTTATCTTCGTTTGTTTTGTTTCTCTCCCTCTGAGCCTTTCTTAGTAGTTTTTTTTAGCCTTTTTATGGGGCAACTTCAATGAAAAACATGATTTGCTATTATTATTATTATATTTCTGGTAGTGAAACCAAGGATTCCTCAAAAGTGCCCTAGGCAATGTAACTCGCAAGCCTGACAGCAGCCTGTACAGAGAAGACAATGAGAAGAAAGTTTTAGAGGTGGAAGGAAAACACCCAGAAGAAAATTCTGGGAAAAAAAGCCACAGAATCAGATAGGGACTGAAAACCCAACCCCATGTGGACCAGGGCAGGAATCGAACCCGGGTCACAGAGGTGGAAGGCGAGGAATGAACCGCTACGCCAACCTGAATCCTTATTTGTTTTACTCAGCAAACCGCACCGCGCCATTTTACCTTGTAAATGAGTGAGTCGGGCTCGTTGAACTTGCAGGCATTGTCAAACATGAGCAGGAAGTCGGTGACCATGTCGTCCAGCTGCTCGTACTGCTTGGCACCAAGCCGCTGCTGAATCTTCTGCATGTCAATCGGCTTCTTGATCACTTGGTAGTACTCGGGGTATTCCTACACCAAAAGAAAATAGCGCCAGGGCGCGGCGTTAGTCACACGCACTGGAACAATAGACAGATGCATTACCCGATAGATTTTGACGTATACGGTAACTCCGTACAGATTGTCACCGGGGGAGGGAGGATTAGTCTTGTTAACAGCACCCGTAACCACTGTGGTGGATACACTACGCCTGTTACGGACCGGCTGATTAGGGAAAGTAAGCCCAAATCCTTGTACCAAGACTACAGGGTGACCCCAAAAAATGCAACCCTGAAACATTTGCCTTTTTTTTTAAACACATAATCGATGAATTTGTATGTTTTGGATATTAGATTGAAGCTGAGAGCTTTTTCTTTCAAATACTGAAAAAAATCATGGAAACGGAAACAGAAGTGATTTTTCACCCTTTCCAAATGTGATTCAAACAATGAATCATGTTACTGTAAGCCCACTGTGCAATTGTCTTTCATTCGTGCAATTTCTTTACTATTTTGACATATTTATTATGCCGTAAAGGTTTATTAATAGAACTAAATAGGATAAGATACTTGTTCAGGTGAAAAATAAAAGGTTATTTCCATCAAATTCACTTGTACTCTTGTCGTATTATGTGCAATGTTGTTTGTTGTTTGTAAGGATTAGGACAAAATGCGCCACATGTATTTCATGCACATATAGGTACAAGTGTAAATCCCTTTTCTGTGGTAATGTCACTTGAACATGTTGAATGGATTAAAAAGGAATTGTGTCACATAACTGGTCTTTTTCAGCAACCCAATGTGCTGCTTTCATGATTGAAAGAAAAAGCTCTTAGCTTTATTCTGATATCCATAACAAAATATTCACAGATTTTGAAAAAAAAAGGCAAATGTTTTAAAGGGAATGTACATCATTGGCTTTTGCTGTAATTTTCAGAAATGAACTATTTGAGAGGTAAGTATAATATATCAAATATTGTTACACTGACATTTTTGAAGTTTGGTGTTCGAAAAGATTGGAAAAACCAAGAAAAACAAAAATGTTCAAGTAGTCTGGTTCCCTGACTCCACAAAAGATAAAATGTATCAATTTATAGATGATGGAAAATTGTAAGTCAAGGGAACCAGTCTAGCTGGCCTGCACCCATTCATGAACATGTAACCAATAGCAAACAAAATTTGAACTGAAAAAATGGTAAATTTGGAGCAGTAGTTGAAAAATAGTTAGGTTTTCCCAACGCTGGTCGGCCGACCACCGTTGGAAATGTTTACAAAAATACCATTTTCTTGAAAATGACTTCACACCAGGTGCCATAATTTTACATGATGCTTTAGACTGTCATTTACCAACATCCTAGTATTTCGTAAAAACTTGGTAGTTTTATTTTTTGATGTTTTTGCAAATGTTGTATATCCCCTTTAAGGGTTTTTTTTGGGGGGGGTAACCCTGCACAGCTTTTCAAGCCACAGAGTTAGGGGCAATTTTGATGAAGAATTACCAGAATAATAACAAAAATGCTAAAAAAATTTACGTTTTTGGTTGGCAGTCTGATGAACGGGGCAGCCAGCTCCCTCCCATTGGAGTCCGAGTAGTCAAAGATGGTTCCGTACAAGTCGTTGAGTTTCTGCTCCAGAGGGGTCATCCCTCCCATGGACCGGGGCCGCTTAGAAGGCAGTCGCTTGGGCGGGTCCACGGGCGTGGTCTTGCTCTTGGTTGGGCCCTTGGCAGCGTCTGAAACGCAAGAAACCATTGCTGGCTCTGATTGGACTACCAGAATGGGCAAAACTGGGGTTATCAACGAGAATTGAGGATTTGAATGGCGAGAGAACAGCTCAGAAGAAGCTGCCCGTTGCATCATGTGTGGTCACAGAAACAAATGGTTTTGAGAAGGACAAGAGGTGTTAAAAATGGTTTGTGCTTTTCAACAAATTAGACTTCTTTCCCTCATTAACCTCCCTAGCTCCACCAAAATCCATCCCCCATTTTGGTGGATTTTGAGGACTTGGTCCTGCAGGCCCGGTTGGACTAACAATTGACAAAGTATGATGGACTTGGGCCTGGAGGCCTAAAGCAAAGTAAGTAAAGTGTTCTTTTAGCAAAACGAAAACAATTCACATGCATCCCTATGAGAAATGTTTTCGTTTTGCTGAAAGTAAACTTACTTTTTTTTGTGATCCGTGGACAGAACTTTATAACGGTCTTTGTGTTCAAAATTCCGTAACTTGAAAAGTACATGAGTGATTTGAATGATTCTTGCACTAAAAGAAAGCTTAATGATTGGACTTTCATATCCTACATTTTGAAAGTGCTACTAGCAAAACTTCATTCAAAAATTGGTCATGCCATTTGGGTTTCATCTTTTTTTACTCACCCTGTATTGATAGCAGAAAAAGCAATTTACAAAAACATATCTTTTTGAGGATGAAATTTGAAACTAGCACGGACAGTATATTTGGTTTGGTTTATTTGGCACTCGCATAAAAATACAAAAGAAAAGGGAAAAACAATAGACAGAGATACATTTAAACAGTAAGAAAAACAACAAAACAAAATAGAGCACAACTACAGTATACTAAACAAACAAAAAAAGGGAACAAAATTAAAGAAAAAAAACTGATGCCTGGACAGCTAATAAATCCAAAGGGGTATTTCCAATGGGGTCCGACAGGCCTTTTAAAAAACAAAACAATGCGGGCGATTCACAATGCAGTGCGCCACCAAGAATTAGCCACGGTCAGTTCATTTTTCCCAATGCATTGTGGGAGATGGTCGACAAATTCGCAGCGCGGGCTATTTGAAATTGCGAGTCTTTCCGGTCACTTAGTTTCGTAAGCGTATGATTCGAGGATCTGTTTACCCTGTCCTTTTCTTCTTATCAATATGGTGTATTTTGTAAGGCAGCAGACACTATGCTCCAACCTATAACAAATTAGATCAAGTCGTCTTCTGACTCTCATGCAAATGGACCATGTTTTGTCGACCGTAAACCTGAAAAATGGACTCTCCATGGCAAACTCTTGGTGGCGCACTGCATTGTGAATCGCCCGAATTGTTGTTTTTGTTTTTTTTAAGAATATTTTGGTCATTATGCTTTGGCAACTGGCTATCATCATCTAGTGATGGTTCTCAGAGCTAACTGAAATGTTGAGCTATCACCTAGGGATCTTCTCGGCCCCATTTTCCTGTGAGTGAAATTCACTTCACACGGTGCACCTGCGAACATCTCCAAAGTTAAAATTGGGTTTGAATAAACTTTGGTATTTTTTTTTAGATACCTGCCACGCAAATACCCAATTCCCGGCATCTGTCTTTGAGGAGTCTCTCCAGTAAGTTAGCGTCTTCATACACCATTGAGCCTTCTTCGTTGTACTGCCTAGCGTTGTTGAATAGCAAGTCAAAATCGTTCAGCACCGTTTCCTCATTGTTGTACTGCACAGTGGAGAAAATGCAATACACACGTTATTAATCAAAACAAGCGACGCGACATTTTTTCAATTGTATTTATTTACTCCTTTGGCATTATTTAACAAAATCGTCCAAAACTTCCTGGATGATTGCGAATCATCTGGGAAGGCTACAGATCAGGGCTGTCTCGAATACAGGGCGAGTAAAAAAACCCCGAAACCCAAATGTCGGGACCATTGTTTTAGTGAAGTTCTGCATGTAGCACTTTCAAAATCTAGGATATTAAAGCCCAATTCATAAGCTTTCTTTTAGTACAAGAATCATTCAAATCACTCATTTACTTTTCAAGTTACAGGGTTTTAAACACAACCGCCGTTTTTAAGGTTCTGTCCACGGATCACGAAAGCGTTCAATGTTCTTTCAGCAAAACGAAAACAAATCACATAAGGATGTGTGTGAATTGTTTTCGTTTTGCTGAAAGAACGCACACCTTTTTTGTGATCCGTGGACATAACTTTAAAACGGTGGTTGTGTTTAAGTACATGAGTGATTTGAATGATTCTTGTACTAAAAAAAAGGTTAAGAATTGGCTTTTTATATCCGAGATTTTCAAAGTGCTACATGAAGAACTTCACTACAACAATGGTCCCGCCATTTGGGTTTCGTTTTTTTTAATCACCCTGTATACCAAAAATTCAAATACTCGATAATCAATCAAATATTCAAATAGCTTTTTGCCGGTTTGAATATTCAAAAACACAAGAAACTACGCACATACACACACGCTTGTTATGTTATTTTATCACAAAGTTGCGGTGCTTTGTTACAACTGATAATGTAGTAACCAACTGATAACGTATCACCAACCACAAATTGACTGATATTGTATCACTAAACCGATAATGTAACAGAAAATGTTGGATACTGTAGTAGATGTTACTACACTATCAGTCAATTTTTGTTACATTATCAATTAGGGCTGATCATGCAACAACTGACTGATAGTGTAGTACCATTACTACACTATCGGTCAATTTTGTGTTACCGGTTTCTGGTATGCGCGCGCGTCGCCGTAGCCATATGCGCGTCGGCAAAATGAAAAAGGTTTTTTTTTCAATGAAAGATGATGTCTCAAAACCGCCAAACCCACTGGTTTGACTGGAATCCTGCTGCTGCACAATTTTAACGTGTTTTTAGATTGGGTTATGGTCGAGAATAAGCTTTATGTGGCCTCTCTGGACTCCCATATTATTTGCACTAAGTTTAGTCGGGCACCATTTGCAGTCATCAGCCGACATTTGAAGCAAAAACATCCGGTAAAAAAACAAAAAAAGCCGTGTCGCCGCACCACTTTTTTGGCAAGCTCCATACCAGAAACCGGAGACTTTTTTTTTTGGCCTTACTGTCAGGTGGTACTTTTTTTTGTCGGTTGTAACTTTTTTGTCGACGGCGGTTCATTGTTCACATCTTTTCAGCAGGTTAATTCTCTGTGTCCTTGGACTCAATCCCTGTGAGTTTTAATTAATTTGACATTGTGACAAAGGTCCTTGCCTCGACCAATTTTAGTGCCTTGTTATGTACGCTGTGTAAAATCCTTCATAATGTGAAAAAGGGCTGCGGCTGTGATTGGAATCATTTGCCCTTGAGCATTAAACTGAGGTCTTGCCATGATGACTGACAACCATGATAATAATAATAATAATAACACAGTTTTTATATAACGCATCACACCAAGGTCTCGATGCGCTTCACAGGAAACAACAATTAAAAGCAATTAATGGAACAGGTAAGTTTTAAGGAGTGTTTTAAATTCATTTTCGGCATTGACAGTTCTTATATGGTGTGGGAGAGAGTTCCAAAGCGATGGTGATGCATGCATGAAGGAACGATGTCCATAAGTCTTAGTGCGAGTGACCGGTGTACTGAGCAGCAATGTGGAGCTAGAACGGAGGGTGCGTTGTGGCTGGTATACTTGAATAAGTTCTCGGAGGTATGCTGGTGCTGAGCCGTGGATGCATTTGTGAGTTAGGAGTAGAATCTTGAAGGCGATTCGCTCATTGACAGGTAGCCAGTGAAGGGTGCGAAGAATAGGGGTTATATGTTGCCTGGATGATGTACGTGTAACAAGTCTGGCGGCGGAATTCTGAATGCGCTGAAGTTTCGAGGTTTGAGAATCAGGAATACAGTGTAGGAGACTATTGCAGAAATCGAGGCGGCAAGAGATAAAAGCATGGACAAGCTTTTTCGTTGTTTGTTGGTCGAGGAAATTTCAAATTTGTCCTATCTTGTGGAGAGCTAGGTAAGAAGAGCGGCATATTGATGACTGATAGCCAGGCTAATAATTCCAAAACCCCACCACGGCCCTTTTTCACAACATGAAAAATTTCACACATCTTACATAAGAAAAGCCCTGAAATTAATTAAGGCAAGGAACTTATTCACAGTGTCCAAAAATGTTGTTTTAATCAATTGACCATTGTGTAGTGAGGCGCGAAGGAAATTAAATAACATTCATAGGGATTGAGGCCAAGGATTAGGAGTATCTACACAAATAAAAATATTCCTCGTGGTCTTGTTGTTATTCAAAAGTATTTAGATGGACACTTTTCCCCCGGACATACTGTACATTAATATTTCACAGATTTGTGGTGGGATCATTGAGCTATATTAAATTACTAGAGCGCAAACTTTGTGTACAAAGTAATGCCTGCTGGGCGCATCCATGTTTGTGCACAAACCTATGGAGACGTAGAAATTTTGTACGGCTTTTTATATCTGCGTTTGTATTCCATACCGGTGCGTTATCGAAGCTAATATGCCCAAAACCGAAACGCACGATCAGCAAATGAGCGTGTCATTTTGCTCTACCCAAACAGCACAACGCGTGCGCGTATTCGCTGCAGATGCTTTTTGCCGTCACATTTTTTTAAACCGTCAATGACGCGCTAAGTTGTTTGCGTATGTTCTACTTGCACGTTGCATGTAGAGTACACTTTCAAAATTCAATCCATCTAATTTCATTATGTTCTACAAACACGCACATGAATTCAAAATGTCTGCGCCCAGGACGGCTTCAAAGCGTCTCCGCATGCAGAATGACGAGTTAGCTCTCTAATAATTTAATATAGCTCTATGGGTGGGATCTAGTTGCCCCCTCCCAAAGCCCCAAGATCTACCAGTGTCTACCCATCACCCTCCTCACCTTGTCTGATCTGATGTTGCTCTCAATGGTCTTCATGTCGATGGGTTCACTGATTACTTGGTAGTAGTCGGGGTACAGTTTCTTAGACGGTTTCTCCATGAAGAGAGTGATTGGGTAGCGCCCAATCTTGTCCTATCCGAACAATAACAAAACCATCAAGAACAGACTCTTCTGGGTAAAGATGAGATGTCTACATGTTTTCACGTTTAAACAAAAAAAGCTAAGTATCCGTTCATAAACACTAACAATTGTTTAAATGGAACCAAATATTTTTCTTAAAGGGACCCTGTTCTTTATTTATGTGATCTGACTTCCAGTTTTATTTTTCAATGAATGCCTGTAAACCTTTTCAGTTTTCAAAGAACTAGAACTGCATCCTGGGAAAATATATTGGACACTTTTTGGAATATCATAAAAAGATTTTTGGGTAAGAATTCTTATGAAAATAACTATTTCACACAAAAAAGATCTTTTGTAATTACGGTATCTTTTGAAGGAAAAATACTGCTCAACAAGATTTTTAAATGGATGAGTGAAAACAGCAAGTGGGTAAGTACTGGATAAAGGGTTTAAAGGAAAGATACAACATTTGCAAACATCAAAAATTGAAATGATCAAATTATCACAAAATACCTTACTGGACTGTTAGGGAATGACATTCCAAAGCATCCTGTAAAGTTGTGGCTCCTAGTGTGCTGACATTTTCAAGAAAAACAGTATTTTTCCAACGCAGGTCGGCCGACCAGCGTTGGAGAAAACTATTTTTTTTTAAAAATTGTTCCTGATTTTTCACATTTAGTTTGTCTGCATTTTCTTTTCAATTGATTACACACCTGTCAAGAGGTACAAGCCTGCTAGACTGATTCTTTGACCTTACAATTCTCCAAAGTCTATAAATTGCTCTGTTTCATTTTAAGTTGGGTCCGGGAACCAGACCACAAGAATATGATTGGTTTTCTTGGTTTTTCCAGCATCTACGAACCAAAAACGTGAAACAAGTCAGTGTAACAATATTTGCTATAGCAAACCAGTCCTCCAAATCCATTAATTTCTGAAAATTGCAGCAAAAGCAAATGTTGTACATTCCCTTTAAAAGTTAGAATGCGAGGCTTGCTGGATTCTCTACTGCAGTCAACTGACCTGGTATTGTACTAAGGTGTCACAGACCATCTGCAGGCGCGTCTTCAGATCCAACTCACTGTCGGGCCCCTTCTTGATGCTGCTCCTACGCCGTTTGCCGCCTCCTCTGTCACTCTCCTCATCGCTCTCGACATCTCTCTGTAAAACAAAGAATGAAACAAACAGACAGACCGGCATCAGACAACACAATGGCAGATGTTCCAATTAGTTTTTTACCTTAGTTCTCTGTGTCTAATTTTAGGGTATGCATCGGAACCGGGTGCCCGAGTTCCCGACCGCTGATGTCAGGAACCGGTTCCAGATTATGGGATCGGGTATTGTAACCAATTTTACAAAGTGCTTCTTCCCAGACAATGAAAGAGAAAGATTTGAATGCCAGCCTAGTTTTCGGTGTTGAAAATTCCCTACAAATGGCATTTGTAGGGAATTTTCAACACCGAAAACTAGGCTACATGGAAGAAACCAAAACACATTTCACGTTTATGTGCATTTTAATGTTTGGCAGATGACGCGATGATTTGCAGTTCACACCGTAAAGCTATAAAGCCCTTAAGACAACTTCCGGTACTTTTTAATTTTTTTTGTTTACGGTAACCCGTGTTTTACTTCAATTGTTATTTATTAGTATTATTATTTATTTCTGGTAAAAAAACCAGGGATTTCCTCAAAAGCACCCTAGGAACTATAGCTCACAAGCCAGAAGAAACCTGTAGAGAGAAGACAATCAGAAGCAAGTACAGTTTTAGAGGAAGGGAGGAAAACCCCAGAAGAACATTCTGTGGAAAACCCACGGAATCGGGCAGGGACTGAAAACCCAATCCACAATGGGGTACCCCGTTCCCATAATACCCATAAATAAGCACCACTAGTCTGATTTTGTTGGCAGTCAGTTAGATCCCACAATGCACTCCAAATGGCAGTGTTGCAGTCACACTTGACAGTTGGATACTGTATGTCAATTCACTCCAGTTTAAAGAGGTTGTGGAATGCTCGAAGACATTTCCGTCATTTTTCGGGTATATGTAGCCTAAGGTGTGATGAAATAAAAACGACTATTGTTTCTGTCATAAAATGAGTACAAAAGGTACTTTTGAGAGCTGTTTTTCAAGTCCTGTCATGCCTGTTTCGACCCGAACTTGCAGAGTAGCATAAACGAGTCCTGTTTATTACGTCACGATTTACTGTGTTTTGTTTGCTGCCCGCAACGACGACTTTTACACAAATTGCACGTTCGGGTCGAAACAGGACCTGAAAAAGAAACAATAGTCATTTTTATTTCATCACACCTTAGGCTACATATACCCAAAATATGACGGAAATGTCTTCAAGCATTCCACAACCTCTTTAAGAATTGAAGAAAGGTGCTTTGGCTCACTAGAAGACCTCCAACTAGATTAACCCTCCCTCTCTGGCTGGCAAATTCAACAAAGCCAGCCCAGCAGTCAAAACAAATCAAGTGACTGTTCTATAAAACAGTTGACTGCTCCCTTTTCACATATAAAGCAGGATTGACTGGCTGTGATTGTTATGAAATTTGATACAGCTATGCGTTTTGGCTGTAGAAGATTGATAAATTGAAAACAATTTTGATTTGTTTTGTAACCAAAACCTGGCATTTTATCTGCCTTACCTAGTCAGACTCATTAATAAACACCTAATGTAGTGTAATAAAATGGTTATGTCTGGATGTAAAACAAAATGCATTCTTTTTATCACTATGTGATAGAAAGGGGTGTAGATGTACAAAACACGGTTCTTTTTTTATCTAGTCTGGGTAGCATTTTAACATTTTTTAACCCTAACTCCCCAGCCTAATTTACTAGGAGCCATACCCATTCAGGCAAATTCCAACACCCACATGGGAAATTGTACACACACACTGTTGGACTTAGTTTCTGGAGGTATGCCAACCCCAGTGTAAAAGACCATCAGTTTAGGGGTACTGTACCTATCCCAACAGATTTAAACACTAACCTACTGTTGGAGTTTGATTGGTTATGGGCTGTTAGGGTTAATCCACGTTTGTATAAGAGTCTTTCTAGAATATTTCTCTGTTTTAACATTATGCGTAAAAAAAAATAATGGTCTTTTTAGAATACTTTAATGTTGAACATATGTATAATTTTTTTTTTTTCCAATGATTTCTGTTAATTGTAAATTGTAAACCATCGCAATTCAGTCTTCGGACTGCGAGAATGGTACGAACAATAAAAAAAAACCCTTCAATTCAAAATAGCCAGCGGTGACTACCAGCTACCTGCTTTTGGCTGTTGACGGAGTACGACTCGTCACGATGACCATTGAAATATTATCGGACTGTTGGTGACTAACCTGCCTTAAAGGCATGGAAGGGGAGGTGGAATGAACTTTTGACTGTCTGTGACTGGTCAAACAAAAGGAGAGTTGCACAAGATTGTGACATTTAATCGAAAGTGTCTAGGAGCGTCTCACCATGGCTTCCATTTTCTCCAGCTCCTTGTACTTGGCGCTCATGGCCTTCTGGAGCTTGTCGGCGTCCTTGTATAGTCTGGAGGACGGCAGGTTGTAATGCTTGGCATTGTTGAAGGTCAGGTCCAAGTCCTGGGCTAGTTCAGCCAGCGATTCATATCTATCCATCTGGAAAATATTAAAATAACAAAGAAAGAAAGAAAGTCCTTGGTTAAAAATATCATTATACTGTGTAATTCATTTTACGAAAAGGACATTGTCTTTAAGGTCGGATATTAGATAGTATTATACAGGGCGAGTAAAAAAGAAAGTGACCTGGATTAAAGGTTGATTTCTTAAAGGGAAAATACAACATTTGCAAACATCAAAAAATAAAACTACCAAATCATTTTGAAATACCTTGCTGGACTGTTAGTGAATGACAGTGTAAAGCATCCTGTAAAATCATGGCACCTGGTATACTGTCATTTTCAAGAAAAGTGGTATTTTGGTATCAATTTCCAACGCTGATCGGCCGACCAGCGTTGGAAAAAAACTGGCTTTTTTAAATACTGGCCCCAGTTGACCATCGCACTTGTTTGCAATCGATTACACACCTATGAACGGGTACAAGCCAGCTAGACTGGTTCCCTGACCTTACAATTCCCCAATATATGTAAACTGCTGTGTTTCTTCTTAAATGGAGTCAGGGAACCAGACTACAGGAAAATGATTGTTTTCCTTGGTTTTTATAGCATTTTCGAACCCAAAACCTCAAAAAAGTCAGTGTAACTATATTTGCTATATATTTCCAACCCCCCAATTCCATCTATTTCTGAAAATTACAGCAAAAGCAAATGATGTATATTCCCTTTAAAAAGCAGTCAAATTTCATACACCAATGAAGTATGTCTTCCACTCATCTGACATGTCTGAAGAAAAAAAATTCAAAATCGATTAAAAAAAAGATAAAAATTAAAGTTATGCTTTAAGGGTAGATGAAAACTGATCTGTTCTTTCCACATAATCTGTAACTTTGTCCCTGGAATTGTCCTTAGCCGCGCATTGTAACTGCGCTATAAATCATGTTATTATTATTATTATGAATAAAATTTACCTTGAGTTTGCTCCTAATCTTACACAGAGCCATGGGATGCTGAATCTCCTCGTAGTAATCCGGGTAGAATCGCCTGAAGGGCAGCCTCATGAAGGGTTCCGACAGGAGCTGGCCCAGAGAGTTCTTAGCGTTCAGCACCGTGTTGAACAGCACGTGCTTGGCGTCGCTGGAGTTGGCCAGGAAACTCTCGGCCCCCGACTCGTCATCGTTTTCCTCGTACTTCATTTCGTTGAGGGTACCGCCCTCTTCGTTGTCTTCGTCCGACGGCAGGCTGGCAGCGACCTGGATAGCTGATTCAGTCTGGTCGGCACTAACAGGGGGCGCTGTTTTACTGCACAGAGGTAGAAAAAAAAAAAAACAGGGATTGTGAGTTGTAATTGTGACGGGTTCTGTCAAAATCAGACACTTCTGCGCACTGCTTGTAAGGTCGGCACTAACAGGGGGCGCTGTTTTACTGCACAGAGGTAGAAACAAACAAAAACGGGGATTGTGAGTTGTAATTGTCACGGGTACTGTTAAAACCAGACACTTCAATGCGCTGCTTGTAATGGCGATATGACTTTAAAAAAAAATGGGGCTTATTTTGTTTTGAGTTCCAGTTTTTTCAAAGTTGTGATTCTAACCATGTTCAGAATATACTGTAAAATTTTACAGTTTTAAAACCCACTGTCACATGAAAATCCGACTCCTATGAAAATCGGACCCCTATTTCCCTATTATTGGTTGATCCCTCGCACGTGACAGGTCACTCTCCCGAAACGATCCTAAAAATAGCATAGTATTGTACTCACGCGTGCGCAGTACTACCAATGAGTCCACATTTCATGGAGTCGGATATTCACGCTACACCCACCTCTAAATGGGATGTTTGGATGATCTGTTAAGGTGTAATAATTTGAAAAATGCATAACCCGAAACTTTTATCAGACAATTTTTTGTTTCCGCGTTTGTGACATCACAAATAAATAAACATGAAGTATGGGTATCATTTTGCTGAGAAATGTCAATTTTCGAAAAATTAACCATCATTGTAAAAAGGGAAGATTTGTATTTTATCAATATTAAAAAAAAAAAAAACTATTTTTGGCCAGTGGTCCCTTGCTTCTAATCATTGTGCAACAGTAGTAGCAGTAACAGTGAAATTGCATTCCTCTATCTTAACCACTTCGTGCGGAGATTATTTTTGCTGAAAATTTTGACTTTCGCAAAAAGGCAAGATATAGCAGCCAACTTTTGATATACAGCCAAATGCCACAAATAGTGATTCGCAAGACTCTTTTTAACAGTGTTTTTAGACGTCATCTGGAGGCGAGATGAGACACGCTTGACGTTTTAACCCGTCAGCCGTGCCGGTGCATAGAAACAGCAAGATCGTGTTAACACTCATCCGACGCAAAGTGGTTAATATGTTTTTGATCATTCACATGCATTCCTGTGCCCGGGATGTGTTCAAACTAATCACAACAAGGAAATGAGGAGTTAGCACTCTACTTATTTAATATAGCTGTATGATTATGGAGAATGTTCTGACCTTGCCATCTCTCCCATCCTGACGGCTCTGTCCAGCTCCTGCTTGGTACTCGCGATCAGTTTCTTTAACACCATGGCATCCTTGTAGACCTGGGACCCGGGCTCGTTAAATGTCTTGGCATTCTTGACCATCAGTAATAGGTCCTTCTCCAGATCAGTCAGGGTGGCGTAGTGACCAGACTACAGTTTGAATTCAGGAAAAACATTCCAATAAATCGGAAAGGGAAACTTACTAGCTGTATTAGGCCAAAAAAAATAATAAGTCGGTCTCTGGTCAGCGCGCGCGTCGATTTTAAGCATGCGAGTCGATCATTTTTTTTTTCAAAAATATTCCGCTGTAGCTCCAACAGCGCCCTCTATTTCCGCACCTCCTCAATATTTTTTACCAAAGAGCACCAAGGAATGGGAAATTGCACCAAGGCAAATGATCAAAAGCACCAAGGCAAATTATGGAGGACACCAATGTACATGAGGACACCAAAAAAGCAAAATAGTACCCCACCTTGTCTGTACAATCCAAGCTTGAAGAAGAAAAAAAAAAGCAAAAAAAAAAAAAAAAGCCACGAGGCCGCGTCAATTCCGGAACTTTGGTCTGACCAGAGACCGAATATTTATTTTTTTTTGGCCTTATAATCATTTTTTTCACCTTGAATAAAGAAATTGACTTGAGTAGAGTTTGAAATTGCAGATTACCGTTCCAGCGCTCTACCAACTGAGCTATCCAGCCCTATGTTGGAAGTTCCCAATTTTGTCAATTTCTTTGTTCAAGGGGTGCTAGTCAGAAGCCACAAACCATTATGCCATGTAGCCAGGGATCACGCTTAAAGTCACAATGCTAGCAATATTAGCAATGCTGCTAACTTTGGAAATAGCAAACAGTATCACTCAGAGAGGGAACAGGGTTTATCACAAATTTTCAAATAAATCACAAATTTTCAAATAAATCACAAATAAATCACTTCCAACACAGGGGCGAATCCAGGATTTTTTGCAGGTTTTTTTCCCATCAGCAAATCAATGCTGAAATGTAGACAGGATTTTTTTTCTCCGGACACTTGGCCTGCGTAAAACTATTAGGGGAGGGGGGGGGGGGGGGGACTTGTACCATACTTTCAATCGCAGCGCTGTTTTAATTTGACTATCATGAACACTATATCTAACAGAATAGTGTACAAATACCCCCATACCCCAGCTGGCTTAGTCTGAATGTTGAGCACAAGCGGACATTATTACCAGTATATTTGTCATATTTGTGTCATTATTTTTTAATGTATTTCTCTGAAAAAAATTTGAGTGAGAGCTGGGAGGGGGGGTGGGTTGTTTTGGACCCCCCCCCCCTTCTGGATCCGTGCCTGCAACATAGGGCTGGATAGCTCTGTTTGTAAAGCGCCTAAAAGGTTAATAATAATAATAGTGGATATTTATAAAGCGCACGTATCCACCAGGACTGGTGCTCAAGGCGCTATATCATTATTACCCCTGCTCATTGGGAACATGAAACATTCCAAATACCATCTCAGCTCCCTGGGGAGTATACAGCTCGATGCAGCCTGTTAGGCGCAAGGAAGCTAATTCAATCACAATAACCATCTCTGCCCTCACAGGTACCCATTTACTCCTGGGTGGAGAGAAGCAATGAGTGACAAAGTGCCTTGCCCAAGGGCACACGCACCATGACTCGCCAGGACTCGAACCCACAACCTGCAGCTTTACCCGCAGACCACGAATCAGTGCCCTTAACCACGAGGCCACAGTACTCCGCGCTGATAGGTTGATAGCATTACCCTTATGTTCTTGGCAATGACTTTCATGTCGATGGGGTTATTGATGATGTCGTAGTAGTCCGGAAACTGGGACCTGGGAGGCAGCTTGCGGAATATCAGACTGATGTTTCTACCGGTGTCTTCCTCCTTGTGGGCCATGACGGCCGTGAAGAGCTGCTCCAAGGGATCGGAAGGATTCTCCATGGCAAACTCACATTCCTGGGGTTCTTCCTTCGGTACTTGAGCTTTGACCTCTTCCTGGACAGACTGCTGAGATGTACAAATAAGATGGCAAGTTGATAAAAAAATGAAGTAAACAAAGTTAATTGAATGCAGCCTTTTAAAGGGAAAATACAACATTTGCAAACATCAAAAAATAAAACTACCAAATCATTTTGAAATACCTTGCTTGACTGTTAGTGAATGACAGTGTAAAGCATCCTGTAAAATCATGGCACCTGGTATACTGTCATTTTCAAGAAAAGTGGTATTTTTGTATCAATTTCCAACGCTGATCGGCCGATCAGCGTTGGAAAAAAATTGGCTTTTTTTTCAAATACTGGCCCCAATTGACCATCGCACTTGTTTGCAATCGATTACACACCTATGAATGGGTACAAGCCAGCTAGACTGGTTCCCTGATGACCTTACAATTCCCCAATGTATGTAAACTGCTCTGTTTCTTCTTAAATGTAGTCAGGGAACCAGACTACAGGAAAATTATTGCTTTTCTTGGTTTTAATAGCATTTTCGAACCCAAAACCTCAAAAAAGTTAGTGTAACTATATTTGATATATATTTCCAACCCCCCAATTCCATCCATTTCTGAAAATTACAGCAAAAACAAATGATGTATATTCCCTTTAAAGTCAAGTGAACCGCGACGTTACAAAATAAATCATGCTGTCTATAAAAACGGCAACTTGTCCTTTGTAGATCACCAGCCGGTCTCACCAATATGGCGTCTAATTCATTCATTGTGCGGCTCTTTATTAGCTATCCAGTCTTTATATAGAGATCAGTGGATGAAACGGAGCAATTTATAGACGTCATGGAATTGTCGGGTCAGGGAACCAGACCAGCTGGCTAGCACCCATTCATGGATGTGTAACCGATTGCAAAGAAAATGTGGACTAACTAAATTTGGTAAATTGGGGGCAAACCATCACTGGAAATTGATACAAAATTCCTGTATTCTTGAGAATGACAGCACACCAGGTGCCATGATTTCACAGGCCAGGTCTGGCAATGACTTTTACACACCCTGTACAGCAATAGCTGACATTGTTTAGTTTAATAAAAAAAAGACAAAAAGGACATAATGTAGGAAAGGAAATGATGAAAGTGAAAACAAAATATGATTACTTAAATAACAAAAGAACATTAGGAACTACTTTCACATATACAAAGCATCTACCACATCTACTATACTCTACAAATGTTTGCATGCATGCTACAGATAACAGTTTGTAGGTCAAACTTTTAAAAAGATGTGCTTCTCTACAGATCTTTGTAGATTACCAAAAACAATTTTTCTTCTTCTATAAAAACAATCATAACTTAAAGCATTTTGTTCCAGTCCTCACTCCAAAATTCCAATTGTTTCTTTGTAATTTGCAAGGTTCATGTTTGTTTTAGGGAAAGTACATGTATGTACGATCTTACGAAATTATCAGAAACAGTACTGTTAAGCCCCAGTCACACATTCATGGTTGGAGCTACGAATATCCACGGTTTACCAAGAATCAATCGATCACGATGAACCATCGACGTTCGGGGAGAAATCGACTTTCTAAGAATGCGCTACGGTGTAAGAACAGATACATGTAGCCACCACTGTCCTATAAGGTTTCTCTACGAATACACCATGGTTTGTCAAGAATATGGACAGATTGTTGAAGAATATCGACGGTATTACTAAGAATAATGACGTTAACGCCACGGATGACCAAGGTTTTCCTACCGGTACTAACAAAGCATACATATTCATAGTACCTTAGCAAAATCCTAGCATATCCGCGCATATCCGTAGGACATTCATAGCTACGAATCTCCAAGAATATGTACGCATAGCCACGAATAACACTACAAATTAGTACGGTTGTCCTACATGATGTCCTACGGTTGCACCACGGATTGATTTTCATGACGATTCACCACGGAAGTTTGGAACAGTTTAAAACTTCCTTAGCCCCTCCACGAATACCCAAGGATGATGACGGATAACCATGGAGGTACTAAGGATGAATACGGTACTCCCATGGTTTATCACAAATTTTATACCGTGGATATCCGTAGCTCCAAACCGTGAATGTGTGACTGGGGCTTAACTGTCTACATTGGAAGAAACTACCGATACTTCACATTCTAAACAACACAAAAATGACATAAACACAATGGGTCTGTGATGAAAATGTAACGAAAAGGAAATGAAAAACAAAAGAAAAAGTTTTGTGATTGATACTACAACACTGATTGACAGACACAATAACACTTCTGACGTCATGCCACGAGACTCGTTACACTACCTCGTTGTTCAACGGCGGTTCGCTAAGCACCAAGCTGTGAGCTCGCAGGTGCCTAGCTGGTCCAGCAATGTGCTCAGTGCTTGGACCTGCTGCAGCTTGCAGCAGCCTGCAGCTTGCCGCTGCGGTTGCGTCAGTCGCGTCCTTATCGGCAAATACTTCGCATGACTGCTAGGAGAGAGGTTTGTTAAACAAACATCTGACTGGCGGAATAAAGCAATTCGGGGTGGACATTCCTGGTGGTGATTACTGGTCACAGACGGACAACCTAGTGTCATCTTCGTACCTGATTGAGTTACACACTGACAGACTCATCTCAATAAATGAATGCCACTTGTGACTTAGGTTAGATTAATCTCACTAACTGACTGTGTATGAGAGTCCTAAACTTAACCCGAACCTCTCCAACTCCATCAAAATCCACCTCCCCAATTTTGGAGACTTGGTCCTGCAGGCCTGGTTTGACTTAATATTGATGGAGTATGATGGACTTTGGCCTAATGGCCTGAAGCAGTGCTAGGGGTATCCGATTGATACTGCTATTTTAATAAAAAAAACCATGTGTAGCAAGTCCATGAACATCAACCAGTGCGTCAGTGGTGGATTCCATTGTGTCATGTACAGTTTTGTATTGGAAGCACAGTGATTGATGGATTTTGATGGACTTGGTCCAGTTCCTAGTAAAAGATGCTAGGGTTAAGGTACTGAAAACATGCAGCACAAGAAAATAGACTACCACATGAAACAACCAGTCCAACAACCCTTTAGTACTGCATCAATCAACTGTGTGAAAAGAAACATCTGGTGCACGGTCTCTATTTCTACACATCTTTCCATGGTCTGCTACCAGACCACAGAAGGGGGAAATCTTTTCAAACAGTTGGACATGTACCAGTCTAGTCTTTAAATGGAAATCACTTGGCTTCACTCTCAGGTGCAAAATGATAAAGAAAAGTCTCCATTAAAAATTGAATTGAGATTTCAAACTTGGCTGGTGAAATACTGAGGACCTTGTCTAAGTTGCCTCATGAACATTTTGGAGAATTTTGTCGGCTAAAAAGCAAGTTTTAAAGGTCATAAAGACAATAAAGTGCTAGCTGCTCACAGACTCTATAGTGAGAGCAATAGGCCATATTTTTGAGAGGGGCGCTTGACAATGCCATTTTGGGGCATAAACGGATGCGACTCCCAGGTTACTGACATAAATTTACATTTTTCTACTACGAAAAAAAAACCCAAACATCTTTAATTTTTAAATTGAAGTAAAGTTGGTAAATTGCTTCAATTAACGTGATATTTCTACTGCCTGAACCCAGAAAATTGCATTGCTAGAGTGCCCTGTTTGCTGAAATGTGTTGCGAAATCTCGGGGCCATATCAAGACTAAGGGTATGGCAACAATAAAACGAGGAAAGTCCAAACCCCACAAGACTTTGTACAGTATTTTTTCAATTTGTAATGGCATTCATGAGAAGTAAAAAAACAAGGAAATCAGCGGATCCGAGGAAAAGTTCGGTGCCTGTACATCTCTTTTTGCTCAGAGTACAGACTAATCTGAGTTCTCCATACCTCTTCTTCTCTCTCTTGCTTAACCTCCACGGTCTCCCTCGAAAACTTCACGTCTTCTGTCGTCGGGTCATCCTCAAGGAAATGGTGTTTGGTTCCAATGAACAGTCGCCAGATATCGCTCGCATCCCTGTACTCCTGGGAGGTTTTCTGTCGATTGACCATCAGAAATTCAGTAAGAATTGTTAAATGAGATTTGAAGGCTTCGTATGGTGGAGAGTACAACTTTGGAGAAGTTTGCAGATACACCATGTCAAGAGACTACGAGTATCCATAAAAGAAAATTATGGTTCCAACAACTTTCTGGTTCTTCACAGAACCATTTGTGAGGCGTTTTGACAAAATTAGGCAGAACTTGGGCACAGGTCATAGTCATAGGGGAGAAACATGCCAAAGACTCAACAGTCATGAACTTTTTCTGATGTTCAGATTTCAGTTTTAGTCGCGTCAGTGCAACTGACGCGACTTAAAGGGAAAATACAACATTTGCAAACATCAAAAAATAAAACTACCAAATCATTTTGAAATACCTTGCTGGACTGTTAGTGAATGACAGTGTAAAGCATCCTGTAAAATCATGGCACCTTGTATACTGTCATTTTCAAGAAAAGTGGTATTTTTGTATCAATTTCCAACGCTGATCGGCCGATCAGCGTTGGAAAAAAACTGGCTTTTTTCAAATACTGGCCCCAGTTGACCATCGCACTTGTTTGCAATCAAGTACACACCTATGAACGGGTACAAGCCAGCTAGACTGGTTCCCTGACCTTACAATTCCTCAATATATGTAAACTTCTCTGTTTCTTCTTAAATGGAGTCAGGGAACCAAACTACAGAAAAATGATTGTTTTTCTTGGTTTTTATAGCATTTTCGAACCCAAAACCTCAAAAAAGTCAGTGTAACTATATTGGCTATATATTTCCAACCCCCCAATTCCATCCATTTCTGAAAATTACAGCAAAAGCAAATGATGTATATTCCCTTTAAATAGTGTTTACTTTATATCAAAGTTTTAGAATGTCATTGTCAAAAGGTTGTATCTCGCTTAAAATTACCCGGATGTACAAGCAAAGTCAATGGACCTTGAGATACAACGTTGTTGCACGGAGCGTATTCGCGCGAAATATGACACGGTTGCAGAATTGATTTACGACCGTGTTGCACTGACGCAACAATTTATAGATATTTGTAATCTTTGATATGCCTACTCCGCATATTTTAAAGAAATAGCATAAAAATTGTAGCATAAAAGCATATTTAAGGCATCTTTCATTTTCACGTATATAAAACTTGAACGCTAAGACCTTTTTCTCGTTTTTAAAAACTGTTTTGACATGTCGTTAAATGCGAAAGTTAAACAGCCATAACCTGTCAATGGAATGTCCAATTGAAGTGCAACAAACTGTATTGTAGTGGTAATTTATTCTCTTTCCTAATACCCACAAACACCCATTTCGATCTCTGCCCAGTTCTGTCTCATTTTGCCAGAATGCCTCAAATTTCTCCGCTGAGCATGTTTTCCCAACACCTATAACTTCCCATGTTCCAGTGCTGTTTTAAAGCCACATAATCAAGTTTGTGAAATTTAAATTGAAACGATAGATATACATTTTTGAGTTTCACTCCAAAAAACAGATTGTATTTTTCAAAATTGCTACTTTTCTAGCTATACAAAAATTGTTTACTTTTGAATGAGACACTAAACAGAAAATTCGGCACAATTTTGTCTGTGGAATAAATACTTTACAAATTTCAAACTATAAGCGGCCCAACAATAATTCAATTCTCACAGGTAGACTGGTTCCTTGCCCCTATTAGAATCGTTATAATTTAGGAACCAACATGCAGGCTGGACCTGATAGTGCACAAAAGCAACCCAAAAATGAAAGTTACTTTGAGAAGGTTGTAGACACCAAAAAAATGGGAAAATAGTGTTTTTTACTCGGTAAAATAAACAAATACAAGTCGCCAGGAGAAAACATACTTTTTTGAAGAGCACAGGCAAGTACATCTTTAACCCTAACCTTCCCAAATCCTCCAAAATCCTCTTTGCAAAATGGAGGATTTTGCAGGATTGAGGCTATAATATGCAAAAATGTGTGGCCGATTTTGGAGAATGCACTGTGTCAAGGTCTTGGGCCGGACCTTGTGCTGTTTATGCTCAGCTGTGCATAAATTTAGCCCTTGATTATACTTGAAATCTTCCACACTGCTCCAGGATGTCACTGGCTCTGCCTCAACATATTGACAGTGATTGCCCGAGGATTTTGCAGGATTGACGTAGTGGTCACCCCTCCAAGGACCATATTTAAGAAATAATGAAGGATTTGCAGGATAGAGGCTGTATGCAAGTTTTACATGGAGGCAGTTGGAGGATTTTGCAGGATTGAGGTTACATCCTCGCAAAACTGCCTAGGGAGTTAGGGTTAATGGTACACAACACAGAGTATAAAAAGCCGGTCTTCACCTTATAATATGCCAGTGCATTGTTGATCATTAGTTCAACATCTGACTCCATCTGTTCCACTGTATCATATTCCTCCATCTTCATTCGCTGTTGTATCTTCAGCAGGTCAATGGGACTGCTCACTACATCATAATACTCTGGTGCCCCCCTGGAAAATCAACAGTCATAGTTATTACAATAACAGTGATGCTATCAATGCATCCATTTTGATTCAGCGTTTGGATTAGTAAAATTGCCCAGATGAACTGTAGGAATCTCAAGTTTCATGTTTAAACATATGTGAAAGAGAGTTACATGTCACCACTGTCTGTTAACTTTTTTAACCCTCCTGCTATTTAAACAGTCACAGACAGTCAAAATTTTCACCCACTTCCCCTGCTATATACTTCTAACACAGGCTAGTCACCAGCAGTCAGATAATATGTTAAGCAAGCACTGTGACTAGTCAAACAGTCAACAGACAAAGCAGGCAAGTTGTGGGAACAGCTGGCTTATCAATCACCTACAGTCAAAGCAAAGCTGTATCAATTTACATGGGCAGTCACGACCAGTCAATCCTGCTTCATATGGGCTGGGAATTCTTAAAGCTACAGTCCATCATTTGCAGCCATCCGAATAGTAACTGTCATAATTACTGTTGAAAAACAAACTTGGTTGAAAGATAGTAAGGGGACTAAACTTCCTGTGAAATTATTCTTTCTGGCAAGCTGTCATTTTGAAGTAATCAACGAAAGAAGGCCTTTCCAACGGTGCGTCTTAAGACGCACTGTAGGAAAATTTAAATTAGTAGTTCGTTTTGTTATTCGGCGAAGCGCGCGCAAGCATTGGCACGACGCACACGCGTGCGCGCTTGCTATAATTCGTCGGATCAGTGCGCGACATCGCCTACAGCTGCAATCGGCTCAGTGAGAACGCGTCTCGGACGCTGAGTTCAAAACCTGATTCAGCAACTTTTGATTTGAAATTGAGATCCTAGAATGCTGTTTTTCTCGGAATAAACAGCTGAAGCTGAGCTGAAACTTCATCAGGTTAGTTGTTCAGTATCCTTCATTAGGTTTTGAACGCTTTTGTTGCTTCAAATGAACAAAATGCACAAATTACAAATGATGGACTATATCTTTAATAGCTGAAAACAGTCACTTGATTGATTTTGGGTCATAGCTCCCCACAAGGGCATGTGGCCCCCTTGTGCTCCCAACTTAGAATTTGGGAGAAGGCAAAAATGAGCATTTCTCTTGGTTAAAGCCACTGAGGGCTCCCCCTCCTGTTTCAGAAAGGCCCTCCCCCTTATCCCCTGCAAATGTAGAAACCCAGTTATACCGCTGCTTACCCAGTCATCATTTCTTATTGATTTCCCTACCATCTGACCATGAGATGACTGAAATGGGAGGTCTAGTCCCTCTGGATGGGATGCCAGTCCATCACATCTTATTTCCCACCAAATGCCCAGGTACACAATATACAAACAGCAGATGGATTTGAACCCCGAACCCTCTGATCACCAGCCCCCAACTGGCATGCTCTGATGGTCTTCTTCAATTTTTTGGGTTTAATTCGGAAGTTTCTAACCCGCTCAACCAACTTGCTCGCCTACAAAGACTCCAAAATTCTGCCGCTCGAATTGTGACCCTGACACCCTCTAGAACCCATATCACCCCGATTTTGCAGTCTCTGCATTGGCTCCCTGTTGCTGACCGGATTACGTACAAACTGTTACTGCTTGTTTTTCATTGCTTTCATGATTCAGCTCCTGAATACAACATAGACCTATTAACTCCATATAATCCATCCAGGCGATTGAGATCTTCTGATGCTTCTTTGCTGGTTGTCCCTCACACTCACAAATCTTGGGGTGATCGATCATTTTCTCACGCAGGTCCTCATCTTTGGAACAAACTAGCCCTCGCCATTCGCAATATCTCATGGCTTTCTGAATTTAAAGTTGCCCTAAAGACCTATTTGTTTCAGACCACTCAGAATATTCTTGTTTAGTTAAATTTAATTGTTTTGTTATTTCCGATTTGATATAATTTTTGTTTGCGCCATGAGCGTCATTTATGGCGGATAATGGCGCGGTATAAATTTCCGTTATTATTATTATTTTGACATCCACATTGTACTCCAGGCAACAGGGGTAAATTGGTTTTCCAAGTGACACATCATATGACAAGCAGCTGTATTGCAACCCTAACCACAAGGCAACATTCCTTCTAATGATATCCACACATAAAATCTTTGAAATCCAAATGCTACCTTCGTTTGGGCACTCTTATAAAAGCTTCACACAGCAGCCGGCCATCGTCAGTTTTGTAGTTCCTGATGGTATCATACAAATCTTGGATGATATCCGCCTGTGAAAGATTTACAACGTCAGCAAATAATCATTACTCAGCACTAATATATTTAAGCTGCGAGACAATTTGCATGCCAAGACAACCGTACCTTCGCTCCACCCCAACCACTGCTTTAACTAACTTTTGAAAGATAACCAAACCCTTGTTCAGCAGAGGATCGTGCCTCACGCTATCTTGTACCCATGATGAATAGTGGACATTTTCTGATCCCTACCACGTAAATACGACATAAAAGCTTAAAGCTATAGTCCATCATTTGCAGCCATCCGAAAAGTAACTGGCGTAATTATTGTTGAAAAACAAACTTGGTTGAAAGATAGTAAGGGAACTAAACTCCCTGTGAAATTATTCCTTCTGAGAAGCTGTCATTTTGAAGTAATCAACGAAAGAAGGCATTTCCAACGGTGATTCTTAAGAAGCACCGTAGGAAAATTTAAATTAGTTTTGTTATTCAGCGCAGCGCGCACAAGTATTGGAACGACGCACACGCGCTTGTTATAATTCGTCGGATCAGTGCGCTACGTCGTGTATAGCTGCAATTCAAAACAATTCAAAACATGATTCAGTAACTTTTGATTTGAAATTGAGATCTTAGAATGCTGTTTTTCTCGGAATGTACAGCTGAAGCTTAGCTGAAACTTCATCAGGTTAGTTGTTCAGTATCCTTCATTAGATTTTGAACCCTTTTGTTGCTTCAAACAACCAAATTGCACAAATTACAAATGATGGACTATAGCTTTAAATGTGCCACAAAAATAAATGAAAGATGTACAATTTGTATATTACCTACTCATTTTGAGTGCCTTTTGATTCATTTACATTGTGGAAGGTCATGTGAGCTTGATATATACAAGGAAAGTACAAACTGTACCTTCTCAGTCCTTCTGATATGAAAATCACAGGCGTGTGGAAAAAGGCACACCTGGATTTTTCTAGGCGTGTGGTTTTTCTAGGTGTGTGACTTTCTGGGTGTGTGATTTTCTAGGTGTGTGGTTCTGCATGGGCGTCGCCAGGATTTTTTCTAGAGGGGGGCAAATATTGTTGCCAAAAAATGCTGTATTTCTCAACACATTCTCGATTTATCAGTTTTAGAGGGGGGCAGGGACATTTTGCCCCCCTCCCCCACCATTAAATTTGCACCACTATGACTTCGCGCCTCTTTTTCTTTGCTTTTTTCTCTTTTTTTTTTTCTTCCTTTTTTTTTTTTTTTGCTTTTCCAGGAGGGGGGGGGGGGCAAGTGCCCCCCTTGCACCCCCCCTCGCGACGCCCATGTGATTCTGTGATCCAGGGAAATTCAGGCGTGCAATTATGTACACTTCTCTGGAGCTTTTAGGCGCGCCTCAAACCAGAAGGACTGCCTCTGGAACAATATTCATGTTTTTCACAATCTAAGATCTACTCACTGGATCCTGAGACTGCACCGACTTCTTCCTTCTTTTGATGGGGAAATGGAGCAATGTGGAGGAGGCAGTCTCTTCCTCTGGCTCCTTGACGTCAGTCGATGTGGCTGATCGTCGGCGCTTGGTCATGCTTGCACACTGTAAACCAATCATGTGTAATAATGCAAAAGGATGCTAAATTTACTGCACAAACCGCGCAGGAAAATCGTGATTTCTTCCCCCAAGAAACTGTTCAAAATTGCAAAACAGGTGTCATTAGAATTGAGAAAAGTCGGCTTTTGATTGTAAATTTTGTAAAGGGGATTTTGGAGCTATAAAAAACATTTTTGACTCTAATTTGTTCAACACAAAACAGGGGCCCTACCATACACGATCGCCGTATTCTGCAATTGTGCCCCCCCCCCCCCATCACCCGTTAATACCACCCCCTCCCCCCCAATCACCGCCCCCCCCCCCCACATTTGCTCAACACAAAACAGGGGCCATACACTACATGATCGCCGTATTCTGCAATTGTGCCCCCTCCCCTTCAATACCGCCTCCCCCAATCACCGCCCCCCCCCCCCCCCCCCGGGCAATTAAGCGCGCAAGAGACCCAACGGTATACCGCCGGCCGGCCGGGCGTACACGGCCGGTCAGTCAGTGTCGCGCACTTGCGATCAGCAGTCTCCGTTGGCCCATAAAATTCACCTCAATTTGCAGATCTTTCAGTGAATGTATAATGTGTTCATTGAAGAGTTCCCATCTACTTCTGCTGCTTAAGATTCTTCAGACTTTCCAGAATCAAACAATTTCTAAGACTTTATTTGGAAGCAAAGGCAACAAAGAACAACAGTTTGTACGAATGATCACAATAGTCTGCTTATTTTCATGCCAATGGCGATTTACCTTACGTTATCGTCTTTTGGGTCTGGGGAAAAGACTGTCAACCTTTTTCCCGATGTATTTGTATGCACCGGTGTGTTTTATGAACAGATAGGCCTATGATAACTTTTGTTGGGCTCGTGGTTGAAATTGATTTCATTGCACGTGGACTGGCGATTTAATTTGTGCACATCAGTCGGTCGTCGGTCGCCTCGTTCGTCGTTCTGTCTTATATTTTATACTACTGGCACTGTAACAGCGTTATTACTCGACAGCAGTTTGTGAAATTGTGCCTTTTTCGATCTGACGTCTCCTACATTTTTCGTTATAGTGGTTTTTGGTTAGCAACAGAAAAATGGTTAAAAAGGGAAGACCACGTAAGTTTAGTTTATTTTCTGCGAACATGGCTATAGGCTAGCGCTATATGCGCAGCATGTGAACCTGCGGTGAAGGCGGGTGAAGTACTGTACGTCATGTACGTGCGCACACGCGGTGCATGCTACGGTCATGACGGTGTACGTCGCCGTAACACTCAAAATAATAACAATTCTGGGATCTGCCTCTGCTGTGTACACCAGTGTTATACATATAAAAAATATAGTTTATTTGTGCCTATAGCCTATGGTGATGTAGTCTGAGTATCACCCGTTATCCACAGCTAAAGTCCAGTCTCCTGTATCTACTAGTATTGGATCGCATAAAAAATTAATCTGCATGCTTAGATTATATCAATATAACGTCTGATATATCTAAGCATGCAGATTTATTCGATCCCGCGCCTCAACCAATCGGAGTCGACTTTACTAAATCCTGACGTCATTTCATTCCCAAATCAGGACTAACTGTTTGATTGGTCAATTCGAGTACAGTGTTTTGTAATACAACAATTACGGCCGTGCATTGAACGATAAAACCTAGACAGGCTTGCGCGTATGTGACCACAGACTTTGTTGCTGTGTCTAGGTTTTTTTTTTATCCTTGTCTATGACGCTACAACGGGTGAATGACCGAAGACCTGATATAGAAAGTGCCTGCTGATTGGTCAAAATCTAGAGGTCAAGAGGCGGTTGTCTTGCATTTATAATCAACCTTAACCGAACGCAACCCATCAAAGTTCAACAGCAGGTTTCGTATAAATCTGTTGGGATAGGTACAGCCCCCCTAAACTGATGGTCTTTTACACTGGGGTTGGCATACCTCCAGAAACTAAGTCCAACAGTGCGTGTGTACAATTTCCCATGTGGGTGTTGGAATTTGCCAGAATGGGTATGGTTCCTCGTAAATTAGGCTGGGGAGATAGGGTTAATCAGCGAACCTGCTCACATATTATTACACAGACTAATGGTAATGATGGTCGTTTGTTGAAAGTTTTAGCTCACTTTGATCCTATTTTTGTTTATATTTTGTAATAAGCTAGTCTAAAGAACTTTTGACTTATCTCCAGTGGGGCCAGAAGGAAAGTGCAATTTTAGTGGTGGGAGGAAAACCCTGGAACGGCATTCCAGGGAAAACTCTTCCACTATCTTAGATGTTGGGAGTCCATGTTATAAAACTACAAGTACAAGAGGCTGCATGTTGGGTGTAAACCCAAGAAATCATTTCATATAAAAAGGTATGTTCATTATGTTAGCCTAAGTTCGCAGTAGGTATTAACCAGAATTCTTTACTTTATTTGACTTTGCTTAAGGTCACTTTTGATGTTGAATGTCTTCCGTTATTTATTTATTTATTTATTTTTTTATTTGCAGGTAAGATGAAGAGCAAGCGTGTTCTTGCTAAGGTTCGCTACAAAGTACAGAAGAAGGTGAGATTTCTATGTAGCCAAAACTAGCCAAAGTTCTCTGAGTAACTTGAACAAAAATGCCGGGTAACCACTTCTATTTTGTCGGTTTTGAAACCAGCGCTCTTAACGTGCAACTTAACTTTTTTTATTTAAAAATCAGTCAAAACCATTCTGTTTTCAGTTCTGTACCTATGGCAATTTCTGATAATAGACCTTTATCATGCTGCCACCATTTCAGTCATGTTCCCTGTATCCAATAGCAGTACTGAATGATAATTTTTTTGTGCAAAAAGGAACCAGACTATTTTTCCTTCCAGCCTCGCTTTGGTTAAATTGATTTGAACGGGAAAAAATAACAATTGGCTGCAACATGATAATGGTCTATCCCTGTAGCAAACCTACTGCTTTTTGCCCCCATAAATAACAAATGCTGACATGCGTGGAATTCTGATGTGTATCGTTCAGGTGAAAGAGCACAGACGGAAACTCAAAAAAGAAGAAAAGAAGAGAAGTCACAAGGAACCCAAGAAGGACATCGGCGTCCCCAACCTAGCTCCCTTCAAAGAGAATATCCTAAAGGAAGCACAGGATAGAAAAGCCAAGGTGAGTGGCGCAAATAAACAACAACAAAGAAGTCAAAATAAAAACATGAGTTATCAAGATGTTAGAGGCATTAATGTACCTTGTGTAATTGTTCATCCGATGTATTGTCATAAAGGGCAAATTTGGATTTTCAGGCATGCAACTTTTCCTCGGATTTAGCTTAGTTTCCACTTTTTTATTCGCTTCCCTTTTATGCCATGAACAATTTTGTAAACACAGGGAGGGTCATGTAAAGCTTGGAATTTTGTCTTTTTGTGTGATTTCCATGCTGCATACTAGATGTTGCAGACTATGCTTTCTCCTGCTATCCTATGACCCTAACATCAAAATCTACATAGTACCTGGAGGTTTTTGTAGGATTTTGTAGGATTGGGGAAGGTATAGTGAGAGACTAGTTGCCCCATTGGGGTTAAGGAAGGTTTCTTAAGGAAGGTTTCTTGGGAAAAAAAACAGACAAGGGAGTTAGCATTGAGAAATCAGTAAAACATGAACCGCTTTTGTTGTTTCTTTTTCCCCCAGGCCGAAGAAGAGAAGAAGCGACAGAAAGACCGTCGTTTCAAGGAAGTCATGAAACAGAGGAAGCTGGGTGATCTGCGGAAGAATGCCGAGATGAGAGGCAAGGAATTTGAGAAGAAGGTGAATTTCCCTTTAAAATAGTTGATTGTCAAGGAGTCTAAGTTGTGGCTTTTATAATGCGCACTTTGCGCAGGATGTCAAATGGGAAAAGTAAAATGGCAATGTTAAAGTGAGACATTTAGCTGGTATGTTGTGGTTAGTATAGGGTGTCAATGCACCTGAACCAGAGTAGTCAGTAAGATTGTGGGTATACCATGTTATTAATCTCTGTTGTGAACAAGTTTAGTTCTTGAAAAGAACCGTTTCCGACCTTTACTCTTTGACTACAGATAGTATACGGGCCAAAAATGTCAAGAACACTTCTGACCACGGTGTCTTTTCAGAACCACATTTCTTCACAGAAGAGATTAATTACACGGTGTACCGCAAACTTACCACTTATTGCACCATACTATCATTGAAAGTTTCAACCCATATTTCAGTGATCTCAGTTTCAGAATTGTCACTGTACTGCTCTCATATTTTGAGCTAGACACACTATCATTTCTATCACAAAGGCCTCCTTCAGTGGCGATAGAAAATTGTGCTAGCTATGTTGTTCAAATAATCCATCATTGGGCAGTTGCTTTGCACAATAACGTACACAATTGCTGAAGGGGGCCCTGTGAATACAGTGATCACATGCCCAGAATTCATCTTGCCTGCATGTATCTCATTTCACAGATATTGGCAGGGAAATAATGTTGCAACCTGACGCCACTTTTTTCTTCACACATGTATATCATCTCAGTGAAGGTCATTCATTGCAAAAATGATAATAGACATGAATCTGGGACTGAGAAACATTTCCAATTTTCTTAGGAAATACTTAGAAAATATTTCTTGACTCTCCATAGACTTTGTATAGGGTCATTCCATGCCAACTCAACAAATGGTGCACACCATCACCTCTTGGATTTTTTTTCTTTTTTGGTGTACTGAAAGATACTTAGGAGAAATGCAAATTCTGAAAATTTGGGGTCTCTACGACTTTTCGTTCTTGCGCAACAGCATTTTGAAATTTGAGGTGGGCGGGGCCAAAAGTGCGTCGCGTCATGAAATTCAATGTTTAAAGGGCCATATATTTAAAACTATACCACCCAGACATTTGAAACTTGGTAATCTGGGCTATTTGTTGCTGTAGATTTCAAATATTTAAACAGAAAGAAAGTAGCTTGTTTCATTTTTAAGTTAGAGGGGCCCCAAAATGGCCCAAAACTCATCTGGACCAATGTTCGGGGGGTGTAAGTCAAAAATTGAAAAAGTTTTTTCCACCAAATTTTTTGCCTGTAATAGCCCCCAATTGAAACTACTTTCATGTAAAATCTTACACTTATATTAACTTCATTGAATGAGATATAGCCCTTGCAAAAAGCAAATTGTTTATTTTTACGATAACTTGACCCCCCCCAAAAACCAACGTCAGACATTCCGCACCAAATTTTGCTTCACATATGTTTGAGGTTGGTCCTTAGTGAAGTCCTCTGAAAAGTTTCATGTTGGTGTCTAAATGTCTTCAGTGGATAGTTGGGCTTTATAAAGAGTCTATATCTTATGATGCTGCAGGTTCCTTAACATACATACATGTACATGTACATGTACTTGTATTTTACGGAACCAGCACAACAAAATCCCCCGACTGTTGAAAGACTTGGGTCAAGACTACCCATTTCCTGCTCAATAAACAGTTGCTTGTAGACCTACATGTGCATTATATGCAAATTAGGTTAAATGACTTGAGAGTCTTATTCTTTCCATGTGTTCATCACACAGCATGCATGTCATGTATGTAGTAATTAACCTGTTCTCACTTGCACAGCATAGTATAGCACTAGCCTGAACCAAAGAGAAATGATTCAGTTTGAGTAAAGGGTCTATGGTTTTAACCTGATTGATCTTAGTTTTCATTATGGATAAGGGGAAACCTAGTTCATCCAAGGAGTTGCATGTATGGCATGCTCAAACTCATCATGCACCAATTGTAGCAGCTGACCTCAACCCAGGAAAATATGTTTGTGTGGTCTATGCATGATGTTTGGTACATTGCTATTGTAGAAGATGTATCACAACTTCATGAGGATGTGTATGTCCGCTTCATGTACAGGACGGAAACAACAAATACTCTCTATTGGCCACAAAGAGAGGATAAATGTAACATTCCATTTGTTGATGTGTTGTGTTGCGTACCAACACCAGAACTTCTACATAGCGGTGGAAGGCAATACAACCTTAGTGTCAGCCAGCCATTATGCAACTCACTCAACTTCATCAAAACTACATCACAAGGAATGCATAATTTCACCTGTGAAACTGTAAACAATTATATCAACTGATCAAAAGTCTACATGTATAAATGTAAGCTAAGTTTCATACCCAACTTGTTCTTTATGTACCGACTGCTGTTATTCTAGGTACCGGTACGTGTACTTGTATGTTACGGAACCTGCAGCATCATAAGATATAGACTCTTTATAAAGCCCAACTATCCACTGAAGACATTTAGACACCAACATGAAACTTTTCAGAGGACTTCACTAAGGACCAACCTCAAACATATGTGAAGCAAAATTTGGTGCGGAATGTCTGACGTTGGTTTTTGGGGGGGTCAAGTTATCGTAAAAATAAACAATTTGCTTTTTGCAAGGGCTATATCTCATTCAATGAAGTTAATATAAGTGAAAGATTTTACATGAAAGTAGTTTCAATTGGGGGCTATTACAGGCAAAAAATTTGGTGAAAAAAATATTTTCAATTTTTGACTTACACCCCCCCGAACATTGGTCCAGATGAGTTTTGGGCCATTTTGGGGCCCCTCTAACTTAAAAATGAAACAAGCTACTTTCTTTCTGTTTAAATATTTGAAATCTACAGCAACAAATAGCCCAGATTACCAAGTTTCAAATGTCTGGGTGGTATAGTTTTAAATATATGGCCCTTTAAACATTGAATTTCATGACGCGACGCACTTTTGGCCCCGCCCACCTCAAATTTCAAAATGCTGTTGCGCAAGAACGAAAAGTCCTAGAGACCCCAAATTTTCAGAATTTGCATTTCTCCTAAGTATCTTTCAGTACACCGAAAAAGAAAAAAAATCCAAGAGGTGATGGTGTGCACCATTTGTTGAGTTGGCATGGAATGACCCTATACAACCTTGGAAGTGGTGTCAGGTTGCAACATTTCTTTCCATTGGCAATTACCAATGGTATTGATAAGTAATATCTTTTAATTTTACCAAACCTTATTTCAGGGACTATGCATTGCCGAAAGCGCGTGACGCTCATGTGAAGACACATCTGTACCTTGCATATCTTGTGTGGACATTCCTTTGTTTTTCGCGCAGTTAAGAAAAGAAAAAAATCAGTTTACTTGCACTGTGAACACTCTTTTAACCCAAATTTTGTTATAAATCATGATTTCCTTTGAGTGTTCGTCTTCATTTCGCAACGGATAACCCTAAGCCCAAAATGCCTCTAAAACTGTTTTTCAGAGGGGGGGGGGGGGACCCTTGTGTGGACGTGGGCAAATCCACACGTCTTCACTACCTGCACTGTGTGGACATCTTTTGTTCAGAGGTCCACACAATGACAACACAGCCTGTCCACCATGGCCAGGCGTTCAACTTGGAAAGAACGTTGCAACCTGACGCTACTTCAGCGGTAGTGTACAAAGTCTATGGAGAGTTAAGATAATTTTCTAAGCATTTCCTAACAAAATTGGAAATATTTCTCAGTCCCAGATTCATGTCTTATCATCATTTTTGCAATAATTGACCTTCAGTGAGATGATATAGGAAGAAAAAAAGCAGCGTCACTGGTTGCAACATTCTTTCCAGCAATTTTCCTCGGATCAGCTGATTTCCTTGTTTTTCACTTCACACTTGTGCCTTTAAAAATTGAAAAACCCTGTCAAAAAGCTTGTAAAGCTTGGAGTTCCATTGTTTCTTGTTTCTTCCAAGTTGCTTGCCTTCATGGCATAGCGCAACACTTGTGCTAGTGTGTCACTACACAGCAGTGAAACCATGCAGAGTTTTGATACCGCCACTATACATGTTAGGCCAAAACAAAAAATTAAAATTGACGCGCGCACTGACCAGAGGGTCAGCGCGCGCGTCGATTTTAATCATGCGCGTCAATCTTTTTTTTTCCCAAAATGTTCCGCGGTAGCTCCAACAGTGCCCTCTATTTCCGCACCTCCTCAATTTTTTTTACCAAAGAGCACCAAGGAATGGGAAATTGCACTAAGGCAAATGATCGAGAGCACCAAGGCAAATTATGGAGGACACCAATGTACATGAGGACACCAAATAGCAAAATAGTACCCCACCTTGTCTGTACAAAACAAGCTTGAAGAAAAGAAAAAAAGCCCCCCAAAAAAAAAAAAGCTGCGTCCCCGCGTCAATTCCGGAACTTTGGTCTGACCAGAGACCGAATATATTTTTTTTTGGCCTTATTCAATTTATTATTTTTTAAAAACTTGTGGTTATTAATAGCAAGCCGGACGGGGCCCCAAAGACGACTCCACCACCCACAGTCCCAGAGACACGGAGACCTCCCGCAAGACTTACTACAAGGAGTTCAAGAAGGTTTTAGAGGCATCTGATGTCGTCATACAGGTCCTTGATGCAAGGGATCCTCTAGGCTCTCGCTGCCCTCAGCTGGAGCAAGCAGTCCTGTCGGCCGGAGTCAACAAGAAAATGGTTCTCCTCCTCAATAAAATCGGTAAAATTAGTCTCTGCATCATCAAATAAACCACAATTGGAAAGTGACTAGATGCATAAATGATGGTTATAGAATTGAACACAGAAATGTACTGAACAGGGTTTGAACCTGCGACCTCCGGATAACCACGCCAGTGCTCTACCAACTGAGCTATCCAGCCCTATGTTGGCGGCTCCCCATTTAGTCAATGTCCTTGTTCAAGGGCACTAGTCAGAATCAATCATACTCGGGGATCACGCCCAAAGTCAAGATGCTAGCAACCTTACCAGTGAGAAAACCTGAGAAATAGCAAACAAACTACTAATCGTCAAATAAAGCACTAGGGAAAACCAACTAGGTCAGCACAGTTATGGTGTTGCTAAGGTCAGAGTTTCAAATCTCGTTTTAGTCAGTTTTTTAGTCAACTATATAATAATTAGTTGAGTTTTAAGTCTGCATACATCTTCATAGTTTTGTAATCAAGTACATCACAAGTGAGTCACAAGTTGATCAGCTCTCTTGGGTCAAGAGTCACAAGGTGATTCGCTCTCTTGGGTCAAGAGTCACAAGATGATAGCTCTCTCGGGTAAAGAGTCACAAATTGATCGACTCTCTCGGGTCAAGAGACACAAGTTGATCAGCTCTCTCGGGTCAAGAGTCACAAGTTGATCAGCTCTCTCAGGTCAAGAGTCACAAGTTGATCAGCTCTCTCAGGTCAACAGTCACAAGTTAATCAGCTCTCTCAGGTCAAGAGTCACAAGTTGATCAGCTCTCTCAGGTCAACAGTCACAAGTTAATCAGCTCTGTCAGGTCAAGAGTCACACGTTGATCAGCTCTCTCAGGTCAAGAGTCACAAGTTGATCAGCTCTCTTAGGTCAAGTGTCACAAGTTGATCTGCTCTCTCAGGTCAAGAGCCACAAGTTGATCAGCTCTCTCGGGTCAAGCGTCACAAGTTGATCAGCTCCCTTGGGTCAAGAGTCACAAGTTGATCAGCTCTATCAGGGCAAGAGCCACAAGTTGATCAGCTCTCTCAGGTCAAGAGTCACAAGTTGATCAGCTCTCTCAGGTCAAGAGCCACAAGTTGATCAACTCTCTTGGGTCAAGAGTCACAAGTTAATCAGCTCTCTCAGGTCAAGAGTCACAAGTTGATCAGCTTTCTTGGGTCAAGAGTCACAAGTTGATCAGCTCTCTCAGGTCAGGAGTCACAAGTTGATCAGCTTTCTTGGGTCAAGAGTCACAAGTTGATCAGCTCTGTCAGGTCAAGAGTCACAAGTTGATCAGCTCTCTCAGGTCAGGAGTCACAAGTTGATCAGCTCTCTCAGGTCAAGAGTCACAAGTTGATCAGCTCTTTCGGGTCAAGCGTCACAAGTTGATCAGCTCTCTCTTAGGTCAGTTGTCACAAGTTGATCATCTCTTTTGGGTCAAGAGTCACAAGTTGATCAGCTCTCTCTTAGGTCAGTTGTCATAAGTTGATCAGCTCTTTTTGGTCAATAGTCATAAGTTGATCAGCTCTTTTTGGTCAAGAGTCACAAGTTGATCAGCTCTCACAGGTCAACTCTAAGGATGGGAATTCACTTTTTATTTGGACGTCTTGTATATTGTGATAGATAGAAGGAGGTCCTTTTAAGAGCTTTAAAAAGGGAAAATAAAAAAATAAGTTTTTATTGACAAACGCTTGCATGATTCTTTGCACCTTAAACACAAATAAACGAAACACTCGGAAAACTGGTATCATTTTCAGACATGTGACTTAAGTCGCACTTGGACCTGCTACACTGTACAAAGTCTGGTGTGGCTTGGAATTTCCGCGTTTTTTCTAAATTCCCAGTTTCATGCCTGTATCAAGTTTATTAGATTTGAAGATTTGACTTGGTTTATTTTCCAGATCTGGTACCAAGTGAGAATGTGGAGAAATGGCTGAAGCATCTCAGGAATGAGTTTCCCACGGTAGCATTCAAGGCGTCCACGCAGTTACAGAGACAAAACTTGGTAAGCAGAAATTTCCTGTTATCTGGACCCAATGTCATGGAGCTACCAGGTATACATTTTCTGTACACGGCCCCAGAATCTGGAACAAACTTCCAGAATACATTAGAGATACCACCTCACTGCATACATTCAAGGCACTCCTGAAAGCTCACCTGTTTCAGGAGGTGTACCATCAATAATTTTTCTTCTTTTTGGTGCCCCATCAGCGCCTTAGAGCAAACTTTTTGATTTTGGCGCTTTATAATTTTTTTTTTTTTTGATTGATTGATAGAAGGTTTTGCTTAACCAGTTTATATGCTAAGCAAAAATTAGCTGGGAACCAGTCGCAAGCAATGTACATTTTGGCTGGTAACCAGATTTTGCTTAGCAAATAATTTTGTTTATGCTTAGCATATTTTCATGCTTTAGGGCTCGGTGATGTTTGCCCAAGATGAAACTCGATGTATACTTGTAAGTGCGCTCAACACAAGAATTTTTACAGATAATTCAGGATTTCCGCGCACAAAGCTGGCCAACAGCCTTCGCTTGTGGTTTAAATAGAAGTTCTGTGACAGTTTACTTTCTTGATAACTCGAAATGCTCAGTTGAGAAAAGAAAGTAGGACTTGAAAATTGTGACTTTAACTCCTCACCATTTAGAGACACAAAAGAAGCGCTCTCTTAAGAAAGCCACACAGTGCCATTCAAACACCTACACCAACTCCAAACGTATCTACTGGACTAGGATTTAAACGAGTTATACATTCGCAGTGCTGTTGTCGGGCCCATCACAAGTCCTCACAAGTCCATCAATTGGGTGCTGTGGTCCAATGGTTACGGTGTTCGACTTGTGTACCATGGTACATGGGTTCGAATCCTGACCGTGGGCACATGGTGCTTGTGCTCCTGAGCAAGGCACTTTACCATTATTGCTTCGTCCTTCGGATGGAACGTAAAGCCGTAGGTCCCGTGTGTTGTGTAATGCACGTTAAAGAACCCAGTAACACTTATCGCTAAGAGAAGGGGTTTGCCCCGGTGTTTCTGGCAGTGGCTGCTTAAGCGCCGCAACACCTTGTAAACCATTATTAAGGTGCTACATAATGGTTCTCATATTTCTCATGTACTTCATTTACCTGTCTCCAATAATGGACATAATTTCCAGCGCCGTGAGTAGCTAATTGTTGGTAGATATGTGCGCTATAAGACTTCGGTATTAAGTCCTTCAATTCATAGTCAAGTCAAAAAGTTATTCACATCGATTGTAACAGTAGCATGTCCTTGTTTTTGTTCATCCCCTGCTTATACTGTGAGTGGACGTGTGAAAGTGTGCGATTGGGCTTGTGGTGGCTTGACCAAAACACTTTACATTGACATTCTACATGAAATTTTTAGTTGTGTCTGTTTTGGAATAAGAAAGCCATGAAATGCCAATCATCCTATCTGTGTTTAACACAACTTAAAATATATCCATTATTGTGATTATCTTCCAGGCTCAGAGCAAAGTGCCTATAACGCTCTCCACCAAGGACTTGCTGCAGTCGAGTCGTTGTCTCGGAGCTGAGACACTCATGAAGTTACTCAACAACTACTGCAGAAATGCTGACATCAAAATGGCCATCACTGTAGGAATTGTGGGTAAGTATCCTAATCAACGTTTCAGAGAGGTGTTCTTGAGATCGTAGTTAATATTTAAATTAAAGATGTGCTTTTTCCAAAGGGAAACACATGCCCAAAATATAAAAAATAGAGCATACAGGTTAAATTTTTGTGATGAGAAAAATAGAACAGGGACGTAAATCCTTCTGCGATTACCTGATTTCAGGTTTTTGTCAAATCTAAATAACATACAGTGGAACGTCACTATACCGAACACTGCTATACCGAAAATTTGGGTTTGCCGAACATCGTCCTTGGCTCTTGATTTTTGTGTACAAAATGTACCGAATATCACTGTTCAAAAAATGTCAATAGAAGAACGAAAAGTGGCTATTATTTCCCCAAGGAATAGAAGGGGAAAGCCACCCATTGCTTTAGGCACCGGTAGTAAGCTCACTATCTGTGTTATTACATTATTCAATAGTCAACACGTGTTCAAAGTCATCTTTCAGTAACTAGAAGTACCAGAGCGTGCAGGGTGAAGTTCTGAAGGGCGATTTATTGAAAAATGAGTACCGGAGCACCGGCAGCTTAAAACTGCTATAACAAACTATCGCTATTACGAACAATTTCTGTGGATCCTGTCATGTTCTTTATAGCAGCGTTCCACTGTATTGGCAAATTACATGTGTGTATACTTTTCCTTTATACATCAAATTTCAGGCAAAAATGTCAGGGTCCACTTACATCCCTGGATAGAATTAGTTAACGAGCACAGGACAGGTGATACACCTGTAACTCGTTTGATTCTCAAAGTGGATAGGGTGTCAAAGTACCTTGTGGATATCTGACATTTGATCTTATAAATTGATGTCCATGCAAGTTTGTACCTTTGAATGCTGTTGGTGAATCTGTGACCGGTTTTGCATTCTTTGAATTTTATTGTAGGATTTCCCAACGTGGGTAAGAGTAGCGTCATCAACAGTTTGAAGAGAGCCAAAGCATGTAGCGTGGGATCGCAGCCTGGAGTCACAAAGTGAGTCGCCAAAATTCTCCATTACCATACTTCTGTTGTTCGCAAGTTTTCTTTTTCATTAATTTGAGCAAAAATGTTCACCTCCAATTTACCACACGTGAACACCAAGCACCGAAAACTAGCGTGATTGCTAAGCAGCGTCACAGCATTTACAGTTGAGAAGGCATACCGGTGAAGGCAGGGTTTGTATAGTAGGCTGGTTCTCGTTACCCACATCATATTCTAGTCTGTGACAGGAGATGGGAACCAGTGTAGAAGTGTGACCTCTTAAATATACACAGGGTGAGTAAAAATAAAGGAAACCCTAATGGCAGGACAATATTTTTAAATAAGTTCTGCATGTAACACTTTCAAAATCTAGGATATGAAAGCCCAATTCATAAGCTTTCTTTTAGTACAAGAATCATCCAAATCACTCATGTACTTTTCAAGTTACGGGATTTTAAACACAACCACGGTTTTAAAGTTCTGTCCACGGATCACAAAAAAGGTAAGTGTTCTTTCAGCAAAACAAAAACAATTCTCATAATAAGGATGTATGTGAATTGAATCCTGTATCTTGAAAAGTACATGAGTGATTTGAATGATTCTTGTACTAAAAGAAAACTTACTAATTGGGCTTTCATATCCTAGATTTTGAAAGTGCTATATACAAAACTTCATTACAAAAATGGTCCTGCTATATGGGTTTCCCTTTTTTTTGGACTCACCCTGTACATTATTATCACCTGTTGATCCTAACTATACCAGATCATGTTTAAAGACAATAATACAGCAATGTTGTGTAATTCATGCTGGAAACCAGTTTAAGTGTGGTGCTGCCAGGTTGTATTCTACCATGTCACTAGGCCCAGCTAAGGCCCTAAAACACCTTGTTTATTATGTTTTTTGCTGATTAGCAGTGCAAAATTCCTGTGATATCCTTAAACATTTCCGAACCTTGCCGAACCGAACTGAACCCCAAACTGGAGGGTTGACTTACAGCACAAGTAATGGCATGTTCAGCCGACTGGCACAAAATAACACCTCGTCTTTAATTCAGTTTTCCTTTTTTCTCCCCAGATCTAAGCAAGAGGTGCAACTAGCCAAAAATATCAAGTTACTGGATAGTCCGGGCGTTGTCATGGCTACAACAAACAGTGAGGTTACCATGGTGTTGCGCAACTGCATCAAGGTAAAAATTGTATTCATTTAAATACATATAGTTCAAAACTGTTTATACCTTTACCTATATCGCACTGACAATCACAGCATAAATACCTTCCACGTATTTAGATACTTACAGTAGAATACCACTGCGACGTGCAGAGTCATACCAAACATTTTAAATACATAATGAATAGAAAGGTTTCACAAGCCAATGGATACGGTTAGCGCAGGACTTTGTGTGGTCTTGTGACCTTTTATGCAACTTCCTATCTGCTACGCATGTACATTGGACGGATATGTCGCGCACTACGTGTCAGTGTGAAACGTGTAGTAAATTGTCGATTTTTACCCTCTTCTGTGTAAATTTATTTCAACATGTATGGTTTTCTTTAAATAGGCTGAATTGCTGAACATTTTGTGTGCTATTTGTCTGTGTTTCGTAGAAGGATTAGCCGCACAAACTAGGCTTGCATTGGACATGTTGGAGACTATCGTTTTGGATTGCTGTGTTGTTCAGATGACTGTAAGCGTATGCGTACGCGTACATGATACGAAATAACGCAACGGCCGATAACGGTTATGGATAACTAAATGTATGCGCACACGTATCTGTTCAGATGCGAAACTTCTCTAATGACCACTGCTGCTAAACAAACGCTTCACCCTGGCGCTCCAGAGTTGCACCAAATAAAATTATTCTAAAAATTTAAATTCCGTTCTGCCAAGGGTTTATATATGTATAACCTCTCTAATTATGATTGAGTGTTTTTGATTTCAATCCTTTACAGATTGAGGCTCTCGATGATCCCATTTCTCCAGTTGAAGCAATCCTCAGAAGGTGCAACAAGCAACAGGTATGAACAAATCTTTGAAGAATGTCTTCCGTATTTTTTGCAAGGATCTTCAGTATCTATTGGCGATTGTGGCATAAAGGTTAGAGTTGTGACTCAAGATCAGAGGTCAGGGGTTCACATCCTGGCCATATGTTTTGTCCTTGGGCAAGCCACTTCACCTCCACTTGCCTCTCTCCTTAACGAGTATAAATGGGTACCAGCATTACCTGGGGAGTAATCTGCAACGGACTGGCATCCCATCCAGGGGAGTAGAAATATTCTCAGTCGTTTCATGCCACTGAAACCGGAGATAAACGCCGGCCTGATGAGCCATATTGGCCTGGAACAATATTTTTACTTTGCTTTAGTATCTGCCTTAAGGTAAGCTGCCATGAATACGAAAATAACAGCAGCAACCATCTGATAAGCAACATGAGTGTTGCTTTAACCCTAACTCCCTAGGCCTTTTTGCTAGGATGTAGCCTCAATCCTGCAAAATCCTCCAATTGGCCTCATGGAAAAATAGCATAGCCTCAATCCTGCAAATTCCTCCGTTATTTCTTGAATATGGTCCATGGAGGGTCGACCACTGCCTGAATCCTGCAAAATCCTCCGGCAATAACTGTCAGTAGGCTGAGGCAGAGGCAGTGACATCCTGGAGCAGTGCGGAGGATGTCAAGTATAATCATGGACTAAATTTATGCACGGCTGAGCATAAACAACACAAGGTCCGGCCCAAGACCTTGACACAGTGCGTCCTCCGAAATCAGCAACGCACCTTTGACATGTACCCTCAATCCTGCAAATTCCTCCACTTTGCAAAAAGGATTTTGGAGGATTCAGGGCGGTTAGGGTTAATATGATGCTGTCATTGACTCACCCCATTATGAGGTCTGTACCGACCAGCTTTTTATCCTTCAGTTGTTCCATGTAGATGATATTGGCATGCCTGGCTGACTGCCAGAAATTACAGAAGGGTGTTGCAAATCTTAACCTTACATGTCAATGATGTCACAAAGTGTAAATTTGACAGGTGACCATTGTATCCAATACGCGATGTAAAAATTCAATTTACTTAGAATCCTGATGATTATTTTCAATGCTTGCGCAGATCATGTTGCACTACACGATTCCAGACTTCAACGACGTGAATGAATTCCTGTCCCTTCTGGCCAAACGGCAAGGGAAACTGAAGAAAGGCGGAGTGCCAGACGTGGGCAAGGCAGCTAGGGGGACGCTCATGGACTGGAATAGGTCAGTGAGAGTCCTGTAAGATTGAGTCAATCCTATAGGCTTGCGTGACTACATGTCAATCAGACACCTAACCGGCTTTTAAACATCACGTTTATAACTGCTCTTTCACACTATTGGGCCATTCTTTGGTCATTGTGTGACATAAAATTGGGCTCGTCTGATTTTTTAAGCTTTACACTTTGTTAACTACTTCTGATATATTACTCTCACTGATTCATCAGGTTAGTACTTTTTACCCCCTACCTCAGAGTATGGTTTCTACTTTCACAAAATGGGTCGAACTTTTAGGAGGGGTCATCAAAGTTTGGTCACGTGTGTGACATCAGACGAAAAAATGTTATCGGGCCCATACTGGAAATTCATGATTTTTTCCAAAGTTCTAAGGACACACGCACCCACACTTATTTTGGAGTAAGACTAGTCCTCTGTGATTTACAGATTGCATAAACAATGTACACCCTCTGCTTTAGTTTTACTAAATGGGAACTGTTCTGTGGTCACGTGTGTGACATTTTGCTCGGTCACATGTGTGACATTTTGTTATTAAATTTATTCTAATTTATGCACGGAAAGACCAACTTATGAAACATCTTATGAAATTTGCATTTTTACTTACTTTCAGCACTTAAGTGAACAATAATCATTTGTATTTAATACATCACACAAAAACTCCCCCCCCCTCAAAAAAATATTATTTTCAATTTCTGAAGAATCGCCCTATTGACCCTTTTTCATACCTTTTCAGTCAAAAGCATAAAAAATAAATGAGTTTACAAACTTGCAATTTTTTTTTTTTGTTCTACCATTTTACTTTGTGTTCTGAGCATTTCTGTAGTGCATGTGTTGTGTGCGGTTTATTCAGCACGGATCTCCTTATATAACACACACGCGGTTGTTGTCCACACTGTGCGGAGTGTACTACATGCACGTGGCTCGGAGTGCAGGATCTCGTGCCTGGTCTTAAACACTGCCATTTAAAAACAGTGTTTAAACGACAATTTAATTAATTTGTTTTATTTAATTCTTATTTTAACTGGGTGGCCCATTCAGTGTAGTCCACTGATCTCCCATAGGGCCCAGTATTAAGAGAAGACAATGTGAAGAAATTACAGTTTTAGAGGTGGGAGGAAAACCCCAGAAGAATATTCTGAGAAAACCCAGGGAATCAGGTAGGGACTGAAAACCCAATCCGCATATTGGCCCAGGCAGGAATCGAACCTGTGTCACGGCAGTGGAAAGCCCGGTTCATACTTCACGCGAAAGCTAGTGCGAAGCGAAATTCATGTCGTCAACAATGGTGGACGCGCTTCGAATGTATTGTTAGACGTCACGAATTTCGCTTCGCTTTCGCTTTCGCGTGAAGTATGAACCGGGCTGAAGGCGAGGAAAGTACCGCGACACCAACCCGACTCCTGACAGCTTCGCCAACCTGACTCCACTTAATTCAAAACAACCCACTCGGAAGGACTTGTGATCAATAGGAATGGGTAAACTGGTCCAGGTATTGAAATAAAAATTATTTTCTTTAATTTGTCATGGAATTGTTTGTTTTGACAGTGGACGGATATCATTCTACACGCATCCCCCAGAGCAGCACAGTCTACCCGCCCACATTGATGCTAAGATCATATCTGAGATGGGGAGAGCGTTTGACATCGGGTCCCTGGAGCAGGATGACAAGCAGACATTGGGAGGTAGAGCATTTCCTTTCGCTGCTAGCAGTGTTGTCCTTTCACAATAGACCCCTCTCATAGACAGCCATCTTTGTAAGAAAATTACAACTGCCAGTTCAATGCCATCAGGTATGTGTGCACGCAGTGTGCAAAAGGTTCTAAACACGCGCTCATGTTGCATTAAAACTACCCATGCATCAGAAATCTTTTCAAATTTGTTGCTACAGCGGTTTTCTTCCTCGAAACTATTTAACCTAGGCCGACATTCGTCTTTCACGGCAATGAGATATACGATATACAAAAATTAACGCATGCATTAATGAGACGACCCTCAGACCGATCTTAAGTTAAGACGAGTTCGGCCACGTTGCTCAGGAAGTTAGGGCGTGTTGAATGCCTTTTTAAGTTTGGTGAAATCAACCGTGGGAGAGTCGCGAGTTAAGACAAGTTAACCTTCCTAAGACGCATCTTAGCATTTTGTGAAATCAGCCCCAGGACCTGCTGCATGGACCAAGACTTCCCCTTTAACTCTTTCAGTGCCCGCGACATTTCAAAAGTTTAACCCTAAAGTGCCCAACTTCGAGCTTTTTCTTTAATTATTCAAAATTCTATTAAAAAAAAAGTAAATAAGTTGTAATCACCAAACTTGTTGTATCTTGCTCTCTGGTATTTTCTTGTTACCTTCAAAAGTCAATATTAGTCATGCACCTAGTAATAAACCCTGAAACACTCTCCTGAACACAGGGGAATTCCGCACTTTTGCAGAATATACGTGTGTCGCGTCAGATACCCCTCCTCATACAAACTCTGTTCATTATCATAAATATTGTCATGATTGTCACTTTTAGCACGATCAGTATCATTTGTATCGGCATCCCAATTTTCGTCTTCTGACTCGCCATCCAGTTCTGAAATATCCATGGATTATTCTGAATCAGAAAAGTAATCCCTTACCCTGTCCAAATCGGCGAAAAAATACACTGATTTTCTCTGGAGATAACACGCGAGCTCGGTTGATGGGCGCCACCATTTTGTCAACAAATCGAAACTCAGTGTGACTCCCTCTCACAAGAACTTGAATATAAAAATAAATACAGGTCGTACATGCATGAAAATGGTGCCATTAGAAAGAGCGAGAGCGCCCCCTTTTGATAACATGTTTACTCTACCTCGTACATGTACGAGGTTTGGCGATTTTCAGCACGAACATTACCTGGTACATGTACGAGGTTGGCGCTTTTGTACTAACAAATATACCTCGTACATGTATGAGGTTTGGCGATTTTCAGCACGAACATTACCTCGTACATGTACGAGGTTGGCGCTTTTGTACTAACAAATATACCTCGTACGTGTACGAGGTTGGCGCTTTTGTACTAACAAATATACCTCGTACATGTACGAGGTTTGGCGATTTTCAGCACGAACATTACCTCGCACATGTACGAGGTTGGCGCTTTTGTACTAACAAATATACCTCGTACATGTACGAGGTTGGCGCTTTTGTACTAACAAATATACCTCGTACATGAACGAGTTTGGCACTGAAAGAGTTAAAAGATTGAGTCAAGTGACAGAAGATTACGACATTTTATTTTGAATTTATCAGCTCAATTCTATTGTGGCCAGTGGCAATTCATCGGACACAATCCTCGTACATTACTGCACAGCACAACTTCTTTTCTTTGCTTTTTCCCCCCATTACCCTGGATAGTGTTACCACCAGTGCGACCCAGCAACACGATACTAGTGGAGTCTGCGGGACTGACAATGGGCGTGACCGATGAGGAGATGGGGAGCAGTACAGATATGGAGGCGGAGAAAGATGACAGCGACATTGATGATGAGGGAGATGATGATGACGATGACGAGAAGGCGGAGTTTCAGGAGGGGGAGGACTGGGAAGACATGGAAGATGTTGAGGACAAGCAGACGGAAGACGCACAGGTGATGATAGTGATGTTTACGAAATCTTGGCTTTATCTACAGATTTGGCTCTTAATTTCATTGAGAAACCTTCATGGTTCAAACCTAGATGGAACTACTCTCTAAATTTAAGGATCCTGAACTAGAACTCGGACCAGTGTTGCGGTAGAGATCCCAAAGTCATGGGCCTCAACAATTTTCTGAGGCCAGTACCAGACGTGAAGCCTAACCTGGAGATGAATCCTAGATTTTGACAACTTCCAACATTATCGGCTGCGTGCAGCAGAAGTAGAGGGCGCTCTGAAGTCTACTGAGGAGAGCATTAAAGGGTCCATTAAATGAATTTTTCTGAGGATTTTTATGACTAAAGTACATTAAAAACAGCTTTCTTGCCATGTAATTATGACTTTCCCACCTCCTTTGTAGCAGTAAAAGGGAGAAATTTCAACATTTTAGTTTTTATGCTCATGAGCCAAAGCGCGATGTCATTCAAGGCAGAACAGTAGTGTCTCCATATCTTTGTGTACAAATATATATCAAACTTTTCTTCGTTTTCTTGGAGTAAGTTCCACTTTTTACTTGTTTATCATTTTAACAACTTGTTTGGACAATAGTAGTGGCCAATATTTCTTCAAAATGTTCTTTGTGGGTACTTTTGAAGGACTAGTTTTTTGTACTGTTCATATATGCACTTTTGACAAGGAGAACCTTGTGTGATAAAAGCAAAATAGCGCCCTCTTGCATGTATTGAAGAAAGGATTTGCTAATAATTGAAAAACTACCACTTTCTTGTCACTTCCACACAAAAAAAGAATTAAGATCTTGTATGTTTTGTTGCAACACATACAAATGTGCATGAAAACAAGATGAGCTGAATGTTTCCTTTAAGATTCATTCTTGGATTTGTTGACAAGAGCAATTATCTTCACAAGCCTCTTGATGCATTGCCACAGCAACCTGATGAGCCCTTAGGGAATCCCATATTTGAAGCTTCGCAAGGACCGAAGCTACCTAACAGAAACAGAACTTTGAATCAAAAGAAAATGACAAAAGCAAGCTATTGCATTGTACCAAAGAATGTGACTTGAAATAACCAACTAGTGGAAAATTTAGGCAGTCACTGTACCAAAGTCATATAAAAGCCCAAGTCTTAAGGGACCGTGACCATTCAGCCCTGGTATGAAAAGGGCCCCCCGGTACCCCGTCCGGTCCAAAGCCAGTCCGGTCTTCAGCCCAGTCTCGTCTGGTACATGGTCCTGTCTGAGCAGAAATTTTGAAGTCAGTCAGGCGCATCACTTTATTGCCCTTCAGAGAACGTCCAAAGCAGAACAATAGCAGACTTACCGGATTAAAGATACAATCCTTCCATTACACCTTGGTAATTTATGGTCCCATTGTGCGCGAAACCACATGGCAGGGGTTTTGATCTGTGCCGACAAAAGTGTTCTATTGTTTGGCGCTGAGAGATTAAAACCACAAGCGGGTTTCTTCTGGGATATATTACATGTGTCAATACTTGCAAACAATAGACACCAGGGTAGAGGAGTTCCTGATTAGCAACTGGACCAGCTCCTGGGCTGGAAGCTGGGACGGTACAAGAGGACTTCTTGGGAGGGGATGAGCTTACCGGGGGGCCCTTTTTATACCGGGGCTGAATGGTCACAGGCCCTAATGTTAAGAGCCCGTGCTTTTAAGTCTAACTGAACTTACTTTTTCCAGGGCCCAATTTTTTGGCTCTGCTTACAGTTAGCGAAAAAAATCCCTGCTTAATGCATAGCTGCCAACTAGTACGATTTTTTCGTAATTATTACGAATTGTTTGTTAAATTACGAAAATACGATTTGCCACTAAAACATTACGAATTTCCCATTTTCTACCTAACGAAAAAAAAATACTTGTAAAGTATCGTTTTTGACCAAAAACTTCTGGTGAAATGTCGCGATAATGGATGGACTGGTGACAAGTCTATTAAGAATGCAGTCAAGCACCTGATAGACATCAATGCAGTGTGCGCAGTGGAGTACTTGAGGACCAGACTACAAATATTTTTCAATGGTGTGTCATTTGTGTGCATCTCGTGGATGTGTGGTTGTGTGTACTGTATGTGAGTACTTTTCAGTGACGATCGTGAGCACATTTGGTCGCTTATTGCCGGGATGAGACCCATCAGTGCGAGATTTTAATCATGGAATTTAATAAGAGTATGGTTGGAATAATTGCTAATAGAGTTTGAGTTTGTCACAACGTCCAGAAAAGATAAATCAGCATGCGTTTGCAAGGTATGTTGGCGGGATATTTCTATTGCATACGGTGGCCCTAAATCATTGTTGTGTAAAAACATGATACGAACTCGAAACTCCACATCGATAGCATGCATCTTAAAAAAAATATGCGCACATGTTATTGTTGTTATTATTTATTTGACTTCAACAAACAAATACAGACATTAAAACAAAATTAATTTTAATTTTTTTTTTTTTTTTTTTTTTAAATTATCTTTTGGCCTACAGTACATTATTATTCACAACAAGAAGGGTATGCATATGTATGTGTACATGTAAACCATGTACCTGTACTCGATGTTGGTAAAGCTTTTGATAAAACGAGAAGTTGAAAATGACCGCGCGGGTTGATTACTAATTGGGATTTTGAAAAGTTGGCAGCTATGTTAATGTAGCAAAAAATTCCGTGTTTATTATAAGCACATTTCATGCGTCAGCGAAGAATTTTGGCTTGTGCGCATGAGTACATCCCGTAACTAAGGATTCTGTGCTTACAGGGTTAGCACAGAATTTTTCTGCTTGCACGGTTAGCACAAAATTGTGATTGTAAGCACAAAATTCTGTGGTTAGCAGAGCAAGAAATTGGGCTCAGATCACACTAGAGTTTACAGAAGCCATTTCAAGCTTAACAGATGACAATTGCACTCTCAGCCATCCCCACCACGCCGTTGTTTTATTGGGAAAACAGTTTCAATGCTCTAGGTTCTAGGTTGGTTCGTCTCCTAAATACTCGTACTCCACGTAGGAGTTTATACAGGAGACCAGAAACATCGGGGCAAACCCCTTCTCTTTAGCGATAAGTGTCACTGGGTTCTTTTATGTGCATAGGATTACACAACACATGGGACCTACGGCTTTACGTCCCATCCGAAGGACGAAGCAATAATGGTTAAGTGCCTTGCTCAAGGGCACAACTGTCCACCCGGCGGGCTCGAACCCACGCCACTGTTGCCTCTGAAACACCAGGGCACGAGTCCGGTGTTCTTTACAGCTAGGCCATGACACTCCACCTAATAAATAATAAAATGAAACGTGAAGTCACAACCCCAAGCAATTTCAAAAGCCTGACCCCCACACGTACTTTGCTTTTTTCTTTTTATACAGTTGGGCAATGTGTCAGTCTCGCTGAAGTCCAAGACGTCCAATCAGACACCAAGCAAGAGTGCTGTGTCAAAGGTCACAAGGTCAACCAGGTCAACTGTTACTCCCAGCAAACCTCAGAAGACAGCGACTCTTGGCAATGATCAACAGAACAAATCCAAGAAGAAGGAATTCAAGCAGATACTCAAGAAAAGAAAACGATCCGGTGAGTAATAAAACTTTCTTTAAAGCTATTCTTTCAATTATTGCGTCGGGTAATTTTAAGGTCAAGGAACCAGTCTGGCTGGCTTGTACCTGTGCACAGATGTGTAACTGATTGCAACAAAATGTGGACCAACTAAATGTGATAAATTGGGGACAGTATTTGAAAAAAAAATTTGCAGCGATGGTCGGCTGACCATCGTAGGAAATTAATATAACAATTCCACCTTTCTTGAAAATGTCAGCACACCAGGTGCCATGATTTTACAGGTGCTTTAAACTGTCATTCAATCAAAGTCAAGTAAGGTATTTCATAATAATTTGGTAGTTTTGTTTTGTGATGTTTGCAAATGTTGTATATTGCGTTTAAGCACCTGATTGAGATTGGCCCGAGTTCAGTAGTTCACATCGTTGAGTTTGGCTAATTTCTCTTATTTTCTCAACAGATAAACTGGCTACAAATCTCTCCAATGAACTCACTCAGGCTATGGACTTTCTTGGTAGCGCCAGCGACAAGGGTGACGAGCTCTACGACTTCAATGAAGATTTTGTGTAGATGACAGGCCGACTACTCAGCCCAGTCAGCCTCACATTTTTACAAATCAATGACTCATTGATGATTTCATATGATTTTAAATGATTTCTCTGTTAACCCTTTCCTTACGATGGGCGACTTTTGCGACAAGAACTACCCCCCTGCTGATTCCCATGGGCAACTTTAGTCGACCAGGAAACCACACACAGAACACACTCAACACAGATATATTTACTACTTTTCAGAAAGGTGGCATGTTGATATGTTTGGCCGCCCAAACTTTACACGGATCACAAAAAAGTTCAGTGTTCTTTCAGCAAAACGAAAACAAATCACATAAGGATGTGTGTGTGAACTGTTTTCGGTTTGCTGAAAGAACAGACACATTTTTTGTGATCCGTGGACAGAACTTTAAATCGGTGGTTGTGTTTAAAACTCCGTAACTTGAAAAGTACATGAGTGATTTTAATGATTCTTGTACTAAAAGAAGGCTTATGAATTGGGCTTTTATATCCTAGGTTTTGAAAGTGCTACATGCAGAACTTCACTAAAACAATGGTCCCGACATTTGGGTTTCGTTTTTTTTTTTTTTACTCACCCTGTACACTTGTTGCCTACTGTGGCAGGGTCCATAGTGTTTTGTACGCCCGAGGGTGCCATTTACCCCCCCCCCCCCCCCGGGGGTAAAAAAACCATGAACTCTGTCACAGCAGGCAACTATTGTTTTGTTATACCACGGTAATAGATTACTGTGGGTCTCTTCCTGTTGCACTACAGACTTGGTAAACTTTTCGCACAGAATTTTCCATTTTTCTTTGTACGGATGCTGTCCTGTTCAAAAATCAAATTTCTGATCTTGTCTCTGGAACGAGAGAGAAACCTCTTCTTTGGAGGCGACCTGTTGTCATCTGCCGACATTATTACGGTGAAATTACGGTGAATTTTGCACAGTTAAAAAAAGCAGACGAACAGTGACGCATGATGTAACTAACAATGGCGGTCATAGCAGAAATAGTGCTTCACTGTCCCCCATGGCACATCTCAAAAAAACATACATCCATTTACGTAGTACCAGCGTACTACAACCTCGAACCTGAGGTCACACGCCTATAATACAACGCGGTGGAAACAACATTTTCAACAACGGGGAAGAAAAGGGTAATGTACCCTGTGGGGTACATCACTCATGTACCACGCGTGCACGGCCTACATCGCTGTACATGCGTGTTTGTGGCATGAAACATGATCGATGATGGACCAATAAAAATTCACAATCTATTACAAAGGTATAACAACAATTTTGTTCTGAACTAATTGCATAGGCCTTGCGCATTTTCCATAAAGATGTTTTCACATAGATATTCAATTGTTCACCTGTTGAGTACAAAATTAATGATGGGTACATTTTGATTTTCAAATTAGTTTTACAGACTTTTGCATAATCAGTTTCCAAAAATAGTTGGATATTTTATTGGACATTCTCTTAAGAATGTTTCCAAATTCAAATAAATTACAAAACTTAATTTCCTAATTTTAATCAGTAATTTTCCTAGCTGTCTCCAACAGTTATTTAAATAACATATTTTTTTTTTGGTTTCCAAAATAAGTAGCGTAAACAATCTTGTTTAATCATGAAACCAATCTAATAAATACTAGATTGCATCTGTGGAAATAATCTGCTTCAGTGAAATGGTTTTCTACACTTTTATATCCCCCCCCCCAGAAAAAAATGAGAATGGCAAATGTTTGAATTTGGGTCCCTAAATGCTACAAAGAAATGTATGAATGAATCCGATTGGATCACATAAACGAAGCGTTCTGCACAAACATTTCATTGATTGAGCTAAAACGGGTGAAGGGTAAATGAACGTACATGTTGCGGTGCGATGTGTCCCTTTTTGGCATGCGAGATAAGCTAAGCTATGCTGCTGCGACCACCAAAGGCGAATAATTGAGTTGGGCGACGATAGGCCCCGTGTCGTGCCAAAAACCGTCCGGTGCCAAATAGTGTCCGCTAATTAGCATAATGCGATCTGATTGGTCATGCGTCACATTGTTTACGGACGCTTGCCAAATAGTGTCCGCGCTTAGCGTGCATCCTATTGCGTGCCTTGTCGAGCTGTCAATACATCGTATAGAAAAAATCTCTTTTCACCTGAATTTGCTTTTTACAATCTGTTTTAACGTTTTCCTTGTTATCTGGATAACTATTTGACTGGGTTTCCCTAATACTAATAATGCAAAATGTTTGTGTGTTTTTTTGCGTCAGTTCACCTGATTGGCATGCAGTACGTACGTAGGCCTATATCGCCGTGTGAAGTGTGTGTAGTACACGTACTGTGCTGCGTGTAGCATTATAACCAAAGTTATATTTTACGGTTTCTCCCACCTATACTGTCCGATTTTTCCTGCCAAATATTGTCCGATTTTTCCTGCCAAACTGTCCGATTCCTCCTGCCAAATATTGTCCGATTCCCCCTGCCAAATACTGTCCAATTTTTCCTGCCAAATACTGTCCGATTTTTCCTGCTAAACAGTGTCCGATTCCCCCTGCCAAATAGTGTCCGATTTCCCTGCCGGCGAAAAAAATGTCCGATTTTTCTTACTAAATACTGTCCGATTCCCCCTGCCAAATATTGTCTGATTCCCCCGCCACTGAATATTGTCCAATTTTTCCTGCCAACAAATACTGTCCGATTCCCCGCCCTGCCAAATATTGTCCGATTCCCCCTTGCAAAATACTGTCCGATTTTTCCTGCAAATACTGTCCGATTTTTCCAGCTTAATACTGTCTGGCACTGGACGTACGTACGTGCGCCCTTGTTCTCGCTCGATCGACGGCGCCCGGACAATATTTGGCACCGGACACTATTTGGCATGTATTACATGCCAAATAGTGTCTGGCGCCTACCGCGCATGCTCAGCGGACACTATTTGGCACCGGACGATTTTTGGCCTGAACCAACCTCGTCCCCAGTATCGTTTCGGTTTTGCGGTAACACCATGTGGTAATAACTACTGCTTAGAAGATATTAGTTCTGAGAAGAACTTGTCCTGCTTATTATCAACTTGCTAAGTAGTTTTCTCAGAACTAATATCTTCTAAGCAGTAGTTATTACCACATGGTGTTACCGCAAAACCGAAACGATACCGATACCCCACCATGCAAAGCCTCAAATCTCGTCCCCAGTGCTTACTTTATTTCCAACCGCGTTTCCAATAGTAAACCCTGGATAGGAAACTTTCTTCCTGTATCCTGATTGGATACCGCAATTGGCTAGTAATGGATTTGTATCGTGTACTTGGTGCTATATATTCACAACGTGCAGTACGTGTTTTCGCGATCATTCGTCCACGCCTTCTCGAAAATACTAATTTCCTTTCCAATTTGCTCATATTAATATGAAATATGATACTGCATGTTGTATCGATAAGATCGTAACAGTTTGATTTCAAAAATCGTGTTTTCGTAACTCACGCCGTGCTCGCGCTGCTACGAATTGACTCTGTTTTTACCCCAGACACCGCATACAAAAACAAACGCTAATGTGTAACGCATATCCAGGCACCAGACTGTTCCTCATTTGCATACGTGTGCAAAAATCTTGCACATGCAAATGATCCAATATCAGGGTGAGAGGGCCGGTAGTGGTGGGCGCGTACTGCTCGACACCCTGGGGACGAGGTTGGCCCTGAACCTGCTCGCATGAGGATGTGCGCATGCGTGTGAACCATTTGCTGAGGTATGTTACCAATCGTACGCCAAATAAGGCATTCCTGCAAATCTGTTAGTGGAAAATGGAAGCATTTAGGGACATCCAGAAAAATGGGGGATTGGGAGACTTTAGGAGACAGTAAAAAAAAAAATACTATGCTCCTATTAATTGAGTTTATAATAATTTAGTGTTCTGTGGTTATAAAGTTCCCTCACTGTTCTAATAGGTACAAGGTAACAGATCAATAAAGCTAGCACTTTATATGCTACCCCAGCCCAATAATATTTTCGTCCGTTTGAATGTGACGTCACAATATACTGCACATGCGCAGTACACTCACATGTTCGAGGGTGCACGAGAACTGAAAATATAATTAGAGCTATGTCACCGATGCTGCTTCGTTTTTATTTATGGGCACTTGGCATTTATGACCCGGACGTTTGGAGCCTATTCTAAACGTCATTAAGTTTCTATAGCCCTACAAAACTACATATTTCCTTTGGTTCATCATACAGGTCCAAAAGTTTAGTCTATTGGTTATGCTCTTGAAAAGTTCCAAGTAAATAGCATGGCTAGTTTCGATTTCAGGATCTGAAAGGGCCGCAAAGCGATGAAAAACAAACAAAAACCACCATATAAATGAAGGAACTAGGCCAACTACCATCATTCTTTCACAACACGCGAGCAGAAGATCAGACGAACGCATTGGAATAAAATAGAGTCACCGAACCAGGATAATGGGAGCGGTACCGCCCATTGCATGTGCAGTCATATACCTTTTGGCCTTATTCAGCCATGTAGTAGACGCTGAAGGTAAGGGATGTTTTTTCTACATTTCCAATATGTCAAAATTATGATTTTAACCCGAGGATAGTGTGTACACGTATCATTTATTATTTGACGAGATTTGTAGTCGCTGAAAAATATATTTCCGCCCTAGTTTGCAAAAGGATAACATTCATTACCTGCTGGAGACGCGATATCAGCTAATCGACCATTTAAAATGGTTTTCAAGCGGAAAATGTTCAAATGAATATAAATTTTCTTTTGATGACGATACACGTCATGCCAAAATCGCGTTTATCAATCGTTCGGCCCACCCAGTCAATTAAAAACAAATCAATAATGACACTGGATATTTTTATTTGGGTAATATACCATTAAAAGGTGTCGATTGCCAACAGACGTAAAATAGGCCACGCTTGTTTTTTTTTTCTATTGAAACCAATTTTTATAACAATATTTCGACATTAAGGAAGCAAATGGTGTGTCGTATTCGTTAACATTTTCCTTTTAATCGGACCAGGAAAGGAAAAAAAACGACGACGAGTGTCCGATGTTTAACACATTCGGTACTAGGCTGCGTATCGAAATAATCATGATTTGACCACTTGTTAAAGACTTTGTGTATAAATCAATCTTTATTTATAATTATGTAAATCAATTTAATTGTGATCTATGTCTCACATACCACTCGGCCGGTATGTGGGACACCGACGTGCTATTCCGTGTTCTACCTGCGCTCGCGGAATAATACTACAAAACGAGGTGATTTGCATGA